GTAAAACCTGGACTGGACTCAGAGTGAGCTGGAGTGTGTCTCTGAGCTTGGACACAGCTCTGGTCACTTCCTCAAAGTAGCTCCGGTCCCCTGTGTGAATGGTGTGTGTCTCTGTGCTCTGTGTGTGTGGGGACAGTGAAGTGTAGACCTGTATAAACTGGTTATGATCCTGGGTGAGGGCCAGTGTGTCCAGCTCAGAGAGGCTCCTCTTCAGCCCCCTCACGTCCTGCTGCAGTTGGTCCTGGAGCTCTTGGACTCGGCTCAGTTGGGTCTGCTCCTGGGAGCGGATCTGCTGCTCCACTTCAGAGCGTCTTTTGTCCAGGAGAAGGGCCATCTGTGTGAAGCTGTCCCCGCTGCGCTGCACTGCTGTCTGGGCAGAGCGTCTGATGTCCTGGGCCTCCTGTTGGAGCCTCTTCAGGTCTGTCTCTTTGTGCTGGAGGTTCTGGAGCAGCAGGGCCCTCCTGGCCGGCAGCTCTGCCTGCCTCTGAGCCCTCTCTGAGGCAGAGCTCACTATGTCATGACCCTTATGTTGGTCCACAGAGCAGAGGTAACAGATGCTCTGCTGGTCACTGCGGCAGAATAGATCCATCACTTTGTCGTGTTCAGAGCAGATGTTTTCCTGGAGCGTGTGAGACGGCTCCACCAGCTGGTGTTTCTGTAACCCTGCAGCTTCATGATGAGGCTGTAGGTGGCGCTCACAGTAAGAGGCCACACACTGCAGACAGGACTGGACAGCTCTCAGCTTCCTCCCAGTGCACACATCACAGGACACATCCTGAGGTCCGGCATAGCAGCGAGCAGCAGGGGGCGCTGTCTTCTTCATCTGCTCTACTAAACCTGCTAACATGATGTTTTTAACCAGGACAGGCCTGGGGCTGAAGCTGAGGCGACATTCAGGACAGCTGTAGAGCTGCTTGTCGTCCTCTTGGTCCCAGTGCTGTTGGACACAGTTCCTGCAGTAGCTGTGTCCACAGGGAATAGTCACAGGATCCTTCAGTAGATCCAAACACACGGAGCAGGACAAGGCTTCTTGGTCGAGTGTTTTCTGCGCCATCTCTCCTGGATCACAAACATTTAGACTCTGACAGAAACAAAACCCTTTGGTGGAGTGAGAGCTGTGGGAGGAGCTACACCCACAGCTCTGTGTAGATGTGAGGAGGAAGTGGCAGCTCTTAAAGACACACACACGTTTTATCAGAGTTGAAATGAGAGTGTGTGACAGTTTACAGTCACAGACACAGGGTCATTGGGTACAAGTCAAACTCTCCAAAAGAGAATCAAAGAGGAAGACAGTGTAAAGCAGGGGTATTCAACATATGGCCCAGGGGCCGGATCTGGCCCTCCGAGACCTTTAATCTGGTCCTTGGCTGATTTTCTACTAAAATGTTTTAATTATATTTTAAAACCTGAAGACAGAATTTGCAATTTTTCTCACACCATTCACAGTGAAAACCTCTGATGTGCCCACAGACATGCAACTAGAAATAATAAATTTACAATTACTACCCACCTTTGTGAGCAGGTTTTCTCAGTAATAAACATTAATAAAACAAAGCTGCACTCAAAGCTAACACACAACACACAAGTACTTGAATGACATTCTGAAGACAGCAGCTACTCAGGACATGGTGCCTGACATTGATGCATTTGTGCAGGCTAAAAGATGCCAAGTTTCAGGAGCAAAAAGAAAGCATGACTAAATTCTATGAAATGCAAACAAGTTAATTTTATAACATTTTGTTGAAGGTTTGTTCAGATTGTTCATAATATTATAATATTTTGTAAAAGAAAGAGTTCATCAATTAAAAAAGATTTCTGTAATAGATTTGCGTTTCTCTTTACAAATATTTGATTTATTTCTATTTTTGGGGTATATATGTCATGAGTTTTCTGATCCGGCCCCTTTGGGATCAAAATAGGTTGGATACGGCACCTGGACCAAAATAAGTCTGACATCCCTGGTGTAAAGGATCAGTGTAGTGCCACAGTGCTTTGGTGTGAGGAGGCAGGATTTCTAAACGTATCAACAAACATCATGTTCATCAGGCTCTTTCTAGAAGGACATGTGTGTTTATTGGTTTAGTCCTGGTTTAGTCTCAGTCTAAACCAGTTGGACTTTGAACTGGTTTAGATCTATTCAGTCCTGGTTTAAACAGCTTTAGGCAGGTTTAATCTGTGGTTCATGCTTTATTTTTATCCACTTATGATGTGTTACATTTAACATTGCCATTGTCAATAATCTCACATGGTAAAGCTCCTGGATATGACACAAATGGAATCATGTCATGACAGTGTATTAGATTTTATTAATGCCTTCCCTTTACGTTGCCTACATTAGTATTATTTTTAGTGCAGTGTCTCCCTCTTGTGGTTATTTTGGGTCAGTGTTTTAGCTATATTACAGAGGGGGTATAAAATCGTTTTCTTTTGTTTTTTCTACATTTTATTCATGCTGTTCCCTCTTCAAAAACTTGCATGAATAGGTTTTAGATGTCATCCATGCATGTTTGAGTCATTTAGTGATCTCTCCTGGGCTCTATTCAGTAATTTCATTAACAGGATGCACCTTGATTGTGTTGTGATGGTGCTCTGAAGGGTGAGTGACTTAGCACGGGTAAAGGTAGGGAAGTTTGAAAGCGGCAAAACCAAAAATTGTACTTATAATACATTGTTTTGGGGTGAATCTATCATTTTGAAAAGAATCCAAGGTCACATGGTGATCTAAATGTGTTGTGTGTTCTGTTCATAGTCCAGACAAGTGTAATAGTGCGTCTTTAAGATCTCACTCACTTTTGCATGTGGCTCTAATGTCCATCTTGTGCACCTACTCCAAATCTCCCACGTTTACACAGAAAATGTACACACGATAAATACTGACACCCAAAATATATTGTCCCAGCTGTCATCAGTGGTGGAAGAGAACTAAGTAAAAGTATTTAAATACTTAAGTACTTCAGTATAAATGTTACGTGTCTGTAATTTATTTAAGTACATTGAAAAGTGAATGTTTTTTTTCCTTGTTGTTTTTTTTTACTTTTACTTCATTATATTTTTACTGTTACTACTTCGGCTGCTACTTCAAAAACTACTACTTCAGCCACTACTATAAACCACTACTACTACTTCAGCCACTACTATTACTACTTCTACCACGACTATTACTACTTCAAGTACTAAGTAAAACGTCTTTATTTATATAGCACTTTTCACAGACATTTTTTGTCCCCTAAGACACTTTACAGAGCATTATTCAGCATTGTTCATTCACTCTATACCTGGTGATGGTAAACTACTATTGTAGCCACAGCTGCCCTGGGGCAGACTGACAGCACAGCTGCCATGCCAATCGGCACCATCGGTCCCTCTGACCACACACACGCACGCACACACACACACACGCACACACACGCACGCACACACACACACACACGCACGCACACACACGCACACACACAGTGTGTGGAGTTTGCATGTTCTGCCTGTGTCTGGCTGGGTTTCCTCCATCCACCCAAAACATGCACCATAGGTCACATCCTCCAGCTAAAGTCCTGACACATACACGGGGACAACAAAGTGGCTTTAATTGTGTCAAATGTTCAGTGTTCATGTGCAGCGACAAGTCAACACGTCCCCCTTTTGTCTGGGAGGCTTCCAAAGGTCTCTGTCATCTGGATTCCGTTCTGGAATGAGGTGGATTTCTGGGTTTCAAATGACATCACTACTTCCTATAGGACAGACAGAATAAGACAAAATGAGGAGAGTTCAAATAAATATGGATAAAACAGACTTTTGTTTAAATGAAGCTAACTGGAGGCACTTCTCTGTCTGAAGCTCTGTGACTCACATTAACTTGAATCTGAGTTTTGTTGTATCACAATGTGACCAGAAAGAGCTGATTTAGCTGGAACTACAACAGATGAGCTGATTTGTGCTGTTAAACACGTCCCTCTCAAATAACATGACAGTCACAAGCTCACTAGTATTTTTTTTCTTGAGTTTTCACACAATCTAAAAGCTTTTTTGGCTGCGTTTGCCAATGCATGCACTTTGTTTCCATGGTAACTGCTGAATGTTCTGCCATAGACATACATGCAGTGCACTCCCAGTGTGATTTCACTGCAAAGTATCAACTGCTGGGTTTCACAACACATCAGCACATTGTAATAGGCCAGTAATAATGAATAGAGATGAGTACAGTTCAAATGAATCTTGTTCAAATGCAAACGAACAAGACATCGCCTTCATCTTTCAATATTTTTCAGTTCCGTTGGGAAGGGAAACAGTTTGAACGAAGGTTTGCAGTCACACAGATCTGATTCCCTTTTGCAGTTATGGAGTTCGCAAACTTCCGAAGCCCGTTTTCTGCTGTTAAGACATCCAGCAACCACACAATTGCAATGTTTGAATCACAAAACTAAAATATGACAATATCAGAAACAGAAACAAAAGCGATATGGTTCAAAAGACGAGAAAAGATCAGCTTTGACAATAGACGCATCCCACTGGAAAATCAAACATGGTGGTTTGATGCTCACTTTTTCGGAGGACTCCACCCAGTATGCATTGCGTGATGACCGGAAGTTTCGGGGTGCATGTATACTGTGACTTCTTGGGTTTAGTCAATCTAGAAATGATCCGGTTCAACATTTGTGAATTGACCTCTTACATGTCAGTGTACAATGTCATCAGTTGGGAAAACTGGCTCTTGCTCCATCTGGGATTATGGCATCATATACGGTTACCTAGCAACCACCATGATAATATTTGCCAAAGGGAAAACAGGGACACACCCGAGCTGGGACAGTTGAGATAAATATTTGGTATCAACAAAACAGTGACAAGAGCTCATGACACTGTCCATTCTGCACTCACTTTTGTCAGTCATAATCTGAGGGATTTTTGTTGCTGCACTTTCTGCTTTAGGTTCATTTTCAAGCACAATTTTCTGGATTTGAGTTCAACTAATACAAGATATTCCCAAAAAATACAAATACAAAGAGTTGGGGAAAAAAAATCAGTCGATTCATTTATTTCTGTTGAACAAAATTCAGCACAAATCTGTATCAGAGTCACTACATTTGAAGCTTTATAAGATTGCAAAATCTACACAAAATACTTGTACTTTTTACTCTTGAAATACATTTTTAAACAGGTACTTTGATACTTTTACTTGTGTCAATTTTTTCATGATACTTTTACTTTTATTTGAGAATTTTTTGCTCCACTATCTACACAGGAGGAAACACATGAAACAGATTGATTTGTGATTGAAAAGTTCCAGTGTAAAGATGGTGCTGTTTGTCTTCATCATTATATAACCAGTGTTCCTCATTCTGTGGCCCTGAACAACTTTTACAATTCTGATTCAAGTGGACACAAAACACAGTTCCATGTACACACAGAAACACAGAGCACACACACCATCACTGCTCCAGTCTGACATGACATTTACATACACTTACTTTACATACTTTAAAATACCATTGGAAATGAAAGTTGAAATCAAGTTACTTCAAAGCAGTGTCTGATGTGAAATATGTACAGATTAGACAATATATGACTTAAAAAAAGAAGCATGAGTAGCAAAAGTATTTCTTATGAAGATCAAAAGCATTGTAAAAAAAACAAAAAAAACAAATAAACTTGGCAATATGATGTCCTGTTTTTATATATTTTTTTAGCTATTTTATTTTTCAGAAGAGTCATGTTTTAATTCTAGTTTTTGAATCATTTTGTATCTTTTTTATTCCCTCATGAAGAGACTTTTATCTGAATAGTCAAAAATTCAAGACACAAATTTGATCCCAAACTGTGAAGAAGAAAGCTGCTATATGAGTTTAGGGAAATGTGCAGTGGCTCCAATCAAAGAAAGAAAGCCCCCACCAATCCAGACTCCAGTGTAGAGAGGTTGAGTGAACTTGGTCTGGACTCTGTGGAGGAGGCTCATGGTTCTTTCAGAGACGCTGTAAAACGCCAAAACCCCTGCACTGTGGTCCAGGTAAACCCCGATTCTGGACTCGACTGGACCTGAGACCTGGGACTGGACTTTGTTAAACCAAAATGAATAACTGTTAGATTTACACTGTAAAGCCCAGGATTTATCATTGTTTCCAAATCCACATTCATTAGAGTATCCTTTCCTCTGAATATCTCTGTATGAAACTGCTATACGAGCCCACCTCACGCTCCACTCCACCTCCCAGTAACAGCGACCCGTCAGACTCTCTCTGCTCAGGACCTGACACACACTGAATCTATCTGGATGATCTGGATAACTCTGTTCTTCACTCATAAATGTTACTCTTCTGTTTCCATCAGACAGAGACAGTTTGGTGTGAACTGTGTTTGGGTCCAGAGTGATTTCTGTAGAATATTGTAAGAAGTCGTCTCTGGAGCTGGGTTCAGCTGGTGCCAGTAAAACCTGGACTGGACTCAGAGTGAGCTGGAGTGTGTCTCTGAGCTTGGACACAGCTCTGGTCACTTCCTCAAAGTAGCTCCGGTCCCCTGTGTGAATGGTGTGTGTCTCTGTGCTCTGTGTGTGTGGGGACAGTGAAGTGTAGACCTGTATAAACTGGTTATGATCCTGGGTGAGGGCCAGTGTGTCCAGCTCCGAGAGGCTCCTCTTCAGCCCCCTCACGTCCTGCTGCAGTTGGTCCTGGAGCTCTTGGACTCGGCTCAGTTGGGTCTGCTCCTGGGAGCGGATCTGCTGCTCCACTTCAGAGCGTCTTTTGTCCAGGAGAAGGGCCATCTGTGTGAAGCTGTCCCCGCTGCGCTGCACTGCTGTCTGGGCAGAGCGTCTGATGTCCTGGGCCTCCTGTTGGAGCCTCTTCAGGTCTGTCTCTTTGTGCTGGAGGTTCTGGAGCAGCAGGGCCCTCCTGGCCGGCAGCTCTGCCTGCCTCTGAGCCCTCTCTGAGGCAGAGCTCACTATGTCATGACCCTTATGTTGGTCCACACACAGGGAGCAGAGCAGCTGCTGGTCACTGCGGCAGAATAGTTCCATCAGTCTGTGGTGTTCAGAGCAGATGTTTTCCTGGAGCATGTGAGACGGCTCCACCAGCTGGTGTTTCTTAAGCGCTGCAGCTTCATGATGAGGCTGTAGGTGGCGCTCACAGTAAGAGGCCACACACTGCAGACAGGACTGGACAGCTCTCAGCTTCCTCCCAGTGCACACATCACAGGACACATCCTGAGGTCCGGCATAGCAGCGAGCAGCAGGGGGCGCTGTCTTCTTCATCTGCTCTACTAAACCTGCTAACATGATGTTTTTAACCAGGACAGGCCTGGGGCTGAAGCTGAGGCGACATTCAGGACAGCTGTAGAGCTGCTTGTCGTCCTCTTGGTCCCAGTGCTGTTGGACACAGTTCCTGCAGTAGCTGTGTCCACAGGGAATAGTCACAGGATCCTTCAGTAGATCCAAACACACGGAGCAGGAAAAGGCTTCTTGGTCGAGTGTTTTCTGCGCCATCTCTCCTGGATCACAAACACTTACAGTTTGACACAAACGAAACTTAAGAGTGGAGTGAGAGCTGTGGGAGGAGCCACACCCACAGCTCTGTGTAGATCTGATTATTAATTGGCAGCTCTTAAAGACACACACATGTTTTATCAGAGTTGAAATGAGTGTGTGACAGTTTACAGTCACAGACACAGAGTCATTGGGCACAAGTCAAACTCTCCAAAAGAGAATCAAAGAGGAAGACAGTGTAAAGCAGGGGTATTCAACATACGGCCCAGGGGCCGGATCCGGCCCTCCAAGACCTTTCATCTGGTCCTCGGCTGATTTTCTACTAAAATGTTTTAATTATATTTTAAAACCTGAAGACAGAATTTGCAATTTTTCTCACACCATTCCCAGTGAAAACCTCTGATGTGCCCACAGACATGCAACTAGAAATAATAAATTTACAATTACTACCCACCTTTAGTGAGCAGGTTTTCTCAGTAATGAACATTAATAAAACAAAGCTGCACTCAAAGCTAACACACAACACACAAGTACTTGAATGACATTCTGAAGACAGCAGCTACTCAGGACATGGTGCCTGACATTGATGCATTTGTGCAGGCTAAAAGATGCCAAGTTTCAGGAGCAAAAAGAAAGCATGACTAAATTCTTTGAAATGCAAACAAGTTAATTTTATAACATTTTGTTGAAGGTTTGTTCAGGTTGTTCATAATATTATAATATTTTGTAAAAGAAAGAGTTCATCAATTTAAAAATGTTTCTGTAATAGATTTGTGTTTCTCTTTACAAATATTTGATTTATTGCTAATTTTTGGGGTATATATGTCATGAGTTTTCTGATCCGGCCCCTTTGGGATCAAAGTAGGTTGGATACGGCACCCGGACCAAAATGAGTTTGACATCCCTGGTGTAAAGGATCAGTGTAGTGTCACAGTGCTTTGGTGTGAGGAGGCAGGATTTCTAAACGTATCAACAAACATCATCTTCATCAGGCTCTTTCTAGAAGGACGTGTGTGTTTATTGGTTTAGCTCTGGTTTAGTCTCAGTCTAGACCAGTTGGACTTTGAACTGGTTTAGATCTATTTAGTGGTTTGGACAGCTTTAGGCAGGTTTAATCTGTAGCTCATTCTTTATTTTGTCCACTTATGTCTTATATTCAACATTGCCATTGTCTATAATCTCACATAGCCCCTGGATATGACACAAATGGACTCATGTCATGACAATATATTTGATTTTATTAATGCCTTCCCTTTAGTTTGCCTACATTAGTATTATTTTTAGTGCAATGGCTCTCTCTTGTGGTTATTTAAGGTCAGTGTTTTTATATTTACAGAAGGAGTATAAAATTGTTTTGTTTTGTTTTTACTACAATTTATTCATGCTGTTCCCTCATCAAACACATGCTCAAGGCGGTTTTATGTATGTATGAGTGAGTTTTACTTCATTATATTTTTACTATTACTACTACTACTACTACTACTACTACTACAACCACCACTTCAACCACTACTACAACTACTACTTCAACCACTACTACCACTACTACTACTACTACAACCACCACTTCAACCACTACTACAACTACTACTTCAACCACTACTACCACTACTACTACTACTTCAACCACTACTACCACTACTTCTACTACTTCAACCACTACTACTACTATTATTATTACTACTACTTCAACCATTACTACCACTATTACTACTACTTCAAACACTACTACTACTACTACTACTACTTCAATCACTACTTTAACCACTACTACTACTACTTCTACTACTATTACAACTACTACTAGTACTACAAGCACTACTACTACTTCTACAACCACCACTTCAACCACTACTACTACTACTACTTCAAACACTATTTCTACTACTTCTACTACTACTAGTACTACTACTACTTCAATCACTACTTTAACCACTACTACTACCACTACTACTACTACTACTACTAGTACTACAACCACTACTCCTACTACTATTTCTACTACTTCTACAACCACCACTTGAACTACTACTACTACTCCTACTTCAACCACTACTACTTCTACTACTACTACTACTCCTACAACCACTACTTCAACCACTACTACTACTCCTCCTCCTACTATTACTACTACTTCAAGCACAACAACAACTATTACTAGTATTACTACTACTATTACTAGTACTTCAACCACTATTACTACTACTACTACTACTACTACTACCACTTTGGTTCAAATGAAGCTAACTGGAGGCACTGCTCTGTCTGAAGCTCTGTGTCTCACGTTAAACTTGAATCTGAGTTTTGTTGTAACACAATGTGATCAGAAAGAGCTGATTTAGTTGGAACTACAACAGATGAGCTGATTTGTGCTGTTAAACACGTCCCTCTCAAATAACATGACAGTCTCAAGCTCACTAGTATTTTTTTTTCTTGAGTTTTCACACAATCTAAAAGCTTTTTTGGCTGCATTTGCCAATGCATGCACTTTGTCTCCATGGTAACTGCTGAATGTTCTGCCATAGACATACATGCAGTGCACTCCCAGCGTAATTTCACTGCAAAGTATCAACTGCTGGGTTTCACAACACATCAGCACATTATAATAGGCCAGTAATATTGAATAGAGATGAGGACAGTTCAAATGAATCTTGTTCAAATGCAGATTTCTTTTGTAATACATGCATCCTGAATTTCGGACTTCCGATCATTGCGCAATGTATACTGGGAAGGGTCCGCAGAAAAAGTGAGCATCAAACCGCCATTTTTGATTTCCCAGTGGGAGGGATCTATTGTCAAAGCTGATCTTTTCAAGTCTTTTAAACCATATCGCTTTTTTTCTGGTTCTGATATTGTCATATTTTAGTTATGGGATTCGAACATTGTAATTGTGTGGTTGTTGGATGTCCTATAAGCAGAAAACGACTTGAGAAACGGGCTTTGGAAGTTTGCGAACTCCATAACTGCAAAAGTGAATCGAATCTGTGTGACTGCAAACCTTCGTTCAAACTGTTTCCCTTCCTAACGGAACTGAAACATATTGAAAGGTGAAGGCAAAGTCTTGTTCGTCTGACTTTACAGCAACATCACGTCTTGGTCTCTTTGCAGTGGAAGTTGTTTCTTGGCGAACAGCTGGTGCTTTTCACTTTGGTGTTGGTGTTTTAAATTCATAACCAAGTTTGAGAGAGGGATCGGGATTTTGCTTTGTTGTCGCTTCACATACAAAATGTTCGCTTCAAACTCGGGATGATTTCTGAGGCAGTCAAAAGTTACCGTTTTCATCCTTCCTGTGGATCAATACTGCGCTTCGCCTTTGCCTTTCACTATTTTTCAGTTCCGTTGGGAAGGGAAACAGTTTGAACAGAGGTTTGCATTCACACAGGTCTCATTCCTTTTTGCATTTATGGAGATCACAAACTTCCGAAGCCCATTTCTAGAGTCATTTTCCGCTGTTAGGACATCAAACAATCACACATATACAATGTCCAAATCCCATAACTAAAATATGACAATATCAGAAACAGAAACAAAAGGGATATGGTTCAAAAGACTTGAAAAGTTTGGCTTTGACAATAGATGCATCCCACTGAGAAATCAAACATGGCGGTTTGATGCTCACTTTATCGGAGGGTCCTTCCCAGTATGCATTGCGCGATGACCGGAAGTTTGAAATTCGGGATGCATGTATACTGGCTCTTGCCCCATCTGGGATTACGGCATCATATACGGTTACCTAGCAACCACCATGTTAACATTTGCCAAAGGTGAAACAGGGACACGCCTGAGCTGGAACAGTTGAGATAAATATCTGGTATTAATAAAACAGTGACAAGAGCTCATGACACTGTCCATTCTGCACTCACTTGTGTCACTTATAATCTGAGGGATTTCTGTTGCTGCATTTTCTGCTTTAGGTTCATTGTCAAGTACAGTTTTCTGTATTTGAGCTCAACTAATACAAGATATTCCCTCTTTACTGTTGGCAGTGTGCAAATGGGTCAAAAATAGAGACATCTGGACAGTGGTGGAACGGAACTAAATAAAAGTTTTACTTAAGTAAAAATTGTAGATATCTGTACTTTACTTAAGTACATTGCAAAGTTGATACTTTTACTTTTACTTCATTACAATTGAGATCTGAATATCTGAATTTTCTACTCCACTACATTTTTGAAAAGAACTGAAAAGTAAAAGTATTTTTATTATAGCTTGAGACCTGCTGAAAAGGATGAGGGGGTTATTTTTATCAAATTCATCAATCATATGAGCAAACAAAAAATACAAATACAAAGAGCTGGAAAAAAATCAGTCGATTCATTTCTTTCTGTTGAACAAAATTCAGCACAAATCTGTATCAGAGTCACTACATTTGAAGCTTTATTAGATCACAAAATCTGCACAAAATACCTTTACTTTTTACTCTTGAAGTACATTTTTAAACAGGTACTTAGATACTTTTATTTGTGTCAATTTTTTTCACATGATACTTTTACTTTTACTTGAGTATTTTTTGCTCCACTATCTATACTTTTACTACAATAACAAAATGGATTATTTCTTCCACTGCTGCATCTGGTTTAGTCCTGGTTTAGATCTCATTTGTTTCACAGATTTCAGATGGCGCCCCCTGCCTCCACTTGTGGTAAATACTGGTGCTATATTTTACAACTCTACAATGAATTTGAGATTTTGAGACAGAAAAAAAAACACATAAAACAGATTGATTTCAGAATGTATTTGTGATTGAAAAGTTCCAGTGTAAAGATGGTGCTGTTTCTCTTCATCATTATATAACCAGTGTTCCTCATTCTGTGGCCCTGAACAACTTTTACAATTCTGATTCAAGTCAACACAAAACACAGAGCACACACACCATCACTGCTCCAATCTGACATGACATTTACATACACTTACTTTACATCCTTTACACTTACTTGACATATTTTACAAAAACATTGGAAATGAAAATTTAAATCAAGTTAGTTCAAAACAGTGTAGAGATGTAGAGATTAGACAATATAGTATATAAATTAGACCTGGATTAGTCCTGGATTAGTCCTTGTTTGGTCCTGTTTTCTCCCTGCTCTAGTTGTGATTTAGTATTGATTAAGTCCTGGTTTAGTCCTATTATAGTCCTGTTTCAGTCTTAGTCCTGGTTAAGTCCACTTTTAGTTCTGGTTTATTCCTGTTTTTTTTCCTGTTTTAGTCCTTGTATAATTCTGGGTTAGTTTTGGTAAAGTCCTGGTTTAATCTTGGTTTAGTTTTAGTTTAGTCCTGATTTAGTTGTGGTTTATTGTTGGTTTATAATGGGTATAGTCTGGTTTTATTCCTGGTTTATTCCTGGTTTAGTCCATGCTTTTAGTCATGTTTTACTCCTGGTTAAATCCTTTTAAGTAATGTTTTACTCCAGTTTTAGTCATTGTTTAGTCCTGGTTTAGTCTTATTTTAGTCCTGGTTTAGTTTTAGTTTAGTTCTGGATTTGATCTCATCTCTTTTGAATTCAGAGCACAGCGTAACGTTACATTACATGAGGAATAACACTGGAATTGAAAGTAAAAAGTAAACTGTGTTTGATATAAAATACATACAAATTTGAGTTCAATAGTAGTAATAGTAGTAGTAGTAGTAGTAGTAGTAGTAATAGTAGTAGTAGTAATAGTATTTCTGATCCACATTAAGAGCATTCTAAAACATTTGTGACACTATGATTTTTGTCCTGATTTTATGTTGTTTTTTTTAACACTGATTCTTGTTCAAAACAGTCTGTTTCTAATCCTCATTTTAAAATCATTTTGTAACTTTTTTATTTCCTCGTGAAGAGAATTTTATCAGAATAGTTAAAAATACAAGACACAAATTTGATTCTAAACTGTGGAGAACAAAGCTGCTATTTGAGTTTAGGGAAATATGCAGTGTCTCCAAAATACCTGTAAATCCAGACTCCAGTGTAGAGAGGCTGAGTGAACCTGGTCTGGACTCTGTGGAGGAGGCTCATGGTTCTTTCAGAGACGCTGTAAAACGCCAAAACACCTGCACTGTGGTCCAGATAAACCCCGATTCTGAACCCAACTGAACCTGAGACCTGAGACTTCACTAAGTTAAACCAAAATGAATAACTGTTAGATTCACACTGTAAAGCCCAGGATTTATCATTGTCTCCAAATGCACATTCATCAAAGTTTCCTTTCCTCTGAATATCTCTGTATGAAACTGCTATACGAGCACACCTCACGTTCCACTCCACCTCCCAGTAACAGCGACCCGTCAGACTCTCTCTGCTCAGGACCTGCCACCAACCACTGAATCTGTCTGGATGATCTGGATAACTCTGTTCCATACTTTTAACTGTTACTCTTCTGTTTCCATCAGACAGAGACAGTCTGGTGTGAACTGTGTTTGGGTCCAGAGTGATTTCTGTAGAATATTGTAAGAAGTCGTCTCTGGAGCTGGGTTCAGCTGGTGCCAGTAAAACCTGGACTGGACTCAGAGTGAGCTGGAGTGTGTCTCTGAGCTTGGACACAGCTCTGGTCACTTCCTCAAAGTAGCTCCAGTCCCCTGTGTGAATGGTGTATGGCTCTGTGCTCTGTGTGTGTGGGGACAGTGAAGTGTAGACCTGTATAAACTGGTTATGATCCTGGGTGAGGGCCAGTGTGTCCAGCTCAGAGAGGCTCCTCTTCAGCCCCCTCACGTCCTGCTGCAGTTGGTCCTGGAGCTCTTGGACTCGGCTCAGTTGGGTCTGCTCCTGGGAGCGGATCTGCTGCTCCACTTCAGAGCGTCTTTTGTCCAGGAGAAGGGCCATCTGTGTGAAGCTGTCCCCGCTGCGCTGCACTGCTGTCTGGGCAGAGCGTCTGATGTCCTGGGCCTCCTGTTGGAGCCTCTTCAGGTCTGTCTCTTTGTGCTGGAGGCTCTGGAGCAGCAGGGCCCTCCTGGCCGGCAGCTCTGCCTGCCTCTGAGCCCTCTCTGAGGCAGAGGTCACTATGTCATGACCCTTATGTTGGTCCACACACAGGGAGCAGAGCAGCTGCTGGTCGCTGCGGCAGAATAGTTCCATCAGTTTGTCGTGTTCAGAGCAGACGTTTTCCTGGAGTGTGTGAGACGGCTCCACCAGCTGGTGTTTCTTAAACGCTGCAGCTTCATGATGAGGCTGTAGGTGGCGCTCACAGTAAGAGGCCACACACTGCAGACAGGACTGGACAGCTCTCAGCTTCCTCCCAGTGCACACATCACAGGACACATCCTGAGGTCCGGCATAGAGGCAGGCAGCAGGGGGCGCTGTCTTCTTCATCTGCTCTACTAAACCTGCTAACATGATGTTTTTACCCAGGACAGGCCTGGGGCTGAAGTTGAGGCGACATTCAGGACAGCTGTAGAGCTGCTTGTAGTCCTCTTGGTCCCAGTGCTGTTGGACACAGTTCCTGCAGTAGCTGTGTCCACAGGGAATAGTCACAGGATCCTTCAGTAGATCCAAACACACGGAGCAGGAAAAGGCTTCTTGGTCAAGTGTTTTCTGCGCCATCTCTCCTGGATCACAAACATTTACAGTTTGACACAAACGAAACTTACGAGTGGAGTGAGAGCTGTGGGAGGAGCCACACCCACAGCTCTGTGTAGATGTGAGGAGGAAGTGGCAGCTCTTAAAGGCACACACATGTTTTATCAGAGTTGAAATGAGAGTGTGTGACAGTTTACAGTCACAGACACAGGGTCATTGGGCACAAGTCAAACTCTCCAAAAGAGAATCAAAGAGGAACACAGTGTAAAGGATCAGTGTAGTGCCACAGTGCTTTGGTGTGAGGAGGCAGGATTTCTAAATGTATCAACAAACATCATCTTCATCAGGCTCTTTCTAGAAGGACATGTGTGTTTATTGGTTTAGTTCTGGTTTAGTCTCGGTCTAGACCAGTTGGGCTTTGAACTGGTTTAGATCTATTCAGTCCTGGTTTAAACAGCTTTAGGCAGGTTTAATCTGTGGTTCATGCTTTATTTTTGTTCACTTATGATGTGTTATATTTAACATTGCCATTGTCTATAATCTCACATGGTAAAGCTCCTGGATATGACACAAACGGAGTCATGTCATGACAATCTATTTTATTTTATTAATGCCTTCCCTTTACTTTGCCTACATTAGTATTATTTTTAGTGCAGTGTCTCCCTCTTGTGGTTATTTTGGGTCAGTGTTTTTATATTTACAGAGGGGGCACAAAAATCATTTTGTTTAGTTTTTTCTACATTTTATTCATGCTGTTCCCTCATCAAAAACCTGCCTGAATAGGTTTTAGATGTCATCCATGCATGTTTGAGTCATTTAGTGATCTCTCCTGGGCTCTACTCAGTAGTTTCATTAACAGGATGCATGCTGATTGTGTTGTGATGGTGCTCTGAAGGGTGAGTGACTTAGCATGGGTAGCAAAGTAAGGGAAGTTTGAAAGTGGCAAAACCAAAACTGTAACTTACATACATCGTTTTGGGGTGAATCTACCATTTTGAAAAGAATCCAAGGTCACATGGTGATCTAAATGTGTTGTGTGTTCTGTTCATAGTCCAGACAAGTGTAATAGTGCGTCTTTAAGATCTCACTCACTTTTGCATGTGGCTCTAATGTTCATCTTGTGCACCTAACAGTCTGTGGGACACTTTACTATAGTAGGCCTGTCACCAGAACACATTTGGAAGGACAATATATCGCAAAAGAGGAATACTGCGATAAACGATAATACTCAAACCACTTTATTCCACTGACACAATAAGAAGAAAGTGAGACAATCCTAGTGACGCATTTTGAAAGAGACGTGATCATTAAAAAGCCTGAGCTGCAACAAATACACAACAGAATGGAGCAAGAATTCTCTAGAGAAGTCACTTCTTCAAACTTTGACATCTCAAAAATACTCCAAATCTCCCACGTTTACACAGAAAATGTACACATGATAAATACTGACACCCAAAATATATTGTTCCAGCTCATCAATGGTGGAAGAGAACTAAGTAAAAGTATTTAAATACTTAAGTACTTCAGTATAAATGTAACGTGTCTGTACTTTATTTAAGTACATTGAAAAGTGAATGTTTTTTTTGTTGTTGTTGTTGTTTTTTGTTAGTTTTTTTACTTTTACTTCATTATATTTTTACTATTACTACTACTATTACTACTTCGGCTGCTACTTCAAAAACTACTACTTCAGCCACTACTATAAACCACTACTACTACTTCAACCACTACTACTACTACTAGTACTTCAGCCACTACTATTACTACTTCTACCACGACTATTACTACTTCAAGTACTAAGTAAACGTCTTTATTTATATAGCACTTTTCACAGACATTTTTTGTCCCCTAAGACACTTTACAGAGCATTATTCAGCATTGTTCATTCACTCTATACCTGGTGATGGTAAACTACTATTGTAGCCACAGCTGCCCTGGGGCAGACTGACAGCTGCCATGCCAATCGGCACCATCGGTCCCTCTGACCACACACACGCACGCACACACACACACACGCACACACACACACACACACAGTGTGTGGAGTTTGCATGTTCTACCTGTGTCTGGCTGGGTTTCCTCCATCCACCCAAAACATGCACCATAGGTCACATCCTCCAGCTAAAGTCCTGACCAAGACTAGACCAAGATCTGGAGATGGTCCCACTGCTCCTGACACGTTTAACCCAGAGGCACTGAAGGACGGGTCAAATGCAGAGGACACATACAAGGGGACAAAAAAGTGGCTTTAATTGTGTCAAATGTTCAGTGTTCATGTGCACCGACAAGTCAACTCTGCCCCCTTTTGTCTGGGAGGCTTCCAAAGGTCTCTGTCATCTGGATTCTGTTCTGGAATGAGGTGGATTTCTGGGTTTCAAATGACATCACTACTTCCTATAGGACAGACAGATTTAAGACAAAATGAGGAGAGTTCAAATAAATATGGATAAAATAGACTTTTGTTTAAATGAAGCTAACTGGAGGCACTGCTCTGTCTGAAGCTCTGTGACTCACGTTAAACTTGAATCTGAGCTGAACTACTACTACAACTACTACAACTACTACTACTACAACTACTACTACTACTGCTACTACTACTACTACTACTACTGACTACTACTACTACTACTACTGCTACTACTACTACTACTACTACTACAACTGCTACTACTACTACTACTACTACTACTACTACTACTACTACTACTACTACTACTACTACTACTACTACTACTACTACTACTACTACTACTACTACTACTACTACTACTGACTACTACTACTACTACTACTACTACTACTACTACTACTGCTACTACTACTACTACTACTACTACTACTACTACTACTACTACTACTGCTACTACTACTACTACTACTACTACTACTACTACTACTACTACTACTACTACTACTACTACTGACTACTACTACTACTACTACTACTACTACTACTACTACTACTACTACTACTACTACTACTACTACTACTACTACTACTACTACTACTACTACTACTACTACTACTACTACTACTACTACTACTGACTACTACTACTACTACTACTACTACTACTACTACTACTACTACTACTACTACTACTACTACTACTACTACTACTACTACTACTACTACTACTACTACTACTACTACTACTACTACTACTACTACTACTACTACTTCAACCACTACTACCACTACTATTACTACTTCAACCACTACTACTACCATTATTACTACCACTACTACTACTACTACTTCAGTCACTACTTTAACCACTACTACAACAACTACTACTACTACAACTACTACTACAACCACTACTACTATCACCTACTATTACTACTACTCCGACAACCACCACTTCAACCACTACTTCTACTACTACTTCAAACACTATTACTACTACTACTACTACTACTACTACTACTTCAATCACTACTTTAACCACTACTACTACTACTCCTACAACCACCACTTCAACCACCACTACTACTACTACTTCAAACACTATTACTACTACTAGTAGAAGTAGTAGTACTACTACTTCAATCACTTGTGTCAGTCATAATCTGAGGGATTTTTGTTGCGGCATTTTCTGCTTTAGTCTCATTTTCAAGCACAGTTTTCTGTATTTGAGCTCAACTAATACAAGATATTCCCTCTTTACTGTTGGCGGTTTGCAAATGGGTCAAAACTAGAGACATCTGGGCAGTGGTGGAACAGAAATAAACAAAACATGTACTTAAGTAAAAATTGTAGGTGTCTGTACTTTACTTAAGTACACTAAAGAATGGATATTTTTACTTTTACTTCACTACATTTGAGAGCAGGTATCTGTACTTTCTACTCCACTACATTTTTGAACAGGACTGAAAAGTCAAAGTATTTTTATTATAGTTTGAGACCTGCTGAAAAGGCCAAGGGGGTTATTTTTATCATGTTCATCATGTGAGCAAACAAAAAATACAAATACAAACAGTTGGAAAAAATAAATAAATACTTTGATTCATTTGTTTCTGTTGTACAAAATTCTGCACAAATCTGTATCAGTCACTACATTTGAAGCTTTATTAGATCTCAAAATCTGCACAAAATACTTTTAATTTTTACTCTTGAAATACATTTTTAAATGGGTACTTAGTAGATCTTTTCATGTGATACTTTTACTTTTACTTGAGTACTTTTTGCTCCACTATCTGTACTTTTACTGAAGTAACAAAATGGAGTACTTCTTCCAACGCTGCATCTGAGCCATTTCTTTTGTTAAACTGAGACAAATCACTGGTGTTGTATAAATCTGCTGGTACAGAGGACACAGGACTCAAAACTGGGACTGTCCTGGGTAAATAGGGACGTCTGGTTTAGTCTTGGTGTAGATCTCATTTGTTTCACAGATTTCAGATGGCGCACTCTGCCTCCACTTGTAGTAAATACTGCTGTGATATTTTACAGCTCTACAATGAATTTGAAATTTTGAGACATAAAAAAACACATTAAACAGATTGATTTCAGAATGTATTTGTTATTGAAAAGTTCCAGTTCTGATTCAAGTCAACACAAAACACAGTTCCATGTACACACAGAAACACAAAGCACACACACCATCACCGCTCTAGTCTGACATGACATTTAGAGCACATACTTACATACACTTACTTTACATACTTTACACTTGCTTTACTTACTTTACATATACATTGGAAATGAAAGTTGAAATAAAGTTAGTTCAAAACAGTTCAAACAAGTATGTAGAGATTACTACAACTAAACTTATATATTGTCTAGACTTTAGTGGTTTAGTCCTGGTACAGTACTGGATATAATCTAATTTAGAGAAAGAAATTAGAAAACATATGAGTTGGTAGTAGTAGTAGCAGTAGTAGTAGTAGTAGTAGTAAAAAAAAAGGCAATATGATTTTATCCTGTTTATAAAAAGATAGATAGATAAATAGATAGATTAGCATTGATCCTTGTTCATTAGAGTTTTGCTTTAATTCTAGTTTTAATCATTTAGTATCTTTTTTATTCCCTCATGTAGAGACTTTTATCTGAATAGTTAAAAATGCAAGACACAATTTTATTCTAAACTGGGGAGAACAAAGCTGCTATTTGAGTTTAGGGAAATGTGCAGTGTCTCCAGTATAATAAATCCCAACCCCAACGTAGAGAGGCTGAGTGAACCTGGTCTTGACTCTGTGGAGGAGGCTCATGGTACTTTCAGAGATACTGTAAAATGCCAAAACTCCTGCACTGTGGTCCAGGTAAACCCCGATTCTGGACTTGACTGGACCTGAGACAATATTTGAGACCTGGGACTTGACATTGTTAAACCAAAATGAATAACTGTTAGATTCAAACTCTAAGGACCAGGATTTTTTATTATTTCCAAATCCACATCCATTAGAGTCTTTCCTCTGAATATCTCTGTATGAAACTGCTATATCAACACATTCTCCGCTCCACTCCACCTCCCAGTAACAGCGACCCGTCAGACTCTCTCTGCTCAGAACCTGCCCCACATAACTGAATCTGTCTGGATGATCTGGATAACTCTGGTGTTTACTCAAAACTGTTACTGTTCTGTTTCCATCAGACAGAGACAGTCTGGTGTTAACTGTGTTTGGGTCCAGAGTGATTTCTATAGAATACTGTAAGAAGTCGTCTCTGGAGCTGGGTTCAGCTTGTGGTAGTAAAACCTGGACTAGACTCAGAGTGAGTTGGAGTGTGTCTCTGAGCTCGGACACAGCTCTGGTCACTTCCTCAAAGTAGCTCCGGTCCCCTGTGTGAATGGTGTGTGTCTCTGTGCTCTGTGTGTGTGGGGACAGTGAAGTGTAGACCTGTATAAACTGGTTATGATCCTGGGTCAACTTCAAATCGAATCACAATTAGAAAACTTACGTCATGTCCAGATTTATCAGCCCTTCAAGGAAACAGCAATCAAGAAATACTCCATCGTCTGCTGACAGGTGAGGGCAGGTGAGGGTAGGTGACAGGTGATGACAGTACATCCACTTCTGTCATTTTGATGTTTTACTTTTTATTGCAATATATAGAGACAGAACAAAGAGTAACAGACATTTTGACTTGACTCTTGAAAATCAACGACATTTGCAATTTGTTTGAAAACAATTCGGTTCAAGATTCAGATTTTAAACCCACGTAGACGAAAAGATCCAAATTGACAAACTAAAACAAGAATCACATTTCAGAACATGTTTGTACAGATCTAAACTACAGAGTTACACGTTTAATGCACAATAATACAGGAGGTTTGGGATTTTGTGGTGGAAATGATGTTACTTCCAAAAACTGCAGCCTTTTAGTTTTGATAAATGCATTTATTGAAACGCCACTTTAAAGGTGCATTGTGGGACGTTTCTGGTAGTGGGACCGCCACCTGTTTGTCTCCATGGTGATATTAAACTTGCCTAACTCCATGGAGACAGACAGGAGGGACGATCAAGCAAGTTACAGGTCAGATCTGTGGAGAAGTCGGCCCTTTCACAACACGTTTTCCAAGGTATTTTTAAGCAATAAAAACACATGTAACTGATTCAATACTGGAGAGATGTTTAATGCCATACTGTGGAACATCCAAGGCAAAACAAGAGCCTACATCAGAAACGTTACGCAGTGCACCTTTAACTCGTGTTTAGAAGTTCTCTGTTCCTCTCCCCTCTCTCTTCCCCCTCCCTTTCTCAGTCTACCTCTCTCCCTCTCTCCCATTCACCTCCCTCTTTCTTCTTCTCCCTCTTTCTCTCACCCTTCCCTTCCCTATTTCTCTCCCTCCCTCTCGTTCTGTCCCTCTCTCTAGATAAAGTGCAGGTTGATTTGGTTGGTTATAGATTACTGAAGTAAGAGTACTTTTACGCTGTACTATTATATTACTTAATTAATAGTAAACGTGTGGATTCTGAGAAATAGTGCACTCCCAGCGTGATTTCAATGCAAAGTATCAACTGCTGGGTTTCACAACACATCGGTACATTATAATAGGCCAGTAATATTGAATAAAGATGAGGACAGTTCAAATGAATCTTGTTCAAATGCAGATTTCTTTTGTAAAACTGTGACTTCTTGGGTTTAGTCAATCTAGAAATGATCTGGTTCAACATTTGTGAATTGACCTCTTACATATTTCATGTCAAAGTACAACGTCATCAGTTGGGAAAACTGGCTCTTGCCCCATCTGGGATTATGGCATCATAAACGGTTACCTAGCAACCACCATGTTAACAAGGGCCAAAGGTGAAACAGGGACATGCCCGAGCTGGGACTGTTGAGATAAATACTGGTGCTATATTTTACAACTCTACAATGAATTTGAGATTTAGAGACAGAAAAAAACACATGAAACAGGTTGATTTCAGAATATATTTGTGATTGAAAAGTTCCAGTGTAAAGATGGTGCTGTTTGTCTTCATCATTATATAACCAGTGTTCCTCATTCTGTGGCCCTGAGCAACTTGTACAATTCTGATTCAAGTCAACACAAAACACAGTTCCATGTACACACAGAAACACAGAGCACACACACCATCACTGCTCCAGTCTGACATGACATTTACATACACTTACTTTACATACTTTACACTTACTTTACATACTTTAAAATTACATTGGAAATTAAAGTTGAAATAAAGTTAGTTCAAAACAGTGTCTGATGTCAAATATGTAGAGATTAGAGAATATATGAATTTAGTTGTAGTAGACTTTAGTGGTTTAGTCCTGGTTTAGTACTGGATATAATCTAATTTATAGAAAGAACATTCTAGGTAGAAATTAGAAAACATATGAGTTAGTAGTAGTAGCAGTAGTAGCAGTAGTAGCAGTAATAGCAGTAGTAGTTGTTGTTGATATTGCATTTCTGATAGAGACCAAGAACACTGTAAAAAACGCATAGGCATTATGATTTTTGTTCTGTTTTTGTACTTTTTTAGCATTGATTCTTGTTCATTAAAGTCTTGCTTTAATTATAGTTTCAAAATCATTTAGTATCTTTTTTTATTCCATCATGAAGAAACTTTTATCGGAATAGTTAAAAAGGCACAAATTTGATTCTAAACTGTGGACAACAAAGCTGCTATTTGAGTTTAGGGAAATGTGCAGTGGCTCCAGAATACTTGTAAATCCAGACCCCAGCATAGAGAGGCTGAGTGAACCTGGTCTGGACTCTGTGGAGGAGGCTCATGGTACTTTCAGAGACGCTGTAAAACGCCAAAACCCCTGCACTGTGGTCCAGGTAAACCCCAATTCTGGACTCGACCAGACCTGAGACTGGACCTGAAACCTGGGACTGGACTTTGTTAAACCAAAATGAATAACTGTTAGGTTCACGCTGTAAGGCCCAGGATTTATCATTGTATCCAAATCCACATTCAATAGAGTGTCCTTTCCTCTGAATATCTCTGTATGAAACTGCTATACGAGCCCACACTCCGCTCCACTCCACCTCCCAGTAACAGCGACCCGTCAGACTCTCTCTGCTCAGAACCTGCTCCCAGTAACTGAATCTGTTTGGATGTTTTGGGTAACTCTGGTGTTCACTCACACGTGTTACTCTTCTGTTTCCATCAGACAGAGACAGTTTGGTGTGAACTGAGTTTGGGTCCAGAGTGATTTCTGTAGAATATTGTAAGAAGTCGTCTCTGGAGTTGGGTTCAGCTTGTGCCAGTAAAACCTGGACTGGACTCAGAGTGAGCTGGAGTGTGTCTCTGAGCTTGGACACAGCTCTGGTCACTTCCTCAAAGTAGCTCCGGTCCCCTGTGTGAATGGTGTGTGGCTCTGTGCTCTGTGTGTGTGGGGACAGTGAAGTGTAGACCTGTATAAACTGGTTATGATCCTGTGTGAGGGCCAGTGTGTCTAGCTCAGAGAGGCTCCTCTTCAGCCCCCTCACGTCCTGCTGCAGTTGGTCCTGGAGCTCTTGGACTCGGCTCAGTTGGGTCTGCTCCTGGGAGCGGATCTGCTGCTCCACTTCAGAGCGTCTTTTGTCCAGGAGAAGGGCCATCTGTGTGAAACTGTCCCCGCTGCACTGCACTGCTGTCTGGGCAGAGTGTCTGATGTCCTGGGCCTCCTGTTGGAGCCTCTTCAGGTCTGTCTCTTTGTGCTGGAGGTTCTGGAGCAGCAGGGCCCTCCTGGCCGGCAGCTCTGCCTGCCTCTGAGCCCTCTCTGAGGCAGAGGTCACTATGTCATGACCCTTATGTTGATCCACAGAGCAGAGGTAACAGACGCTCTGCTGGTCACTGCGGCAGAATAGATCCATCACTTTGTCGTGTTCAGAGCAGATGTTTTCCTGTAGCATGTGAGACGGCTCCACCAGCTGGTGTTTCTTAAACGCTGCAGCTTCATGATGAGGCTGTAGGTGGCGCTCACAGTAAGAGGCCACACACTGCAGACAGGACTGGACAGCTCTTAGCTTCCTCCCAGTGCACACATCACAGGACACATCCTGAGGTCCGGCATAGCAGCGAGCAGCAGGGGGCGCTGTCTTCTTCATCTGCCTGGGGCTGAACCTGAGGTCACATTCAGGACAGCTGTAGAGCTGCTTGTCGTCCTCTTGGTCCCAGTGCTGTTGGACACAGTTCCTGCAGTAGCTGTGTCCACAGGGAATAGTCACAGGATCCTTCAGTAGATCCAAACACACGGAGCAGGAAAAGGCTTCTTGGTCGAGTGTTTTCTGCGCCATCTCTCCTGGATCACAAACACTTGGACTTTGACACAAATGATCTTTTGAGAGTGGAGTGAGAGCTGTGGGAGGAGCCACACCCACAGCTCTGTGTAGATGTGAGGAGGAAGTGTCAGCAGCAGCACACACAGTTTAAATGTGTAATTTAAACATTAACGTATCAACAAACACGACCTTCATCAGGGCTCCTTCTAGAAGGACATGTGTGTTTATTGGTGTAGTCCTGGTTTAGTCTCAGTCTGGACCAGTTGGACTCCTGTTTTACATTTGTTTAGTCCATTCTCAGATAGCTTTAGTCTGTGGCTCATTCTTTAACATTCTTTTAACAACCGTTTGTTTGTTTGTTTGTTTGAATAATGATAGAACTTTAGTGAATCATTATTTCACTGGAGTTGATTTGCTGTAACAGAGACGACTTTGAACTTTGTGCGAGTTTTAGTTTATATTCTTCGACTTCAAATCGAATCACAATTAGAAACCTTACGTCATGTCCAGGTTTATCAGCCCTTCAAGGAAACAGCAACCAGGAAATACTCCACCGTTTACTGACAGGTGAGGGCAGGTGAATTTTTATTGTGATACACAGACAGAACAAAGAGTAAAAGACATTTTGACTTGACTCTTGAAAATCAATGACATTTGCGATTTATGTTTTTAAAGAATTTGGTTCAAAGTTCACATTTTAAACACAAGTAGAAGAAAAGATCCTCTCTCTCCCCCATCACTTTCTCAGTCTAAATCTCTCCCTCCCTTCTTCCCTCTCCCTCCCTCTCTCCCATTCGCCTCCCTCTCCTCTTCTCCCTCTCTCTCTCTCACCCTTCCCTTTCCTCTTTCTCTCCCTCCCTCTCTTTCTGTCCCTCTCTCTGGATGAAGTGCAGGTTGACGTTTCTGTCTGGGACCAGCACAGTTCTGTTCAGACTCTTCAGTTCTCCCACCGAAGGGTCCGGCCGGATCTCGAACAAACGCACCAACTGTAGGAGAGAGAGAGATGGAGAGACAAGAAAAGCAATAAATAGAGAGGGAGGAAGGAAGGAAAAGAATGAGACAAATGGAGTCAGAAATAGTACATTGGTATTGGCAACATAAAATCAAACATATGAGAGAATTCACATCTTGTCAGTTTGTCATTTGTACAGCTGTTGTTTCCATGGCAACACATGTTATAGACAGAGCAACAGACACTCCTGGATCACAAACACTTGGACTTTGACACAAACAAGCGCAATCAGAAATAGCAACCTGTTTCCCCATGAGGTATCGGTGGGGGCAGTTCATCACCACAGAAGCAGCTTGTGAGCAGTCCAGCCTATATTACATGATCGCAATGTGTGCATGTGCACAGGCCCATAAACATTTGTGTGATATTGGTCACACATGAGAATGTCTGTGTTTACTAGTGTGTAACCAAAATGTCATTTTTCATGAGTTGTGTTTATGTTAGTTGTGTGACTGTAGATCAGTGTGTTGTGTTTCACCAGAAAAACAAGAAATGGAAATTATTTTTGTTCCATTTAGTATTTTAACAGCATACACTGAAAGAGAAAGGAACTGTTATAATTAGTGATTATCTCGAAAACTATTCATATTTGATTATATAAATGAATAGAATTATAAATAGATAATAATTTTTCTGAGATTTTGAGACACTCCCGTTGCTCTAGCTCGATCCTTTATGGAGTTATGACCAAAAAAACACATATTTGACCTTGGTTACCTTGACTTTCAAGTGACCTTGACCGATTTCAACCTGTAACATCCAGTGTACTCCGGTTATGTGTGTGTCAACTTGTGTGATGATTGGGTGAATATTTTAGGCCACAGGTGGTTCAGAAATTGGGGAAATTGCCTGTCCTTTATAATGGTGTGACCTTTCAATTGACCCGTGTGACCTCAAATGACCTCAGATCATCACCAAACGTTTTTGCAGCATTGGGCACAGGGGCTTGACCCACGTACCAAATTTGGTGACAATCAGTCCATAAATGGTGGAATTATCGCGAGTGGACAGACACACACACACAGACACACAGGGTGAATACAAAACCTGGTCAAACCTTCAGGGACCAGGTAATAAAACTTCAGAGTGGAGTGAGAGGTGTGGGAGGAGCCACACCCACAGCTCTGTGTAGATGTGAGGAGGATGTGGCAGCTCTTAAAGACACACACATGTTTTATCAGAGTTGAAATGAGAGTGTGTGACAGTTTACAGTCACAGACACAGAGTCATTGGGCACAAGTCAAACTCTCCAAAAGAGAATCAAAGAGGAACACAGTGTAAAGGATCAGTGTAGTGCCACAGTGCTTTGGTGTGAGGAAACAGGATATGTTCATATATTTCAGCCTAAGGGGGTGGGTGCAGTATACTTTCACTACTACTTGAGTAACATTTTTTATTGAAGTAGCAGTACTTTTAATTGTTTTGCTTTCTCTTCCCACTGTAAGTTTAAAGTGACAAAACCTTTAAGTGACAATATGAAATAATGAGTGTTTTTTGCAGCGCTCCTTCAGATATCACTGAGTTTGTTTCACTTGTGTGTCTGTACTTCAAAAATACCACATTTTTTGTATTATTTAATATTTTGTCCTTCACCTTACAGTCGCCTTCAAATTATAATCAGAACCTGACAGTTACTCTTTAAGTTAATCTTACTTGAGTAGTTGTTTTCCCATATACGTTTTTACTAATGAGTAATTTCTTGGACTTCTACTTTGCATTTCTACTTGAGTAATATTATTTTGAAGTAACGTGCCCCTTATTTCAGTACAATGTTGTCTGCTCTACCACCTCTGGTCATTTCCAGTGCTTTTACCTGGAAGAGAGCCATGGTCATCTCCAACTCTGCGATGCGGCGCCCCACACAACCCCTGACCCCAAAGCCAAACGGGATGGAACCAAAAGGATGAGGCAGTGAGTGACCGTCCCTGATCCAGCGCTCCGGATGGAACTCAAACGCAGCGGGAAACGTGCGCTCGTCGTGGGAGATGGCGTAGTGATAGAAGACAAACGGGGTCTGTGAGGAAAAACACACAATTATTTCAATTGATGCTTGTGTTTGTCCAGTAATGGGAAGTAACTGAATACATGTACTGAGCATGCACATTCTAGATACTCATTCTGAGTAACTGTGTTCCAGTACATTTACTTTTTCATTTGGTGGTGTTCAGAATACAGTTACATGAGGAATTTCGCACATTTAGCGTTGAAATCTACAATATTAATAAGGACAAAATAAAATACAGCTCTGGCAGTGTGTGTGTGTGTGTGTGTGTGCGTGGTGTATGTGTGCGCGTGTGTGTGTGTGTGTGTGTGTGCGTGCATGCGTGTGCGTGTGTGTGTGATTTTATGTCTCTAAGTGGACACAAGTGAATGGTAGTAATGGGCCAAACAAATTGATGTCACTTTTGTCACTGTGTGTATCACTTTAAGAAAAGTCATGTGACCGATGCATGTACCGTGTCATGTGACCGATGCATGTACCGTGTCATGTGACCGATGCATGCACCGTGTCATGTGACCGATGCATGTACCGTGTCACGTGACCGATGCATGTACCGTGTCACGTGACCGATGCATGTACCGTGTCACGTGACCGATGCATGTACCGTGTCACGTGACCGATGCATGTACCGTGTCATGTGACGATACATGTTCTGGGTCATGTGACCGAAGCATGTGCTGTGTCACACATTGACATCTTTCATTTGTTGGAGGTCAGAGCTCATCCATCACACACGAGTATCTCGTGTCTGATAAACGAGCCCTGCACTGTGTCAATGCTTCTGCTTAGGAAGCACTTCATTTTCTAAACCACTAGATGGTGCTATAGAATGAACCAACACAATGTGTTGGAACTGTGTCACACACACCTGCAGGCATCATCTACCCTTCACTAGTTAATGCATAGCAACAAAAATAAAGCTGTTTGTAATTATATGTCATGTTTTACACTATAGGTTTAATATATTGCAACATGATGTAAAAGTATTCAGAATGCACTGCTCTGATAAAACCATTTATCAGAATATGTTACAAAATACATTTTAATGCAGGTATTCATTATTTTGTAAGTATAGTTTTTCAAAGTATTCTTCACAACACTGTGCATACCTATGGACAAATGTTCAGCAGTTACCATGGTGACACAATGTACACATTAGCAAACACAGGCTGATAAGTTGTAAGCTCTAAAGGCTCATTTATGCTCTGTGTTCTAGACACATACAAGTACAGACAGACACTCTGCATTATTCTGACATTTGGTCCATCTCCTCATGTGGAGTGTTAAACTAACTGCCCAATCATAACAGATCAACACTTCTGGTGAAATTAAATTAAGTGGAATAAATGAAAAAAACACTTGGATCACAAATACTTGTATGATTGGGCCCACTCACAGTCAGAAACCGAAAAAAATAAAATAAAATAAAATAAATAGAATAAATGTAAGGTAGAGATGTTTAATGCCATACTGTGGAACATTCCAGACTGGGCTATGACATAGAAACAAGCAGGTGATGGACCCTTCACCGGAAAAGTTACACAGTGGACTTTTAAAGTGAATACTTTTTACTTTCACTGCCATTTAGAGAAGGCATCTGCATATTCTACTCCTCTACATTTGTAATCAGGACTGAAAAGTAAAAGTATTTATACCTGCTGAAAAGCCTGAAGGTTTATTTTTATTTATTTTTGTAGTTTAAGCAAAAATATACAAATAAAAAAGGGGGAAAAAAAACAAAAACGAATTCAGTTGTTTATATTGAACAAAATTCAACACAATTCTTTGTCAAAATCACTACATTAGAAGTTTTATTAGATCTGTAAATCTGCATGAAAAATACTTTTTACACTTTAAGTAATTAAATTTTTAAGCGGGTAGTTTAATACTTTTACTTATGAAGATTTTTAATTTTTTTTTCATGTGATACTTTTACTTTTAATTGAGTAGTTTGTTTTTTTTCTGGTATCAGTACTTTTACTTAAACAGCACAATTAAGTACTTCTTCCACCACAGTAGTGCAGTTAGAATTGAAAGAGAACCCATAGTCTGAAAACAAGCTGAACAAAAAACTGTAATACAAATAACACTTTATGCTTGTCAAAATATATAGAACTGAATCAAATGTTTAATCTGTACAATTGTATTCAAATATGGATCGCTTGTGCCGCTACAGTCCTGTGGAAAACACTGCATCGATACTCGAAATATTTGGAGAAATATGACATACAGTAACCAGGTCCTCCCACTGTTTTTGTCAACTGCCAGAGGGACAGAAACATAAAACATAAAACATAAAACATTGAGCATAATAGACAACTGTACTAATTTGCCTTATGTCTCTCAAATGCAGAAGACATCCCTGAATCTTCTCGTATTCAGGGCAAAACATAGCACTTCTTTTACCTTATTTTAGTTTATTTTAGTTCGGGGGGGCTGTAGTTCTTTAGTCATTTAGCGGATATAAGGAGATACAGAACCATGTAATTTTGAGGTTGGCAGGACTTTATGATTTTAGTCCCAAGATTTTCTTAAGTCGACCTTAGCACCTTATTTTTTGATTCGTAAGAAGTAGAAAGAAAATGCTACTGACAGACAATAACAGCACATGTTTCCGTGCAATAAAACCAACCAAAAAGTAAAAAAAAAAAAAAAGAAAAATAAGTGACTTTAAGCTTTAAGTTTGAATAAAAAACAGACTTACCTTCTTTGGAAAATAGTATCCACCAATTACAACATCTTTCTCTGAGAAGATTCTTGCGTTCATGGGGACAACTGGATACATGCTGAAAGACACAGAGTTTTGCCGTCATGGTAAAGATAACAACAAACAACTAATATGCTAACAGTTCACTTCCTGATTATCAGAAAATAAAATGCTTTATAATCAGATGCAGGCAGCAGACTTATTTTGACCTCCAGAGCTGCTAATACAATCTATTTGCACTTGGGCAAGACTAAATATTGACATAAAAAGATCTGGTACAGGGTTTATTTATTTCAAAGTGGTTGTTGTTACTGTTGAAAGAAGGTTATTATGTTAAATAGATTTTTTTTTTTTTAGCTTTCTACCATGTTATAATGTTGTTCTTTCATCAAAAACATGTCTGAAGAGGTTTTAGATGTCATCCATACACGTTTCAGTAATCTAGCAATCTCTCTCGGGCCCTATTCAAGCCCTCATTAAGGCTAGCTGTTAGGTTCTGTACGAGGCTCCGCCCACAAGCCTACGTCACCCAAAATGTGATACAAAACTGTACACAGCAACTTTGCAAACCTGGTGTGATGTGCGATAGTTTCATAAGCGGGGTACTGATTGTGTTGTGATAGTGCTCTGAAGGGGAGAGACTTAATGTAGAGAGCAAAGTGAGGGGGAATTCAGAACATCAAAAACAAAAGTTAAACTTATGAAACGTGTTAAGATTAGTTAAGTAGTTTTCAGCAAATGTAGTGTGAAGTCAAGTGCCCCCTTTTTAAAACGACTGTGAAAAAAAGGATCTAAATCACTGAATGCAAAACAATAACTGTCCCCGCTTCCTTGAATACTTCTCCTATATTTAACCCAGGGGAATAATTTCTTCTTGTACCGTAGTGTTTCTTTAATGGTGGCCTTCAGGTAGGGCATCCGGGTTACTTCCTCTGCAGAGGGCTCTGGGCCGCTCTGGGAAACCTCACTGTAGAGTCTCCTCTGGACCTCAGGGTTCAGGGAGAGCAGGTGCAGGGCCCAGGTCAGAGTGTTCGATGTCTGGGCAGAAAGAACCAAAACAGGACTAAAGGTTGAGTTTATCTGTTATCCCTGTGGAGGTTATGCACATGACATCACAACATTCAGATTTTCCCAAATGACATTATAGTGCGTGTCATTGGTAATTATTATTAAATTATTTCCTCTGTAACTTCTTCAATATGTCTTCTATAGATGCACTTGAAGACATCTGGTGTAACCTTGGGTCTTCAGGTGTTTCGGGTCTTTCAGCATCGGACACCCTCGCCCTGGTGGCCCAGTGAGCATTCAGGTGGGACTCGCCAGTGCCCATGGTCCCCCTCTTCAGATCCATCCCGAGGTTATTCTTCCTGTGCCCAATGTACTCAGGACTCTGTGAAGTGAGTGGCCTACGTGCATTTGCCTTCCAACCTGAGCTCAGCTATCAGTGGTCAGCTGTACATACTTGAACCTCGTTCTTTCATGGGCTTCTTCCAGGCGGTCCTCCCATGGCACTGTCAGCTATTCTTGGTGCTCTCTGAGACCACCAGGATGTCTGGACTTAGGGTGAGACTGATGATGTGCTGGGGGAATCTCACTTGTTTTTCCAGGTCTATGCAGGTTCCAAGGTGGAATGGTAAACATTCCCAAGCCCGTCCTGCCATGGACCACCACTCCCACTAGTTCTTTGTACTGCAGCTGAGTGTCTGCATCGAGAACCGCTGCTTGGGCACTCCCCGTCCTATCTCTAGTGTCCGTGTCACCTTGAACTCCTCCTCTAGCTATTTCAAGGGCAAACAAAACTGGTGGTGTTCCCATAGAGGGCAATATTTCTAAGGCTCTGGACACCCCTAACCATCTCCTGAAACAGCTGCTGGTCTCCTCTCCAGTGTCTCCACTGTTGAGATGGAGACTTTATAGACAAGTAGCAGCCAGCGGAGTATTCTTGCAACACACCGTGCTGGTAAATCCATGCTTTGCTCTGCCGCTCCTCCTGTGGTTGGCAGTATGGGGTGCACTCATCTTGATTGCTTTCCCTGCATTTTCCCAGTAATTTATCAGGGAAATTGTCAGATCAGAAATGTAGGAAAATCAGCTCTGGCGTAGTTCAGACCTGTTCTGGAAAAATGCATGTGAATTCAGGCTCATGTGTGAATGGGGCTGTTACCGTGTCGACTCCAGCCAGCAGCAGCTCGGCCACGCTCCCGTACACGTCCTTCAGGCTCATGTTGGTGTTCGACAGGAGGTATGTCAGATACTCGCCCTCCAGCGCCTCCTGCTGGTCCACACGCTGCTCAATCTCCACCAGCTTACGGTCTATCAACACCTTCGCTGAAAGAGGACAAATAAAACTTAATGAATTAATTAATCACACTAAATGACAGAAAATTACACAGTGGTCGGTTGGAGGAGCAGATGGTGAACATCGGCAGCCTTGTTTTCATCATTATCTGTTTGTACAAGCATCTCTAGCTGATGAATGCAAGAGGAGGCACTGTTAACCTATATTATGCAAAAGGAATTCATATAAGTTTTAAGCCACCTCCTCAAAAACAGACCTGGAGTTGTGTTTTGTTTCATTCACACATGTTTGAGTAATTTTATTATTAATCTGTTTATATCTCCATAGCTTAAAGTGCTCTGTTCCACTTTGTGATGTCATGAAGCTGTAGTTTTCAAGTTAACAGCTACTTTTACCCTTTTTGCTGCAGCAACACTTCCTCTGCTCTTCTCAGTCCCCTCTGTGTCTCAGTGAAAGGTCTCAGTTTTACAGGAGGACTGGTCAGGGAGGGTCAGGTCTGTGTCAGGGCAGTTTGAGGAGAGGACGTGCCAAAAGTGTCCCTTTTGTGTCCTGCAGCATCACAGCAGCCTCCAGGGGGCGCCAGGTGAACAGTACCAGGATTTGTGCTTGTTTAAAGATGCAGTATGTAACTTTTCTGGTAGAGGACCTTTTAATTAAGGATTGAGTTAATCCTTGGGTTGCCATAGGGCTTTTCCAGCCACCCAAAGTGCTTTACAGTGCAGTGTTCATTCACTCCACACCCAGTGATGGTAAAATACTACTGTAACCACAGCTGCCCTGGGGCAGACTGATAGGAGCGAGGATGCAATCTGCCCCATCATCCCCTCCCACCACCAGCAACACTCACACATACACCACTTTTGCACACACACCACATTCATAGTACTGTGGGTGAAGTGTCTTGCCTAAGGACACAACGACACCTGGCACCTGGTATTCCCAGCGGTCTCCCATTTAAGTACTAACCAGGCCCGGCCTTGCTGAGCTTCAGAGATCTGACGAGATCAAGCTCAAAGCTCCATGGAAACATTCTTGTTTTATCTGAATGTTCCACAGTGTGGCATTAAACTTATCTCCACTTAGACAAGAAGAAGAGTCACCAAGCCAAGTTACAGGTCAGATCTTTTTTAAAGGTTTTAGAGAAATATAAACACCAGTAACTGCATCAATGCATGTTAGATCAGTTTAATACTGTGGAAAATAAAAGTCAAAGAAATGACATCTCCGTGGATACAGCCCTTTCCTACCTGAAAAGTTACATTTGCACCTTTAAAGAGGACATATGCTGTCAAATGTATTTTTGTGAGCTTTTAAGCATGTTACGACTGGCCAGCAGCAGAGAATCAGTTCTGCTATTCTGACAGACGTGTTTTTACTGTTAATCCATTTTAGATCAGTGCTGCTGTGGACAATTAACAAAATGTTTTAAAAAGTCTTGGTCTTTATAAAGTTTCATCCATTGTGTTAAAAGGAATCAGAAGTCAGATGTTGCACTCACTGACCGAATTTGAAGATGCCCGCCCAGCCTTCGTTGTAGCGGCGCCAGTAGGGCAGTAGGGGGCGACTCCACTTGGGCAGGACAATGACATAGGGACTGTAGGAGAACATCTGGATTATGGAGTTTATGAAATCCTGTGTGCCCTCGGGAATCGGATCCTCCAGACAGCCGATCCTCGTCTCAAACAAGATGGACGCTATACCTGAGAGACAAAAGAGAACTCGGTCATTTTGGGACAGTTTCCATAAATTTGTATACTGAGAGCTTTTACAGAGAATGTTTTCTCAAATGATTTTTCTAATGTTTTATGATTTGGCTTCTGGATCACTCTGAAACACCAAACAGCAACTGTGATATTCCTCCATGTAGAACATAACTTAAATTTGAACAGTCACTTAAATCTTGCCTTAAAACAAACCAAAACTGTCCCCAAAATATAAATAAATAAAATAAAATAAATAATGTGCAAGAGTGAATGAGAGATTTGACTGAATGGGATTTGAAAATGTAGAATAGGCTCTGTTGAGTCATGTTAAAATGAATAAATATTTAAAGATAAGGCACTGAACAGGGAGCTGTGGCTGGATGTCACTATATGTTAAAATGTACACAAATCAAACTTAAACGAAGAACATTTCTGCTTTTACAACAATCCGTGTATCATTCGTTCATTCGTTTTTCAATATAAAACCAAAAATAAGAAAATGAAAAAACAACAGTTTTCTTCATTGTTTGTCTCCAAAACCAAAATGAAAAAACAGATAATGATCCGTTTTTTCAGTTTTCAATTTTGTGTTTAAATGAAGAACGGAAAAAATGGATAACGGCCGTTTCCCGTTTACGTGACTTCCGTGACTACGATGCCGGACTTTTGCACCGCATACACAGTGAACAAGGACTGATCCAGGTGCGGACCAGAGCAGGACCAGAGCAGGACTGAGACTGGGACCACAGCGGGACCAAAGCGGACTCCGAGCTTTGACTCCAAGCCTCCGCGGGGTCCAAGCCTCAACTTCGAGCTCCAGCCCTGCCGTGGGCTCTGAGCCTCCGGTCTGGTCCCGGTCTGGTCTCAGTCTCGGTCTGGTCCTGGTTTCAGTCCTGGTCTCATTCTCGGTCTGATCTCGGTCTCAGTCTCGGTCTCAGTCCCGCTCTGGTCTCGGTCTGGTCGCGGTCTCAGTCCTGATCTCAGTCCTGGTCTCAGTCTCGGTCTGGTCCCGGTCTGGGCTCGGTCTCAGTCCCGCTCTGGTCTCGGTCTAGTCTCGGTCTCAGTCTCGGTCTCGTCCCGGTCTGGTCTCGGTCTGGTCTCGGTCTCAGTCCCGCTCTAGTCTCGGTCTGGTCTCGGTCTGGTCTCGGTCTCAGTCTCGGTCTCGTCCCAGTCTTGTCTCAGTCTCAGTCCCACTCTGGTCTCGGTTTGGTCTCGGTCTGGTCTCGGTCTCAGTCTCGGTCTCGTCCCGGTCTCGTCTCGGTCTCAGTCCCGCTCTGGTCTCGGTCTGGTCTCAGCCTCAGTCTCGGTCTCGTCCCGGTCTCAGTCCCACTCTGGTCTCGGTCTGGTCCCGGTCCCAGTCCTGGTCTCAGTCCTGGTCTCAGTCCTGGTCTCAGTCTCGGTCTGGTCCCGGTCTGGTCTCGGTCTCAGTCTCGGTCTGGTCTCGGTCTCAGTCTCGGTCTGGTCCTAATCTGGTCTCTGTCTCAGTCTCGGTCTGGTCCTGGTCTGGTCCCGGTCTGGTCTCGGTCTCAGTCTCGGTCTGGTCCAGGTCTCGTCTCGGTCTCAGTCCCGCTCTGGTCTCGGTCTGGTCCCGGTCTCAGTCCTGGTCTCAGTCCTGGTCTCAGTCTTGGTCTGGCCCTGGTCTGGACCCGGTCTGGTCCCGGACCTGAATCAGTCCTGGTTCAGTTCGGCATCACAGTCACGGAAGTCACGTAAAACAGGAAAAGGCTGCAATCCGTTTTTTCCATTCTTCATTTAAACACACGTTGAGAGGAGCCAGTTGAGGTGGATCGGGCATCTGTTCCGGATGCCTCCTGGATGTCTCCCTCGGGAGGTGTTCCGGGCACGTCCCACCGGGAGGAGGCCCCGGGGAAGACCCAGGACACGCTGGAGGGATTATGTCTCTCGGCTGGCCTGGGAACGTCTCGGGATCCCCCTGGAAGTCTGGGATTCCCCCCTCAGACTGTTGCCCCCGCGACCCGACCCTGGATAAGCGGAAGAAAATGGATGGATGGATCTTGAATCATATATTTTAGTGTAGAAAAGCTCAACCAGGGACGGAAGTTGAAAATGTGCGTGGCATCATCTGCAGCCTTTGTTTTGTGATTGCGTCTGACTGCATTGTCCCTGAAAAGAAATGAATTCATAAATAAACTAGAAAAGCACTCAGAGAGCGCAGACCTCCGCCAAGGACTACCCCCATTTTTTATATAAATTGCGATAAAATCAGTCTTCTGGATCAGATCCGGATCAGCCTTTGGAATATGAAAGAGGATCCCATTGTCCATCCCTGAGTCAAATTTCATGGGGTTTGGTCAATAATTAACCAAGATATTGAGAAACTAAATTTTTGGCCCCATTTACCACAATGTTAACTAAAATTTCAAAGTGATCCAGAATCCAGGATTTCTTCCGGATCACCCCCAAAATGAAATCAGTTCTTCCTTTTCACATTTCCAACAAATCCTGAAAATGTCATCAAAATCGGTCCATAACTTTTTGAGTTATGTTGCTAACAGACAAACAAACAAACAAACAGACAAACCCCGGCAAAAACATAACCTCCTTGGCGCAGGTAATAACGATAATAAGAAGCTGCCCACCCTCCAGAGAGAAGCGGTAGAACTCGTTTGCGATGTCCTGCACCATGTCTCCGGTGGGACTGGACTTCCTCAGGACTCGGAGCCGGTCTGTGAAGTCTTGGACCACGTCCCAGATCACAGGCCCAAACTCGTGAGCCTCCTTTGGGAGCAGCATCCTCCTGTTCAGCACCGAACGCAGCTGGTACCAGCGCTCCCCCTCCCTGAATCAACACAGGGAAGGATCTGCTTTAAAGGGCCCATTACGCTCTTGTCTCATCTGTGTTATTGTGTGTGTCTCATCTGTGCTATCTGTGTTAGGCCCCAGAATATTTGTCAAGAATAAGAAGCACTTTATTGTAACAGCGAGTTGTGCGGTGAGATGAATTCTCTTGATACTAGGGCTGGGTATTCAGAAGTTGCTGATACGATACATACCTCGATACACAGGCCACGATACGATACATGTCTTGATACAGTGAGCTTTTAATTTGATACGATTCGATATATTTCAAATTGATTTGATGCGGTTTAATAAAAAAATAATAGATAAATCATGGCTGTGATACTAAAAGTCTCTATTAACTCACTTCTTATGCAAAGTGAATATGAAATAGAGCAGGACACGACGCAAAACAATGCGGCACGGGACACATTTTGAAAGCTCATTGCGGTCACGGGCAGGACTACACACTGCAGGAGCGGGCGGGTGGGATGATAAATTGCAGTCCCACAAACTACATATGAGAGTGAAGTAAAATATAGAAATGATTAATGTATGCTTATCATAAAACATTTGTGCTGGATATTTTATTTGGCGTTAAGAAAAACGTTATATATGATCTACCGTATTTTCCTCACTATGAGACTCGCTCTTAAGCCTCTAACCCCATCAAAAAACGGCCACGTGCCCCACAATCCAGAGCGCCCTATACATGGGTCCACTCAGGTGTCCCAGCACGACTTCAGTAAACTACAAAGCCGCACCACCCGCAGAACACGCAAACACACACGGAGCAGACAGCGACCGCACAGAGAAAAACACCGACAGCAACACTCATCACTCCACGCCGATGAGGAACGGAACGGAGGAACGAACCGAAAAAGCGAGTGCAATGTGCCACTTCTAGACACAACTGAACAACTGAGTCACTGTGAACACGCCGACAATCCGTTGGTCCCAGACAGCACCCTCCCTACACGCCACAACTGAACAAAGCCCAGAGTCACCGTGAACGCCACAAACAAACAAAACCACTCACCCATCCAGCTGTTGTGTTTCCTTTAAAGTCCGATGTGGCTTATTTGCGAAAAAAAATTTAGAATGGACCATTTAATGGTAGTGTGCTTTATAATCCAGAGCGCCTAATAGCCCGGAAAATACGATAATCTCATGCACAATTCATTTACGCTTCTCCGTGTTTAGAGCTTAAGAAATCGAACATCCCCATCTCACGGGCGGGAGCGGGACAAAATATCGCTGATGCGGGCAGGAGCGGGAATGAAAATTACAATTCTTTGCGGATGGGAGTGGGAGTAAGACAGAAAAATCTGTCCCGCACTGACCTTTAATATGAAACACACTCATTTTAATCATCAAAACAGTGAAAAGGTCAAATGTGTTGCATAAACAAGTTTCCTTCCTCTAAACAAGCAACAAAACTGTAGCGCTGTAACAAAATAATTTAGTAAAATATACCAAAAAATACTCTATACATCCATCCATCCATTTTCGTCCACTTATCCAGGGCCGGGTCGCGGGGGTAGCAGCCTAAGCAGGGACTCCCAGACTTCCTTCACCCCAGACACATCCTCCAGCTCCTCCGCGGGGACCCCGAGGCGTTCCCAGGCCAGCCGAGGGACATAGTCCCTCCAGCGTGTCCTGGGTCTTCCCCGGGGCCTCCTCCCAGTGGGACATGCCCGGAACACCTCCCGAGGGAGGCGCCCAGGAGGCATCCGAAACAGATGCCCGAGCCACCTCAACTGGCTCCTCTCGACGTGGAGGAGCAGCGGCTCTACTCCGAGCTCCTCCAGTGTGACTGAGCTCCTCACCCTATCTCTAAGGGAGCGCCCAGCCACCCTGAGGAGGAAACCCATTTCAAGCGCTTGTATCCATGATCTCGTCCTTTCGGTCACTACCCAGAGCTCATGACCATAGGTGAGAGTAGGAACGAAGACTGACCGGTAAATCTTCACCACAACGGTCTGATACAGCGACCGCATCACTGCCGAAGCTGCACCGATCCGCCTGTCAATCTCCCGTTCCATCCTTCCCTCACTCGTGAACAAGACCCCGAGATACTTGAACTCCTCCACTTGAGGCAAAGACTCCCCACCCACCCGGAGAGGGCAAGCCACCTTTTTTTTTCGGTCGAGAACCATGGCCTCAGACTTAGAAGAGCTGATCTTCATCCCAGCCGCTTCACACTCGGCTGCAAACCGCCCCAGTGCACATTGCAGGTCCTGGTTCGATGAAGCCAACAGGACAACATCATCTGCAAACAGCAGAGATGAGATCCTGTGGTCCCCAAACCGGACCCCCTCCGGCCCCTGACTGCGCCTAGAAATTCTGTCCATAAACACAATGAACAGAACCGGTGACAAAGGGCAGCCCTGGCGGAGTCCAACATGCACCGGGAACAGGTCTGACTTACTGCCGGCAATGCGAACACAGCTCCTGCTCCGGTCATACAGGGACCGGACAGCCCTTAGCAAAGGGCCTCGAACCCCATACTCCCAGAGCACCCCCCCCAGGACACCACGAGGGACACGGTCGAATGCTTTCTCCAAGTCCACAAAGCACATGTGGACTGGTTGGGCAAACTCCCATGAACCCTCGAGCACCCTATGGAGAGTGTAGAGCTGGTCCATTGTTCCACGGCCAGGACGAAAACCACACTGCTCCTCCTGGATCTGAGGTTCGACTATCGGCCGGATTCTCCTCTCCAGTACCCTGGCATAGACCTTACCGGGAAGGCTGAGGAGTGTGATCCCCCTATAGTTGGAGCACACCCTCCGGTCCCCCTTCTTATACAGAGGGACCACCACCCCGGTTTGCCAGTCCAGAGGTACCGTCCCCGACCGCCACGCGATGTTGAAGAGGCGTGTCAGCCAAGACAGCCCCACAACATCCAGAGACTTAAGGTACTCAGGACGGATCTCATCCAACCCCGGAGCCTTGCCACCAAGGAGCTTTCCCACCACCTCAGTGACTTCAGCCAGGGTGATGGATGAGTCCGCCTCCAAGTCCCCAGCCTCGGCCTCCTCCCGCGGCTGGTGGGATTGAGGAGATCCTCAAAGTATTCCTTCCACCACCGGACAACGTCCCCAGTCGAGGTCAGCAGCTCTCCCCCCGCACTGTAAACAGTGTTGGCGAAGAACTGCTTCCCCCTCCTAAGGCGCCGGACGGTTTGCCAGAATCTCTTTGAGGCCGTCCGATAGTCCTCCTCCATGGCCTCCCTGAACTCCTCCCAGCTCCGAGTTTTTGCCTCCGCGACCACACGGGCTGCAGCACGCTTGGCCCGCCAGTACCCATCAGCTGCCTCAGGAGTCCCCCGAGCCAGCAAGGCCCGATAGGACTCCTTCTTCAGCTTGACGGCATCCCTTACTTCCGGTGTCCACCACCAGGTTCGGGGATTGCCGCCGCGACAGGCACCACAGACCTTACGCCCACAGCTCCGAGCAGCCGCATTGACAATAGAGGCCGAGAATGAAGCCCACTCGGACTCCATATCTCCAGCCTCCCCCGGAATCCGGGAGAAGTCCTCCCGGAGGTGCGAGTTGAAAGTCCCTCTGACAGAGGGCTCCACCAGACGTTCCCAACAGACCCTCACTACACGCTTGGGCCTGCCAAGTCTTTCCGGCTTCCTCCTCCGCCAGCGAACCCAACTCACAACCAGGTGGTGATCAGTTGACAGCTCAGCCCCTCTCTTCACCCGAGTGTCCAAGACACGCGGCCGGAGATCAGATGACACGACTACAAAGTCGATCATCGACCTCCGGCCTAGGGTGTCCTGGTGCCACGTGCACTTATGGACACCCTTGTGCTCGAACATGGTGTTCGTTATGGACAAACCGTGACTAGCACAGAAGTCCAATAACAAAACACCGCTCGGGTTCAGATCGGGGAGGCCGTTCCTCCCAATCACCCCTCTCCAAGTGTCACTGTCGTTGCCCACGTGGGCGTTGAAGTCCCCCCAGGAGAACAACGGAGTCCCCGGTCGGTGCACTGTCTAGTACCCCTCCCAAGGACTCCAAGAAGGCCGGGGTACTCAACACTGTTGTTCGGCCCGTAGGCCGACACCACAGTGAGAGACCTGTCCCCGACCCGAAGGCGCAGGGACGCGACCCTCTCGTTCACCGGGGTGAACTCCAACACACGGCGGCTGAGCTGTGGGGCAATGAGCCCACACCAGCCCGCCAGAGAAATGGAGAGTCCAGCCCCTCTCAAGGAGTTGGGTTCCAGAGCCCAAACTGTGCGTGGAGGTGAGGTCGACTATATCTAGTCGGTAATGCTCAACCTCCCGCACAAGCTCAGGCTCCTTCCCCCCCAGCGAGGTGACATTCCATGTCCCCAGAGCTAGTCTCCATGTCCGGAGATCCGGTCGCCAAGGCCCCCGCCGTCGACTGCCGCCCAGATCTCTCTGCACCGGCCCCATATTGCTCCTCCCGCGGGTGGTGGGCCCACGTGAGGACGGCCCCACGTCGCTCCCTTCGGGCTAAGCCCGGCCGGGCCCCATGGGGGAAGGCCCGGCCACCGAGCACCCACCCCAGGCCTGGCTCCAGGGTGAGGCCCCGGTGAGGCCAATCCGGGCGACGTAACTGGCCTCTGTGTGTTGCTCATCATGTGGGGCTTCTGAACCGTTCTTCTTCTGACCCGTCCCCCCGGACCTGTTTGCTTTGGGTGACCCTACCAGGGGCATGAAGCCCCCGACAACATAGCTCCCGGGATCATTCGGGCACTCAAACCCCTCCACCATGATAAGGTGACGGTTCAAGGAGGGGTACTCTATACAGCAGCCCACGATATCAATACTGTATCATCACATTAAACAATACGATATACCGTATTTTCCGGGCTATTAGGCGCTCTGGATTATAAAGTGCACTGTCATTAAATGGTCTATTTTCGATTTTTTTTTCACGATGGGAATGCTCACTTTCTTAAGCTCTAAACACAGAGAAGCGGAAAGGAACTGTGCATGAAATTACCATATTTTCCGGGCTATTAGCGCTCTGGATTATAGAATGGTCTATTTTCAAACTTTATTTCACAAATAAACCGCCCCGGACTTTAAAGGAAACACAACAGTGTGATGGGTGAGTGGTTTTGTTTGTTTGTTGCGTTCACGGTGACTCTGGGCTTTGTTCAGTTGTGGCGTGTAGGGAGGGTGCTGTCTGGGACCAACGGATTGTCGGCGTGTTCACAGTGACTCAGTTGTTCAGTTGTGTCTAGAAGTGGCACGTTGCACTCGCTTTTTCGGTTCGTTCCTCCGTTCCGTTCCTCGTCGGCGTGGAGTGATGAGTGTGTCTGGGTGTTTTTCACTGTGCGGTCGCTGTCTGCTCCGTGTGTGTTTGTGTGTCTGCGGGTGGTGCTGCTTTGTAGTTTACTGAAGTCGTGCTGGGACACTCGAGTGGATTTGTGTATAGGGCGCTCTGGATTGTGAGGCGCGCAGTCATTTTTTGATGGGGTAAGAGGCTTAAGAGCGCGTCTAATAGCCCGGAAAATACAGTACATTGATATATTGATACTAGATCAAAGTAACCAATAACCTATTTCATATACTAGTAATTGACAGAAAGACACTGGCCCCCGCCCCGTCTGAGAGAGGGCCACACCACATTTCTTGTCATTGTGCGTTTGGGTTACTCTGTGAAGGGGCCGTATCCAATTCCTTGCATGTCGCGGTATTCCTTCCACAGGGACATGTCTCCTCTGACCGGGAACTTCTCATCCCTCCTCAGGACCTCCTCCAGGAGCTCGGCACTGCCCAGAGCCACTGCGCCCAAACCGTCTCGGAAGATACTGCCGTGGAGACTCTTGTCATAGAGCTGTGAAGAGAGGAGGAGGAGAAGGAGAGAAGAGGAGGAGAGGAAGGGAGGAGGGATGAGAGAGAGGAGAGAGAGTTATGGGGGGAGGAAGAGAAACAGGAGAGACGGAGAGAGAGGGAAGAGAGCCCAGGGATGGAAGAGAGCAGGTCAAGGGGAGAGAAGGAGAGTGAGGAGAAGAATGAGAAGGGGAGAGAGGGAGAGACAGAGAAGAAGGGATGAGGAGAGGAGAGAGAGAGCAAGTGTGAGGGGGAGACATGTGCAGGGGAGAGAGAGGGATAGAGAGAATGAGAGGTGAGAGAGAGGAGAGAGGGCAAGTGAAGGGGAAACAGAGCGAGTGAGGGATGAGAGAAAGGAGAGAGAATGAGGCGGAGAGAGCGTGTGAGGGAGAGAGGGAGAAAGGAAGGGATAGACCAGGATCGATAGAGAGGAAGGGATAAGGGATAAGAGAGAGTGAGTGAAGGATGAGAGAGAGAAAGAGAGAGGAGGTGAGGGGTAGAGAGAGAAGAGTGAGACAGTGGGTGAGGGGGAGAATGAGGAGAGGGAATGGGTGAGGGAAAGACAGAGGGAGACAAAGAGAATGAGGGATGAGAGAAAGGGGGGTCAGAGAGTTAAAGGGAGAGTGGGAGAGAGAAAGCGGATGAAGGAGAGAGAGAGAGAAAAGGGATAGACCAGGAGAGACAGAGAGAAAGGGGTGAGGGATAAGAGAGAGAAGAGAGAGTGAGTGTGGAGAGAGAAAAGAGAGAGAGTGGGTGAGGGGGAGAGAGAGGGAGAGAGCATTAGTGAGAGAAAGAGAGAGGAGGTGATGAGAGAGAGAGAGGGAGAGAGACAGAGTGGGCGAGGGGGAGAGAGAGGTAGAGAGTGAGAGAAAGAGAAAGGAGGTGAGGGGTGAGAGAGAGGAAAGAGAGTGGGTGAGGGGGGGAGAATGTGAGTGAGAGAAAGAGAGAAGGAGAGGGATGACAGAGAGGAAAGAGAGTGGGTGAGGTGAAAAGAGAGGGAGAGAAAAAGAAAGGAGGTGAGGGATGAGAGAGAGGGGGAGAGAGAGAGTGGGTGAAGGAGAGTGAGGGAGGGAGAGAGAGTGGGTGAAGGAGAGCGAGGGAGGGAGCGAGAGAGTGGGTGAAGGAGAGAGGGAGAGAGAGAGAGTGGGTGAAGGAGAGCAAGGAAGAGAGAGAGTGGGTGAAGGAGAGAGAGGAAGAGAGAGAAAGTGGGTGAAGGAGAGAGGGAGAGAGAGAGAGAGAGTGGGTGAGGGATGAGAGAGAGGAATGAGAGAGAGAGAGACTGGGTGAGGGAGAGAGAGACAGTGGGTGAAGGAGAGAGACGGAGAGAGTGGGTGAAGGAGAGAGAGAGAGAGAGAGAGAGAGAGAGTAGGTGAAGGAGAGAGACGGAGAGAGTGGGTGAAGGAGAGAGAGAGAGAGAGTGGGTGAGGGATGAGAGAGAGAGAGTGAGTGAAGGAGAGAGAGAGAGAGTAGGTGAGGGAGAGAGAGAGAGTGGGTGAAGGAGAGAGAGAGAGAGAGAGAGAGAGTGGGTGAGGGATGAGAGAGAGAGAGTGGTGAGGGAGAGAGAGAGAGAGTGAGAGGGATGAGAGAGAGAGTGGGTGAGGGATGAGAGAGTGGGTGAAGGAGAGCGAGGGAGAAAGAGAGAGAGGAAATGTGTTGGAGAGAGAGGAGTGAGAGTTAGGGGGAGGCGGTTAGAAGAGAGAGGGAGGGAGAGAGAGAGAGTTTGTTCAATTTAAAGCCATACTTGGGAACATTCTCCATGGAGATAGATACTGTGGAATCTCTGCCTTTATTTGAGTCTATTTGGCAAAAAAGTTACACACTGCGGCTTTAAATATCATTATGTGAATGTGAAATGTATAGTCTGGATACGCAGGTCAGAACAACGCTCTTTGACAGGGAAAGCTGAGACCTGCCGTTACCATGGCGACAGCAGTAATCTGATCACACAGGAATTTCGAAACCACACAGCAGCGCTAAACATCAACAAAAGTATTTCCAACACCATGCAACTTTTCAACAATGGAACAGTTTGGACTAGTAACAAAACACAACACACATTTACGACGGACAAACAGGAGTGAGTCAGATTCCTGTTACGCAACGAGCGACGCAAACGCTGTAGAAAGTTTAAAAACCAGCAGGAGCACTGGTCAGACATCTGTGGTGCGCAGATTTGTGTCGCTATAGTTTTTATTTGTTATTAGTGAGTTAGTGAGAGAAAGAGAGAGGAATGAGAGAGTGAGAGTGAGAGAGAAAGAAAGAGGAGGTGAGGAGAGAGTGTAAGTGACAGAAAGAAAGAGAGAGGAGATGAGGAGAAGAGAGGAGAGAGTGAGTGAGTGAGTGAGAGAGAGAGGAGGTGAGAAAGAGAGAGAGGAGGTGCAAGAAAGAGAGGAGGTGAGGAGTAGAGAGAGGAGAGAGTGAGTGAGAGAAGAGAGAGGAGGTGAGGGGAAGAGAGGAGAGAGTGAGTGAGAGAAATAGAGAGTGACTGAGAGAAAGAGAGAAGAGGTGAGAGGAAGAAAGAGAGGTTGAGGGGAAGAGAGAGGAGCTGAGAGTGAGAGAGAGAAGAAAGAGGAGGTGAGGAGAAGAGAGAGGAGAGAGTGAGAGAGAGAGAGAAAGACAGAGGAGGTGAGAGAAAGAGAGAGGAGGTGAGGAGAAGAGAGAGGAGGTGAGGAGAAGAGAGAGGAGAGAGTGAGTAAGAGAAAGAGAGAGGAGGTGAGGAGTAGAGAGAGGAGATAGTGAGGGAGAGAAATAGAGAGTGAGTGAAAGAAAGAGAGAGGAGAGAGAAAGAGTGAGTGAGAGAAAGAGAGAGGAAGTGAGAGGGAGAGGGGGGAGAGAGAGAGAGTGAGTGAGAGAAAAGAGGTGAGAGAAAGAGAGAGGAGGTGAGGAGAAGAGAGAGGAGGTGAGAGAAAGAGAGAGGAGGTGAGAGAAAGAGAGAGGAGGTGAGGAGAAGAGAGAGGAGGTGAGAGAAAGAGAGAGGAGGTGAGAGAAAGAGAGAGGAGGTGAGGATTAGAGAGAGGAGGTGAGGAGAAGAGAGAGGAGGTGAGGGGAAGAGAGAGGAGAGAGTGAGTGAGAGAAAAGAGAGGAGGTGAGAGAAAGAGAGAGGAGGTGAGGGGAAGAGAGAGGAGAGAGTGAGTAAATGTTTTAAAATCAGAGCAGGAGGACTGGTCAGACATCTGTGGTGCGTTTGCTGTTTGACTGTCAGATTATGGATTTGTGTTGATATAATTTTTATTTGTTTTACATTTACAGTGTCCTTATTTATCGCCAAAGACGTGCGTTGAATTGACTTTAGATGACATTGTACTTCATGTCATAAAATCTCCAAAAGGTAAATTCACAAATGTTGAACCAGATCATTTCTATTAGTAACTAGACCCAAGAACTTGCTGTATTACAACAAAAATCTGCATTTTTTACAATATGAATTTTAATTGCCCCGTTTATATTCAGGATTCCCACACTTTTTCACTAAATTTCAAAACTTTTCCATGACCTACTTTTTCATGATCTGAAGTGAATTTTCCATGACTTTATGGCACCTACATGTGAAGAATCAATGGTGGTGATTTTCTGCGGCGCTGAGCAGAGCAGCGTCTCCAGCGTCTCTGTACGTGGCCCCTCCCACCAGAGCACAAATGAAGACTTGTCTTTTTCCAAACGCTCTTAAAGTAAAATGTCCAAAATGAGAAAAGTGGACACCGAGTGCAGGATTTTACAAGAAAAACAGAATTATTCCTATTTGCAGACAAGTTCATGTTAAAACATTGGGTTGAAATTGCATTTTTCTTAAAGTTTCAGGTTGTTCATAATATTATAATATTTTGTAAAAGAAAGAGTTCATCAGTTAAAAAAGATTTCTGTAATAGATTTGCGTTTCTCTACACAAATATTTGAACTTATTGCTATTTTTGGGGTTTATATGTCATGAGTTTTCTGATCCGGCCCCTTTGGGATCAAAGTAGGTTGGATACGGCCCCCGGACCAAAATGAGTTTGACACCCCTGCACTAGACGGTTTGCAAAAACCCCAGAAGTGCAAGTTCGGGCACCAGCCAATCAGCGAAGAGCCATATATTCTGTGTTATCAACAATTCCCGAGATTGAGGATTTAAAGCCGGAATAAAGAGAATGCTTGGTGAATTTCATCAAGGGGTAAGATGTTATTGTCCTTCTTCCTACGGGATTTGGGAAAAGCTTAATATAACAGTTAGTCCTGTTAGCAGCGCATTACATAAGTCACGACCAAATAGCAGCGATTGGTTAAATGATAAAAAGTACCCGCCTACCGTCGAGCAAATAAATCCTAATGCTGCAAGGTCAGACGGTTTCTACAAAGTGAAACCAGCTGATGAATCAGGCTAGTAGAATGATACTTATAGGACTAAATATGAAATGTGAACTCTTTCCACTCACGTTATGGTTTGGAATTATAGATTTTGAACATTCATAATCCTGTCAGTGCATTTAGTGTTGTCTCTTTTAAACAAAAGGCACAGACAGTAAGAAATAATCATAATAGCCTCATGAGATCTTAACAGAAAGCTGGAGTTGCGTTAAAGAGATACTAAAATTCCATGACTTTTCCAAAACTTTCATTGAATTAAAAAAAAAGATTGACTTTTTCAGGGCTGGAAAATGGCATTTTCAATTTCCATGACTGTGGGAACTCTGTAAATTAAATATTACTGGCCTGTTAAAATGTTGCGATGTGATTTGAAACCAGCAGTACAGATGGAGCAGATAACATGAGTCTTGTTCAGATGCAGATCTGTGTTGATGCAGTGAGCTCTTGGGTCTAATCACTAATAAAAAATGATCAATATTTGTGAATTTATCTTTGGATTTTCATTGATTTCATGGTAAAGCACAATGTAATCAGTAGGGAATCATGATATTCAAGAACAGGGGTCTCCGACCTTTTTCCTCAGGTGAGCTATCTTTACAAAACGAAACGATTTTAGGGGTCGCAGAAAATAAAGTATACATAAGAGCCCTGGTAAGACTTAGATGGGCTACAGTTAGATAAAGCATAAAACATAAACCATTCTTTATTTATGAGTGCACAAAGTCAGGCATCAAAATGATAGATTTACAAAAATAATAATAAACATTTAATTCATCGAATTGGAGTTATTCAGGACAATACGTGTATTTTAGAAATCATCTGGCGAGCTACTTGAAAGGGGATGGAGAGCTACAGGTTGGAGACCCCCGATTTAAACCATAAGATAAGTTGATATAACAAGTTTGTGGAGTCATCTTAAATCTTAATTCACTAGCTAGGACCACGCCAACAACAACATAGTGAGAAGAAGTTTATTGATAATGTACAATGTGAGGCAGAGATGGCTGGGTTGAGACTATGGGTGGGGGCTCCGTCTAAATCTGCAATTGGCCCAGCTGGAACGGGACCCCCCCCACCCCACCCCCACCCCCTGTGAGTCATGTTGGAATTTATTAACTCCTCAAAAACATACCAGAAGTTTTGTTTTGTTTCAGTGACACATGTTTGAGTAACACTTTATGTCCACATCTCCAAAGCTCAAAATGCTCTGTTCTACCTTGTGATGTCATGAAGTGGTAGTTTTTAACTTAGCTGCTCCTTTTACCTGGTAATTTTGGGTCTGAAATCATTCAAATGATTCTAGTGAAGTTATATGGAGTTTAAAAACCACAATGGAGCATCTCCTGTATTACCACATGACATCACAAGGTGGAACAGACAGAATAGAGTGTTATCTGTTTGAGAGATTGAGTGTTAAACATGTGTAAATGAAACAAAACTCAACTCCAGGTCTGTTTGTGATGAGGAAACAACATTAGAACATAAATCATTTCAATGTAATAAAAAAATGGTCGATGTGTTTACCCACCTGTAGCTCGTGCATTCGGATGTAGTAACCCTTGACCACCAGCCTGTAGAAAAACCTCAAGAACCCGACTTTAGGGAGGTCTTTTATGGTCCGGACTTTGGTCTTAGTCCCAGTCCCGTCTTGGACTTGGGTTGATACAGAACTGGAGGCGTCAGCTGTTTGGACTACACAGAGACGAGGGACTGAAGATGGTCCAGCAGCCCAGGACCTCAAAAGTCCAGTCCAGGATGTAGACCTGGACCAAGACTGGACCAGTGCAGACATGATGCTGGTATAGTGACAAGTCTTGACCAGTGATTAGTCCAGATTTAGTCTTGGTAAAGTCCTGGTTCAGCCCTATTTTAGGTACAATTTGGTTGTAGTTTTAGTCTTGGTTTAGTTGGTGTAGCTGGTACAAAATATAAGTTCAATTATTATTAGTCCAAGATAGATTGTACTAGTGTTAGTTCTGGTTTAGTCCTGGTTTAGTCCAGCTCCAGAACAGTTGAGACCTGCTTGGTTTAGTCTTGTTCTGATTTAACCCGGCTACAGCATTTAAACAAGTTCAGGCTCAGACCTGTTTTAGTCCTGCTACCAAACTAATTTCTGTCTTGGTTTAGTCACTGTTTAATCCCCTTTTAGCCCTGGTTTAGTCCTGGCTCAGCCCTGCTTTACTCCTGATTTAGCCCTTGTTCAATCCTGATTCAATCCTGGTTTAGTCCTAGTTCAGTTCTGGTTCTGTCCTGCTTGAGTCTTGGTTCAGCCCTGGTTCAGTCCTAGTTCCAGACCTGTTTCAGACCTGCTTCAGTCCTGATTTAGTCCTGGTTTAGCCCCAGTTTAATCCTGGTTTAGTCCTGGTTGAGTTCTTGCGTAGGAGTGACCTGGTGCAGCCCTGGTCCAGCGTCACATCACATAACACAGCTCCAGTGACAGAGTGAGAAAAGTGAACGGAGCAGTGGGCGGAGCTACAGTGGAGGAAAAAAGTATTTGATCCCTTGCTGAAGTTTGTATACTGACAAAGAAATGAACAGTCTATGGTGATTTTATTTTAACATTGAGAGAGAGAACATCAACAACAAAATCCAGAAAATAACTTTAAAGAAAATATATAAACTGATTTGCATTTCATTGAGTGAAATAAGTATTTGAACCCTCGAGCCAAAAAAGACTTAGTACTTAGTGTCAAATCCCATGTTTGCAGCACAGAGGTCAGACGTTTCTTGTGGTTGATGACCAGGTTTGCGCATATATCAGAAGAAATTTTGGTCCACTCGTCTTTGCAGATCATGACTAAATCATGAAGGTTTTGTGGTGTCGCTCAGCAGCTCGCAGCTTTGTCTCCCTCTGTAGGTTTTCTGTATGGTTAAGGTCTGGAGACTGGCTGGGTCACTCCATGATCTTTATGTGTTTCTTCTTGAGCAGCTCCTTCATTGCCTTGGTTGTATGTTTTGGGTCATTGTCGTGTTGGAAGACCATTCCACGAGCCATTTTCAGTTTCCTGTCAGAGGGAAGGAGGTAGACACTCAGGATTTTTTAAAGGTACATGGCTCCGACCATCCTCCTGTTGATGCGGTGAAGTCGTCCTGTGCCCTTGGCAGAAAAACGCCCCTACAGCAGAGTGATCCGACCTCCATGCTCGACAGTGGGGATGGTGTTCTTGGGGTCATAGGCAGTATTTCTCTTCCTCCAAACACAGTGAATTGAGTTTATGCCAAAGATCTTGATTTTGGTCTCATCTTACCACAGCACCTTCTCCCAGTCCCACTCTAAATCATTCAAGTGTGCACTGGCAAACTTCAGGCGGGCTGCACATGTGCCTTCTTAAGCAGGGGGACCTTTGAGCACTGCAGGACTTTAATCCATTGCTGCATAAAGTGTTCCCAATGGTTTTCTTAGTGACTGTGCTCCCAGCTGCCTTGAGATCATTGACTACCTCCTCCTGTGTAGTTCTAGGCTGATTTCTCACTGTTCTCATGATCATTGAGAGCCAATGAGGTGAGATCTTGTGTGGAGCCCCAGACCGAGGTCGACTGATGGTCATTTTGTATTTCTTAAATTTTCAAACAATTGCACCAACAGTTGTCTCCTTAACACCAGCTTCTTGTTTATGGTTTTGCAGCCCATTCCAGCTTTGTGCAGGTCGACAGTCTTGTCCCTGACATCCTTTGACAGCTCTTTAGTCTTTCCCATGTTGGAGAGTTTGGAGTCAGATTGACTGATTCTGTGGACAGGTGTCTTTTTATACAGGTGAATAGTTAAAACAGAAGTCTGATTTAGGTGACGTGTTGATCAGGAGAGTCTAACTGGTCTGTGGGAGCCAGAACTCTGAATGGTTGGTCGAGGATCAAATACTTATTTCACACAATGAAATGCAAATCAGTTAATATATTTTCTATGGTTTTCTGGATTTTCTTTTTGATGTTCTACCTCTCAATGTTAAAATAAACCATTCAAATTATAGACTGTTTTCTTTTTCAGTGGACAAACCTACAAAATTAGCAAGGGATCAAATACTTATTTCCTCCACTGTAAGTCCTGATTTTGTTTTAGTTCATTACCTCGACTCAGACATGGTTCATTCTTCATGCTTCAGTTTTGCAAGACCATGTAGGACCTACCATAGTATCTTTCTTCATGTTAAAGAGAAAATAAACACTAAATCAACCTTCTTTGCTACTAAACTGTGTATATAGTGTTTGAATAGGATTATCTACTGTTCAGTGTTTAGTTTCAATGCAAACTAGGTACATTTTGCAACTTTCTGATTAAAATCTTAAATCTAAAGTTTGTGCTGCCCCCAGTGGCCTCTGTAATTTCAAGTAGTACATGACATCACAAAGGACTTCCCCGATTACTACTAGGTATTTCTGCCCTGGCTGCAGGGACAGAGATTGAAGTGTGGATACCTGTTAGGCCAATCACTCTGCTCCCTATTCCCCCAGACCCTCCTCCTCCTTCACTCTCCCCTTTAGTCCTCCAGGTACTACCCAGTTTAGCAGCTCTATTTGAAATGTGGTTGTGGACGGAGTTTAAGCTTTTAGTTCCACTTTAAGCTAAACACTCTTTGCATCATACAGTTACAAAAGCCGCTTGCAAAAAGTAAAATAAAGTGTAACTACTGGTTCACTACTGGTTCTCTATGAAGACAAGCAGGTGGCAGTACTAGGCCAAGTTACAGGTTAGATCTGGGAAGAAGTGAGAATCTACTGTCTGGGATAGTGTCAGGCAGTGGTTTTCTTCTTAGAGCTGTAGTAGAACGAACTAAAATGTATCTGTGTGTATCTGACCCAACCTGCACTCACAAGACTACACCTGCAGGGGGAGTTCACGCAAAAAACTACTATTTTTGCAGAGAAAAGTTCTAGGAAACAATATATTTATATAAAACTTGTGAATCATGAGTTCAATTTGCCTTTTTACATAAATACTAAAAAAAAAAATCGACAAAGGACTACAGCCCTATTCCTTATATTTGTTCAATCACTTCTTGTTTTTTATCACTCATGAAAGAGAACCAAGTGTCTGGGATCGTGTCAAGCCGCTGGTTTCCCATTATTCTTAGTGCCTGATTGAAAGAAAAAAGTTGCCATTTTTCCATATATATTTTTTATTATTAAATTATTCCCCATCTAGTCCATTCACTCCTTGATTTTCTTCACGTTGTCTATCGCCCCCTGAGGGTCAGCTTTATGCAGTAGAAAGTGTCCTTGGACTTGTGCGGCGCTGATCTCCGGGTGGACACTAAGGGCGTCTTGCGCAAATCTGTCCCCGTCGGAGAGAGGCGACTCTGGGTAGAAGCGGCCAAACATCTGGGTCAGCTGGTAGTGGGAGCAGTGTCCGATGTACTGTTTTAAATCCACGCGACCGGGCCGAATCAGAGCCGCATCCAATCTGCAAAAAATATCCAAATTAGCAATCTACGACAGACTTTTATGTGATAAAGTAAAGTTTTGTCTTGGCTAGTGTGTCACAGTACTAAAAATTCAGTACTAAGGAAGAGACTTAATACTCAAGACCAAATGATACCAGAATAATAATAATATAAAAAAACACACTCTTTCTTTAGACAATAGAATGTGATTTTTAACATTAAGAGGTAGTCCTTTCTTTTCTATTCCCATGTGATCTTATATCTGGGTGTATACTAACTAGTATATGTGCTCTTATACTTTAATTTCTGTTCTTTGAATGTGACTTTTTATAGTGTCGATACCTGCTCAAATGAGAATCTAGTTTTGACACTAGTTTTAGTATCGGTTACCAGATTTTTGATACTTTTGACCAGACTGAGCCATGACCCTCAGGGGGGTCGCCTTGTCATGAACTGCATGTAGATCTGCAATATACAGGGCTACATTTAATGTCCAAACAGGCTGCTACTGCTACTACTGCTGCTACTGCTACTGCTACTACTACTACTACTACTACTACTACTAGTGGATACTTTTTTATTGTTGGTTCAATAACTGTTTGTCATTGTTTAAAACTTGAGTAATACTAATTGTTCAGAGAGACACGATCCCTCAGTCAACAATAAAATACCCTCGTTATTGTTCAATAATGGTCAAATCCACCTTTATTTTGTGATTTATGAATAATGTGTCTATTGACTTGGGTCACGAAGGTTTGTGACTTTTAAAATATGGGCCCCCAGAAAAAAAGTTTGGGAAACACTGCTTTTGATGACTTTTGACTAGTCTTGGCCCTTTACATATACTGTATAAGCAACTCTTCTTGTCAAAATAAGTCTGCTGTGTTTAGTATGTGCATCTAATTATAAACCGTTTAATTGGCCGTACTTATAAAGTACTTATAAATTCATTGTGATGAATAATAAAAGCAATTGGGTATAACAGGCAATTTAATGACAATATTATTAACTATGATTATAATGCAAATGTAATAGAGATCCCAGAAAATGTGTAGTTTAGTCGATTCATTGGTTGATGGTTTCTTAGGAAATAAATAATTTTATTTAGATTTTAAGGATTTATATGGGACAACAGCAGAAAAGAGAAGTTAAAGTGTGTGTGATTTAGCTGCAGATTTTGTATTTTTTTGGTATTGGTATATGTAAAAAGTCAAATTAAAGTATTGAATCACAAGTTTAATAGTCTTTATATAAATATATTGCTTCCTTGTTAATTTTTCTGCATAAATGGTAGTTCTTGCATGAGCTCCCCTGCAGGTGTAGTTTTATCAGTGCAGTCTGGGTCACATACACAGATCTCCAGCACACGTCTTGAGTCTTTAGTTTCGAATGTCTTCAGTCGAATACAGCCCTATGCAATTCAGAGTATAGGTACTGCAGCCCGGAGTAATATTTGACATAAATTGTACCTTTCTATGTAGTTGGTGGTCATAAAGACGATCCGGGCCTCAGATGAAGCCACTCCATCCAAAGAATTTAACAGGCCACTGAATGTGAGCCGGCCCATGCCCTGGAACGCCAAAGGGTCTGAGGAGGAGAAAACCTGGGTCAGTCTGTGGGTCAGTCTGTGGTTTAAGTCCTTGGTTTAGCCCTGGTTTAGCCCTGGTTTAGCCCTGGTTTAGCCCTGGTTTAGTCCTGGTTTAGTCCTGGTTTAGTCCTGGTTTAGCCCTGGTTTAGCCCTGGTTTAGCCCTGGTTTAGCCCTGGTTTAGCCCTGGCTTTAGGGCAGCTCGATTATAGAAAAAAATCACTATCATGATTATTTTGGTCACTATTGAAATCACAGTTATTCAAACGATTACTTTGTAGTTACACGATGCATTTATTCAGCAATTCTCTCTCTTTGTTATTGATAAATTGTAAAAAAAAAAGTTCAAATTGAAAATTAATATAGGTTACAAATACGTACCTTAGAGCAGTTTTGCAATGTATAAAACAAAATTAATAAAATATACTTTGAACATGAAATAAGGTATAGAAAAGCATAAACGTATCCAAAATAAACTATATATCCAGCTGTTCTACAATCTCTATATTTAAAAAATAAAATAAATATACTCATTTATATAAAAAATATCCCAAAACACTTTGTTAAGCTTTAAATCATTTCAACTCAATTATATGAGTTTGGAGATCATTTGACACGCAAATCGAAATCACGATCAAAATTCAATTAATCGCACAGATTTGCCTGGTTTAGTCCTGGTTTAGACCCTGGTTTAAGTCCCCGGTTTAAGTCCCCGGTTTCAGTCCCCGGTTTCAGTCCCCGGTTTCAGGCCCCGGTTTCAGGCCCCGGTTTCAGGCCCCGGTTTCAGGCCCCAGTTTCAGGCCCCAGTTTCAGGCCCCGGTATCAGGCCCCGGTTTAAGGCCTCGGTTTAAGTCCTGGTTCATCACCGTTAATGTCTTCCAATAGGATGATACTGGTTTAGTGTTTCTGTCCTGGTTCCTAGTTTGGTTCAATTATAGTCCCGGGTTCATTCCCCCCTTCAGTCCAGTGGTTCAGTCCAATGGTTCAGTCCAATGGTTCAGTCCAATGGTTCAGTCCAATGGTTCAGTCCAATGGTTCAGTCCAGTGGTTCAGTCCAGTGGTTCAGTCCAGTGGTTCAGTCCAGTGGTTCAGTCCAGTGGTTCAGTCCTGATACTCACTCTCTGTAGGCAGTAGCTCTCTGCTCACAAACGCTGCGTCCACGTCCTCCAGTAGGATGATACTTTGCTGTGGGGCTACGCTCAGGAGATGGTTCACTCTGTCGTCTGAGAGGGTCCTGTCACTCAAACTCATCAGGCAAATGCTGTATCCGAGCTCACCGGCCAGAGCTGTGCTGCCAGGCACAAGGAAACAACCGAAATGTCAACAAAAACACAAGACGGACACTCTGTTTGTGTGTGTGCGCAATGTTTTCATATACATTTTTGTGTATATCTTCATAATAGGGCTGCCAGATTAATCGCAATTGAATCGAAATTTGAATGAATATAATTAGCAAGGTAGGTTCCATAGTGGCCCATGGGTGTATACTAGTCTATCTGCTCTTATACTTAATTTCCGTGCTGTCAATGAGACTTTTTTAGTATTGACACTTGCTCAGATGAGTATCTACTTACAGTACTAGTTTTAGTATCGATTAGTATCTGATTTTCGATATTTTGACAACCCAACATGTTCTGAAATGTGATTCTTAGTTTGTCAGTTCATGTTTCAGACTTTCTGTCAAACAATTCCTGTTATTAAGACATAAATAGCAATTGTAATGCTTAGAAAAATCACAATTCGATATGTTTCCCAAACCATTCACCCCAAATTCGATGTCAATGAATTACAAAAGGTGATATCTGTAACCTGTACTTCTAACCTGGAACCTGGAAGAAGAAGGTCATTCATCTTTTTAGTTTAATTAAAAGGATTAAATTTCAGCATGTACAATGTATATTTTGGTAAATAATCAGCGTAACAATTGTTATCAGTAAAAAACTGTATTTGTTTGGACAAGTTTACTGCATAAATGAAGGCAAAAAGGTAATGTTTATGATTTTGTAAGATGTGTACTTGTCTTACTGTGAAGCTCCTGTATGAAGAGCCTTAAATCTGTTTGTCCAGCACATCAAATATAATATTATAAAACATAATCTAAAATAGAATACTCACATGAAGCTGCTCTTTCCACAGCCAGGAGGACCATACAGGAGATAGCCTCTTCTGTACGGGATACCTAAGGGCACACAGGCAAGATTATGGTCAATGTTAAATTAAAAACCTGGACCAAACCAGGACCAAACCTGGACCAAACCTGGACCAAACCTGGACCAAACCAGGACCAAACCAGGACCAAACCATACCTCTGTCTGTGTACCATCGTGGGTTTCCAATGAACTCCTTCACATCGTGTACGATGCGGTCAGCCACTCCTTCCTCCAGAACCACGGAGCTCAGGGGTCTGCGGCGCCGAGGGAACCCAAACGGCCTCCACTCTCCTCCCATCGCTGTGTACATCACCGTCCGGCCCTCCTCCTGCTTCAGAGCTAACTCCCGAGCTACAGACATATGGACAAAAGCTTTTTTTAACATCACAGTTCTGATAATTAAGGAATGCACCATTAGCAATACTGGTATCAAATATCGGCACTGATACTGAAAAAAAAAAAAAAAAAAAAAGTGCTAGATCAGGTATCGGTTTCATGATGTTGGTTCAGCCGATATCCTGGTTGTGCATTTAACTGGATCTAATAAGATATCAAGTTAAATTACAGGCTGATTTTGGCCTAGTCTCATAATGTGTCAACTTTTATTCATACAAAACTGTTCAGTAGTGATCTGAAGGATGAATAAGATCTACTGTGTAATAATAATAATAATCCATCCATTATATAGTGCTTTTCTGGACACTCAAATAGACTTTACAGAGCATGATTCATTCACTCCATACCCAGTGTAATACATAAACTGTGGTTTAAAGAAATAAGCACCATTTTCCATCCATGCCCTGGTGTTGGTTAATATCAGGTATCGGCAGATATTTAAAGTCAAAGTATCGATAACGGAACTGAAAAATCTGGATGGGAGCATTTGTGTTTCATTGCACCACTCTAGATAGGATTTAGTTTGTCTGTTTTTTGTGTATGTCCTTTGAATACACCAGAATTTGTGCATTATTTAATGTTTCATCCTTCGAAACCTGGCTCACACACTGAGCACATTTTGAAAGTTTTTGTTTTTTGTGCTCAGTTTTTAACATCCTGTCATGGGATTTTAACCAACTAAGAACTACTTCTACTTCAGTAATACTATTTTGAAGTAATGATGAGTACAATTCATAGTTACTCTACCCACCACCTCTGCTTGTATCACAGTACAGTGTATATATACTGTATCTAAAGTGTGTACCTTCTTGGAGGATGTTGAAGAATATTTGTCGGTCTCGTCCCAAAGCGGTGAAGGTGACAGACTCCCAGGGAGTGCCTGTGTGCAGGTCCACCATCTGCTTCTCCCTGGTCCTCTCCACTCGGATCCACTTCCTGCCATACCTGAAACATTAAAAATGTACAAGAATTACAGATTACTGAACAATTATAATAATTGAACATAGTAGTACTACATCACATTCCATTATGCAATAAAGGACTTTCAATACACCTTGTCAGTGTTCCCCGGATGTTTTTGCTTACAAGTACACCTCCTTTTTTAAAGTCAGTTTTGGTCTCTTCAGTATGTAGTAATAATCACATCCTTCAATACTACTGGACATTTTTACAGTCTTTATATGAAATTTTAGCACTCATGTCCTTTGATGTTTATAACGTGACTATGTAAATGATGCATTTATTTTCTTGGCACAAACTCAAAATAAAGAAATCAAAAACTTTACATGACTTAATTTTTATACACTTTTCACTCATTTGTTGGGTGTAAAGTAAAACTCTGTCACAGCTGAGAGATACACTTCCGATCAAATGTTTTAGAACACCCTAATTTTTCCAGTTATTTATTGCAATTCAAGTCATGCAAGTCCAATGAGGAGCTTGAAATGGAACAAGACAACAGACAGTGGTTAGAAAAAGATAAAAGAACAAAAGTCCAAGCTCTGCCAAAACTACCTCAGGAAAACAGAACAAGATGTTAAACTTGAAAACATGGAGTATCCAGACGTAAGCCCCATCAAGTGTGCCGCGCATTTATGGGAACTTCTGCAACAGACTTGGAAAGAACCTTCTGAAGAATATTTGATTTCTGTTGTACAAAGAATGCCACAAGTGTGTTCAGCTGTTCTATCTGCCAAAGGTGGACACTTTCATGAATCAAAATATTGGAATATGTTTTGGTCAACAGTAAACAGTAAAAAACTGGAAAAAGTGTGGTGTTCTAAAACTTTTGATTGGTAGTGTAGCTGGAATGAAAAGTGTGTGTGCGTGTGTGTGTTTTTTTTTTCACATGAATAGTTTGGTTGTTTAAAACCATAATCATAATTTAAAATATATTTTCACAGGGAAAAAATTAACAATACATCTATTACCAATAAAAACACTTTAAATTGAAAATGCAAGACATTTAATTTTAATGCCATACTGTGGAATATTCCGGACAAAGTAATAACAGTGGGACAAGCAGGTGGCAGACCCTCCATCAGAAAACTTGCATAGTGCACCTTTAAGTGTGAAAACAGTGGTCAGTAGTGTTTTCACGATACAAAAATTTCAACTAGATTCGATACTAAGGAATAAACTTGACATTGAATTTCAACACTGAATTGTAGTACTTTTTTTCCCCATTCCCATGTGGTCTTATATATGTGTAATCCCTCAGTGGTCCAGGTATTTTCCATAGTGGTCCATGGGTGTACTGTATACTAGTTTGTGTGCTCTTATACTTGTTCTGATACAACTCAAGATTGTTCTAAAGCTATTCAGGAAAGGTTCATTTCTGGTCCAGTGAATGGGACTTTAATAGTATCAATACTTGTTCAAATGAGTATACAGTATTTTTACTAGTTTTAGTATCAATTAGTACCTGATTTTCAATACTTTTGGCAACACTAATGACCACAAAAATCAGAACCCCATTACCAGACCTATAATAGGTGTGTATTTACAGCAGAAATTTGATGTGAGAAATTTGATCACCAGTAACACCTATGACATTCAGTAGTTACTGAGTAACTGTTGTATTTGAAAGATAAAGTACTATGCAATTTAAAATCGCTCATATTCTTTTCCTTTTTTGTGTCTTACTGACCAGATGATGTGGTTCCCGGGGCTGGGGTGAAAGTCGAACTGCGTGTGCACCCGTCCGCTCTCATGGGCCTGATAGGACGTCTCTACGCTAAGGTGCTGGGTGTGGCGTGCGTGTTTGGTGATCCAGCTCAGAAGCCAGTGGTAGCTCTTATCTCGACTGGGGACCTCCAACGTGATCATGTAATACCTGCGGAAAAACACCATCCCCACCTGGACACGACAAGTATGAAGTCAAGATTCAGCATCACATTTTCCGTCATTTTAATACACAAATAAAATCATATTGTTTCGCAGAACTCCTCAAAATCAGCATAAAAACATGTCAGTAAATACAGACACAGCACTGCCTCTAACCTAAACACACACAGACACACTAGATTTACTGTCCATCCACTATCGCAGTAGTCATAATAGTACAAATATAAAATGTAAGTGCGGACTGAATGCCTGAATGACTTCGAGGTACAGAGGCAACTGGGTATATTCTGAAAAGTGTGATGAAGATGTAACACATTTGAATAGCAAGTAAAAGAGATCTGCAAAAAAAAAAAAAAAAAGGCCATAAGATGACATGATATCAAACTTTAGTACAACAAAGTAGATCACCACTCCTCAAGTTTGTGACTAGATTTATCAAATCAAAACTTAAAGTAAAATTAGAGTTAAACTTAGAGACTTAGAGACACTTAAAGTGACGTAGAGATAAATAACAACTTTACATTTGTTTTTTCATTGTTGGTGTACAGACTGAACTGATATTAACAATTTTGCTTCTTATGGTTCTCAAGATTATTCTTTTTCTTTTTTAGTCCTTACAATAAAATTTGTGATCTGAAGCGTACATTTTGAGTCCTTGTGTACATTAAGTTTAGTTCCCATTTTGATGTGGTGATTGTACGATTGTGAATGCACCCTCAGTTTTCAGATGGAATTAGCTGTAGTGTTGAATTGATATGCTCTTAGGTAAAATGTCCACATTAGTATGCAGATTGGATTGTGTGGTTGGAGAAACAGCCTGCAAATGATTACCACTAACAGTGGAAGACTGGTTCCATCTGAAACATGGACATCTGCACATATGAAACAATCCTTATTTTTGGAGTATAAAGGCTGCATTTGTAAGTAAGTGTGTACTATGAGGATATCAATCTAAAAAACAAAAATCATCACCCCCACCTGAGCTCCTTTACGAGCCAGAGCCAGCGCAGTGCCGACTCCTACCAACCCGAATCCAGCTCCAAAGTATGGGTTATCCTTCAAGCCATCCAGAAAGTCCGACATAGGCATGGTGCTGCGGTGTTAATTACGCAATAACCTAAAAGTAATTTAATTAATTACAATGTTTATAACAAATTGGCCTTTTCATGGTTTCATACGGCAGATGACACCATGTGATTTGTCCTTAAAAGAAAGATACAAGTCCTCAATGTTGTCATCTATTCCCAATATCTTCAGGTAATACGAGGCCACAAATCTGCTAATATAACGTTTCCTTTCGCTCAATTTAATCTCAGTCTGGTCAAAATGCTCTTGCGAATCCACCCTCAGTCGTAGCGCAGTAATTCAGTAATCAAAAGTCATTAAATTGTATTTCATCTCCAGTTTCTGAATGAATCGCAAAAGTCATGTGCAACATCCGCGCATCCGCGACCTCTGTTCCACTTCCGGTGTCGAACCAAAATCAAACCGGCTTCGCTTTTTTCCAAACATTAGTTCCGTTCTGTTTTGACTAAATTCAAAACAAACTTTAAAACGACAATTTGTCGTAACTACTAATAGATTAAAATAATTTGTCGTATTGTGTAAATTTACATACAATTTTCATTGGCTAAAGTTTATAATAGCGGCAGAATTTAGACTCAAGCTACCAGGCTAAGTGTGGCTAATGCTAACATAAACAACAGCATTGAAGAAGCAGCAGTGAAGAAGAGGAGGCTATGCAACAGTATCTCTAAAAACAGGGGTAAATCTTATTTTTATTTCGTATACTACATAATCAATATGGTAAATAATGATAATAGATTGTAAATGTCTTAAATTATTCCACAGATTATTTGTTTTTTTGTGTTATTGTAGTTCTTATAACCAAATACTTAAGTAGCAAAAGTAGGAAGGACATTTTCTATTAATTGAAAAATGTGTTTTAATTAATTAAAATTCACAAAGTAGGAACTTGCTTTGGCGTTATAGAGCATTATGCAGCATTAAACAAAGAATAATAATAAAACTATAATCAAATAAAATAGGGGCATGCAATGAAATAAGGTAAATAACAAATAGACTTTGATTTACAAGTACAAAATATACAGTATGGGAAGAAGCACATTGCAAATGGGTTAATTACAGTTGTTTATTGTTACAGTAACTGGTGTTATAAATATGATATTGTGTCTTTGGGCAAGACACTTCTCTCAACTTGCCTGTGTAACTGGTGATGGTCACAGAGTTTACCAATAAAAAATGGAAGAAGTCTCCATCTCTCAGCATGAGTTCTGAAGATTTGGTATTTTTTGGTACATGTAAAAACTAAAAGCAGCACATGATTCTCAATTCATGATTCAGGTTATGTTGAGTCTGTTTTACATAAATATATTGTTTCCTAGTACATTTTTCTGCATAAATAGTTATTTTTGCATGAACTTCCCCTGCAGGTGTAGTCTTATGAGTGCAGTTTGGGTCAGTACACAGAGACTTGTAATAGTTTTTAAAGCTTTTGCTACGCACTCTTTATGTTGTAAATATGTTGATATGTCAATATCTGTTTGATGTATTTTAGCTTATTTTACTTTTATGTAAATTAAGTAAGTTCATTTGTACTCACTTTGTACTCACTTTGTTTTTCAGTCACTATGGACGACGTGGAGCCTAACCGTGGTTCAGAGGAGCAAACAGATTCATTGCACAACCAAAATAATGAGACTGAAAATTTTAAGTCTTCCAATAAAGATGGAAAGAATAAAAATCTGTCAACGAAAGGTGTGAAAAGAGGACGAAAACCAGAAAAAAAAGACAAGCCTCCAGCAATAGATAATGGTCATTTGCTGAAAAGTAAGTAAAATATTGCAGTATTCAGTCTGGACTGAAATTGAATACAATTTTTCTTGGTGATTTACTGGCATGTGCTAGAATGGTTCTTACCTTATTAGATATATATTTTGGTTTTTAATATCAAACATAAATGCTGCAGAAAAAAAAAAGTTTATCTAGCAGTTCAATTCAAAAGTGCTTCAATAAACACACCGCACACAAGATGAAACACTGATATATTATTATACATATTATCCATACGAGAGACCAAGATTTTCAAGATTTTATTATAACCATTAAAACAAGTAACATTTAAAGCCACAGTTGGATAAGACAGATATGCCCATACTGAAAAAACAAGCTAATTGGTCAAAATCTTCTAAAGGACTGTACAATTTTATTGAAATGCCGTTATTTTTAATCGTCAATGATCTGTTTTCGTCACTTCTGCTCTCAATTCTATTCAAAATGACCAGTTACAGAAAAAGAGAACCAATTACCTAAACTAGAAGGACCACAAATACTGCAATTAGTGCTGTCATGCGATTAAAAAAATTGAGAGATTAATTAATTATGATCTGTAATTAATTAACCTAATTAATCTCATTTTAATCTCACCTAAAATTGCTGAGAAAAGCCTTCAATTTGAGGTATTTTCATTTAAATTCATTATTACATTATTGTGGCAGCAAAAGTGACTTTATAAAGTCATTTATTGTTCAACAAATCAATTCAATTTGGCTGTTGAGCCCAAGTCTCCATGAATAAGAAAACTGTTTGTTGTAAAGTAGCAAAGACGAGGAAATCTGAACATAATAACTTTTGTCTACTTAAAGACAATAAAAAGTCCAGTCTTTCCTTACCCATGTTAAAAATATTATTGATAGAGAAATGCTTTATATATGAGATCACTGGTTTTAGTCCTTGTTTTAGTCCTGGTTTAGACCTGGTTTAGACCTGCTTTAGTCCTACTTTAGTCCTAGTTTAGTCCTGGAAAGGGTTAGTCCTGGTTTTAGTGCTGGTGTTAGTTCTGGTTTAGTCCTGGTTTAGACCTGGTTTAGTCCTGGTTTAGACCTGGTTTTAGTTCTGGTTTTAGTTCTAGTTTAGACCTGGTTTAGTCCTGGACTGGATTAGTCCTGGTTTTAGTCTTGGTGTTAGTTCTGGATTAGAGGCGCACAGGAGGAAGCGCGGTTTACGCAGTTTAGCGAGAAAACACGATCCACACGCGGCTCACGGGAGCACGTGTCACGGTGTCCACGCAGTAACTACGGAAGGAAACATGGTCCGCGCGTTCTCAGGTTAATGACGATGATGAAGGTGTGTGTTTGTTTGTGTGTGTTTGTGTTTGTGTGTGTTTCTGTTTGTGTGCGTGTCCCCTCATGTGGCAGGTCACTATAGGACAGTAGTGCAGACATCATGAGCCTATGCAGGTTGTTTTCACCAGTGACATTTAAATTGTAGGCGTATATTTGTTATTTTCTTTTATATTTCACGTCGGGAGAATAATTTCCAAGACACGAATGCGTTTTTACCTGTGCATTGCTGACTCTGTTCTACTGGCTCTTCGACCTCGTCCATTGTGCGACTGACGCCGCGAGTGGAATTACCGAAATAAAAAAATGTATAAATGTGTTTTTTGTGTGTGTGTGTTGTTGTCCCAACAACACATAAAAACTGGTTTAATAATAAAGCAACTCGCATACAGAAACAGTAAAGTTAGAGATTAAAAATGAGATTAACGCGATTAAAAAACATAACGCGCTAAATATGACTGTAATTAATTAATCGCAATTAACGCGATAATTTGACTCCCCTAACTGCAATGTCATATAATGTAATGTAAAATCCTATTTACTGTACAACTTTTCTTGTGGATTGTCTGTCACGTGCTTGTATCCATGGAGATGTCATCTGGAATGTTCCACTGTTTGCCATTACATTTGTCTATCTTGCGTTTAGTAAATTACGGCTGTTCTTATTGCTAAAAAAGACCATGAAAAACATACATTCTCATGTGTTCCATAGATCTGACTTGTAACTTGGCCTGGTGGCATCATCTGCTTGGCTTGAATATAGAAACATTGAGTGCATTACTGTGGAACATTCTAGACAAAGCAATAAGATATTCATAAAGACAAACTGGTGACAGACTTTCCAACACAATATTTACATAGTGGACCACAAAGTAGAATGACCACAAATATTATTGCATTTGTGGTCAATATTTATCATAGTCTTACATCAGTTCAGTGGCAATTTGTGGGAAAAAAATGAGAAAAAAGTACACAAATACAGGGTTAGTAGTGCTGAGTTCTAAAACAGAATCCCTCTGTCTATCAGTAACTCGGAAAATTCCATCCAAAAGTTTTTTTTTAAACCCTCAAAAAACCTGTCTTTAATAAAATGAAGGTGTTATTTATTTTTATTAATCTAGTCATAACTATGGTGCAATTTAGACAAGTTTGAGAAATTGGAATTACCTATACATGCGTATGTCATATAAATTACAAAACTTGAAATGACTGCCCAAGATTTTTTCGTAAAATCTTAAATATAATGATGTTCAATTTTTATTTTATTTTAGCTTACCTGCCCGACACCTCCACCGCCCAGATTTTCCGCACCCACCGCTGCCCCAGTTGTCACCGCTGCTTCAAGATGAGCGCTCACCTCAAACAACATCTAAAACTTCACTCCCCGGACCCAGAACTCCAGTGTCCCACCTGTAAACGCCATTTCACCAGCAAAAGCAAACTGCGTGTTCACCAGCTTCGAGAGGCCGGTTTAAAATCCCACCAGTGCCACTTGTGCCCATACTCAGCCGTGGAACGCAATTCACTTCGCCGCCATCTTGTCTCGGTTCACGCAGATAAAACAGAAGACGGTCCAGAGTTGAATTTTGCGTGTCCAGTTTGTAATGAATGTTTTCGTCAAAGCAAATTACTAAAAAATCACATGAAGTCTCACAATGTAGCGAAAAACAGCACACAGCATTTTTGCATTGAAGAAGGCTGTTCATTTAATAGCACTTTATTACATTTGATTCAACATATCACGGAAACGCATAATTTCACTCCGATTGAATGCCAGCATCACGCTTGTACGGCCATTTTTAGGACCAAAACACTGATGGAAGAGCATTTTAAGAATCACCAAGCTTACCACTGCACAGACTGTGACTTTGCCTGTTCAAATAAACGTATCTTTGCTCAGCATTGCAGACAGGGGCATGCTGGGGGAGAGGAGTTTTCTTGTGAATTTTGTGATTTTAAAACGTTTAATTCGGTGGCGTTTGAGAGACATGTCGGGCACTTTCACGCCGCGGAGAAGATCCACAAATGCTCCGAGTGCGAGTTCACCACAGCGCATAAGCGAGGACTGAAGAGGCACATGCTAACCCACACCGGTGAGATTTAAAGTGGAACTAAACACTAAATCCACATTTGTTTGCTGCATAAGTATGTAGATGGTGTTTGAATAACGTTATCTACTGTTTCTAGTCAATTTTTGTAAGTTTAGTGCAACAAGGTAAATCTGTGTGTGTGCTGCCCCCACTGGCCTGTGCAATTTAAAGTACTACATGACATCACACAGGACTTCCCTATTACAGCCAGGTGTTTCTGTTCACAAAAACAGACCCCACCCTCCTTCCCTCTCACTCACCCCTTTAGTCCTCCAGATCTCGCACTCCTCCCTCCTCACTGTCCCCTTTTGTCCCCCAGACCCCACCCCTCCTCGCCCCTTACTCCCCTTTAGTCCTCCAGACCCCGCCCCTCCTCCCTCCTCACTGTCCCCTTTAGTCCCCCAGACCCCACCCCTTCTTGCCCCTTACTCCCCTTTAGTCCTCCAGACCCCGCCTATTCTCCCCACCACTCACTCTCCCCTTTAGTCCTCCAGACCCCGCCACTCCTTCCCTTCTCTCTTCCCTTTAGTCCTCCAGACCCCGCCTATCCTCCCCACCACTCACTCTCCCCTTTAGTCCCCCAGACCCCACCCCTCCTCCCCCTCACTCTCCCATTTAGTTCTCCAGACCCCACCCCTCCCTCACTCTCCCCTTTAATTCTATCCTAATTTAAGACAAAATAAATCTCAGAATATATCATTATTTTTGTGTAAATATCTGCAGGGTTAAACTGTGTTTTTAATATACATATTTAATTATTTTATATATATAGGTGAGAAGTGTCACAAATGCAGCGTGTGTGAGTTCCGGTGCAGAGACCAGTCGTATCTGAGCAGACACATGCTCCGACACGGCCACAGTAAGAACCACATGTGCTCGGAGTGCGGCTACGTCACCAAGTGGAAGCACTACCTCACAGTGCACATGAGGAAGCACAGTGGAGACCTCAGGTACAGGAAATAACTCACACATTCTATTTATTATTATTTTTCCATGGATCTATAATAAGAACTGGATAAGACTTTCCCCCTCCATCTCCATGCTAGAATAGTGGCCACTCCAGGTACTGGCCCAGAAAGAATTCTCCCATAGAGCATAACGCATTTTTGAGGAAATCAAAGTGTCCCTGTTCAGCTGACAGAACCCACAGCTTTCACAAAGGTCCGATTTTGTAGGGATTCTAATGTGTTTTTGCAATATGAACTTTTACATTTTTAAAATCCTCAAAGCGCCTAAAAGTTAGCATTGTAAGATTTATCCCAGCACTGGTCTGAGCCATAGAACCATAATAAAATCTGGAAGATGAATCCCATACTGTTTTCAAAAAAATTTTCACTTCTGCATTTACTTCCTCAAAAGGGGCTAGCCTCCCACCCGTGTGACGTAGGTAACGTACACGGCATGGTGCGTTTTGACCAATCAGAGCGAGAGCTGCTAGCATGGGCTCAGAGCGGGGCTAGGTGAACTCTTACAAAGCTAAATTTTAGGCACTTTGAGCATTTAAAAATTTTAAAAGTTTATGTTGTGAAAATAGAAAAGAATCCGTACAAAATCCAACCTTTGTGAAAGTTGCTGATGCCCTGTCAGCTGAACACAGGCAGTTTGAATTCCCGCCCAAAAAATGCATTGTGCTTCTGTGGGAGAATTCTTTCTGGGCCCAAGCTCCCGGGAGCTGCAGTCAGGCAAGGCAAGGCAAGTTTATTTGTATAGCACAAATTGTACACAAAGTAATTCAAAGTGCTTTACAGAATAAGAAATACATTAAAATCATAATAAAAACAAATCAAAACATAAATAATCATGAAGATTAAAATTAAAAAAGAGAGACATAAATTGGAGAGAAGAGTGCGGAATGAAAACCTTTCAGTTATATGCACAGTTAAACAGAAATGTTTTGAGCCTGGATTTAAACAGCGTCACAGAAGAGTCTGTCTCACATGTTCAGACTCTTCCAGGTTTTAGCTGCATGAACCTGAAACGCTGACTCCCCTTGTTTAGTCCTGACTCTGGGCACCAGCAGGAGGCCGGTCCCTGAGGTCCTCAGAGTGCGAGATGGTTCATATGACACTAACATGTCACAGATGTACTTTGGTGCTCGGCCGTGGAGAGACTTGTACACAAGCAGAGCTGCTTTAAAGTCTATTCTCTGAGGTACAGGAGCCAGTGCAGAGACCTGAGCACACGACTTATGTGCTCGTACTTCCTAGTTCAAGTAAGGACCCAAGCTGCAGCTTTCTGGATGTTCTGCAGCGTCTCACAGCTCGTTTGGAGAGACCAGTGAGCAGACCATTACAGTATCTATCCTACTGGAGACAAACGCATGGATAAGTTTCTCCAAGTCTGATTTAGACAGTAAACCTTTGATTTTTGCTATGTTTTTTAGATGGTAAAAGGCTGCAGCTGTTATTGATTTGATGTGGCTGTTAAAGTTCAAGTCTGAGTCCATTATTACCCCTAGATTTCTTGCCTGATTTGAAGGTTTTAGAGAGAGAGACTGGAGGTGACTGCTGGCACTGTCCCTTTGTTTCTGTGGACCAAACACTATGACTTCAGTCTTGTCAGAGTTTAGCTGGAGAGAGTTGTTTTGCATCCACACACTGATCTGTTGGATGCAGTGACCAAGTGAGTCCACTGGTCCATAGTCTCCTGCTGCCAGAGAGACATAGATCTGAGTGTTATCTGCATAATTGTGGTATGTAATAGTACCTGGAGCGGCCAGCCACTAGTTGGTCTCGATTCGGGAAAGAGGGCAATGCTCTATCCATTTATTTTTATAAATCCATGGTCAGAGCCCACTAGTTCCACTCTAGCAACTCTCGCTCTGATTGGTCATTGACCATGCTGTGCACATTTCTGATGTCACACGATGAAGTGGCACTAGGCCAGCATTCAGGAAGTAGTGCAGAAGAAAAAATATTTTGGGCTTTTCACACCAATGAGCACAGGCCACTGAAAACAACATGACGCAATCTTTGGTTCATTTTCCAGATCTCATTATACTTCCATCATCTCACTATATACACCATATACTTGTATAATCCATATTTTCCATTTTTGTTTTGTAGGTACGAATGTGACCAGTGCAATTATCGCTGTCACAGAATGGACCAACTCAACAGCCACAAACTCCGGCACCAAGAAAAATCCCTCATCTGTGAAATCTGCGCTTATTCCTGCAAACGCAAATACGAACTACGCCAACACATGATTTCAAAACACTCTGAAAATGACCAACCCGCTGCCGTTTACAAGTGCAAGTTCTGCTCTTACTCCTCCTCATATCGGCAAGCCCTCAAAAACCACGAAAACTGCAAACATACCAAATCTAAGCAGTTCCAATGTGCACTATGTAGCTACACGTCATTTAGCGGCACCAGCTTATTTCTGCATAAACGGAAAACCCACGGATACGTACCAGGAGACAAGACCTGGCTGCAAAATTACGCTTTAAAAGAAAAAGAGAAACACATCACAGGAAATTTGGATGTTTTTTACAATAACGCGACGCCTCAGCAACTTATAGACGCCAGTGCTACAGAAATGAGTGGCACAGATGCTAACAAAACAAATGCTAAAGTTGACGGGATTAGAGATTTGAACGTTATAGCGCAAGAAGTAGCAAATAACGACAATTTTGAGAGTCCGAGTGAAGAGTATTGCACGCTTGTTTTAACCACGCTTCCGAGCATTGAGGAGCAAACTTCCACTCTGCAGGAAAATAGTCAGAATTCAATGTATGTAGCAGAAAATAATAACTTATCACCCAAAAACGCAAGCTTGATAACTAGCTTTAGCTCAGAAGACGAAGGAGACGCTAGTTTAGATGGTGAGCAAAATTATTCAGGCAAACCAAACCAAATTGAGGAGTTTGAAGAAATTGAAAAAAGTGTCGAAAGTCGTAGTGCGAAGTTACATCATGAAATTGCAGTGAAAGATTTGAAAGAATTAGAAAAGATACAAGCTAATGCTATGGTTTTGGAGGGCCACGTGGAGCTGTTAATGTTACCAACGCAAAAAAATAGCAAAGGGAGGGAGGTGAGGGATAGAAAAAAATTTAATTGTCAAGATTGTGGTGTAGAATTCAAGCTAAGACGAAATTTGGACAATCACTGCAAAAATAAATGCATTTCGAAGCAAAATTGTGAAATGAAAGCAAAATTGCAAATGAACAAATTGATTGAACAAGAAGTAGTAGAATTTCCTAGCAACGTTGAAACCAGGAATTTAGATTGGAATTTAAATTTGCAAAATAGCAACGAACCACAACTGGAAACTGCTAATATTTCTGCTAATCTAGATGAATTCAGTAAAACAAATCAAGACAGAAACAGCCAGTGTCCACAAGCTAAAACTGCAGACGCTGTAGCAGATAAAGATTGTCCTTACGCTAAAATTAACGACAAATTTGAATGTAAACAATGCAGGTTTTCAGCTATAAAAGTAGCCACAATTGAACGACACATAGCAACTTGTGTAACAAAATCTAGCGAGCAAAAGTCTCAGAAAATGCCAGAAAAAAATAAGTTTGAAGATCTCGAAGAAAGTAGCGAGAAAAGCAAATTGGAAAGACATGCAAAAACTGCGAACCTAAAAGCTTTTAATTGTAGCGGTTGCAAATTCGTTGCTAAATCCGTGCTATCTTTAAATCGTCATGAAGTTCTTGTTCATAAGAAAGTAGCAAGTAAATTTAACTGTAAATACTGTTCCTTTGGTTGCAAATTTGAACACCGCTTGCTGCAACACGTAGCAGTCAAACATAGCGCCAAAAACGCATTTCGGTGTCGATTTTGTAGCTTTACCACAAAACGAAAATACAGATTGGAAGAACACGAATCTAGACACACCGGTATTGGCCGCCATACCTGTGACATTTGCGATAACACGTTTGGATCTTTGAGCATATTACAAAAACATAAATCGCGACTTCACGATAAAAATCCCACGCATTTTTGCACGAATTGCGACTTTTCTAGTTTTTCCCAAGACGATATTAAACGGCATAATACGCGATGCCATTCGGGGGATATGAAATTCAACTGCCAAAAATGCGACGCAAAGTTTAGCTCGCAAATCTCGCTTACCAAACATTGCAAACGTGTCCATATGAGGAGATTTACGTGCAAGCAGTGCCAATACACATGTGGTAGCAGTGTTGAATTGAAAGCACACCAAGTTTGCAAGCATAAATTAGCAAAAGGGACGATTTTAAAGGAGATATCAACAGCTAAGGACTCAAAAGCTAAGCATACATGCCAACTGTGCCAATTCACCACCAAAACTAAAAAGCTACTTGCTCAACATTTGTCAGACGAGCATGAAAACGACGTGGACGGTGCGAAGTCGCTTAAATGTAGTCAGTGTGAGTTTGCCTGTAAGTTCCAGCTGGTTTTGGAGCAGCACTTGAGGAGTCACGGAGGGAAGCGTCTGTACAAATGCACTCACTGTGAATACTCGAGCAGAAACAAACAGAAGATGACATGGCACATCAGGACCCACACTGGAGACCGGCCGTACAGATGTGAGGAGTGCAGCTACGCGTGCTCTGACCCCTCCAGGCTCAAGGTAAGAGTGAAACATGTTTATTTATGCATAAAAATAAGGGAGACAAAGACATTTTAAATGGTGAACAAATTTATTCAGACCAAAGTTGTCTTTTTTTCTTAATGCCTTATACTTATAATGTGCTTTCACACACTTACAGATGGACAAAGTCTCTCAAAGCTCAATGTTGTCTTTAGCCATTCACTCCACTCTGTAGCCACAGCAGCCCAGGGGTAGACTGATGGAGGCAAGGCTGCCTCAATGACCAAAAGTCACTCACCACATTCACACTATGGGAAAAACGTCTTGTGCCTAAGGACACGGTGACAGAATGACAGACCCAATTACAAAGTGAAGGGCCACAGACTGGTGATCAATACAGTGAATCATTTAAAGCGCTGCATCTAACTTCGGTTTGTCTGGTCCATCACAGTTATTCAGGCTTGAGGTCTTTCTTATGAAATAATGTTTGTCATTGAGATTATGATGGTATATAGTCATCTATGACAATTCAGCATGAGGGCCAGCAAAAACTGGTCTGAAGGTCATGTTTGGCCCCCAGGCCATACTTTTACTGGATGGCACTTGGCCCTTGGCCCTGCCTTATCTCTTGTGGAGCAGATAGACTAAAGTGTAGTATTTCCTGTCTTTGCAGCAGCACATGCGGGTGCATCAGGAGGAAAGGAAATACTTGTGTCCTGAGTGCGGATACAAGTGTAAATGGGCCACGCAGCTCAAGTGTCACATGACCAAGCACACGGGTGAGTGACTTAAGTTTAGTTTACTCTAGTTTAGTTTAGAACACTAAAGTCACATGACTAAGCACACGGGTAAAGTCTCTTTAAAGCAAAAGTATGTAACTTCCTGGAGTCGACATGTCACCTGCCTCGTTCCATGGAAATAGAAAGTTAAACCATACTTCAGAACATTCTCCATGGAGATAGATGAGTTTTATGCCAGGAACATTTCAGTGGAAACAAGCAGGAGAAAGTCCTCCTTCATTACACATTAGAGTTAGGTTTGAGGGAAACCTGCTCACAGTAATGACACATTTAAAATAAGTTTGTATCTTTGTGCCGCCACTAAATCCAAAAGAACCAAACTAATATTTTCAAACTTGTTATGCAGTAAATATGTTGATTAGAGGTGAACCCATCATAATATCACCTGAAAAAATTATACGCTGTCCACAGATCTTAACAAGTGAATATCTCAGATTCAAAACTCTAACATGAGGGTTTTGTGTGTGACTCCAGGAGAGAAGCGCTTCGCCTGTGTGGACTGTGAGTACCGCTCCAACCGCGCTGACGCCCTCCGCTCTCACCGGGACACCCAGCACAGCTCCACGCGCCCGTTCATCTGTGAAAAGTGCGGCAAATCCTTCAAAACCAACTTCATCCTCAAATCTCACCAACAGCAGCACAGTGACGGGCGGCCCTTCACGTGTGGCCTCTGTCAGAAAAGCTTCAAATGGCCCGCCGGCTTGCGACATCACTTCCTCTCCCACACCAAGCAGACGCCATTTTGTTGTCGACTTTGTTCGTACAGGGCCAAGCAGAGGTTCCAGGTGGTGCGGCATTTAAAGAAACACCATCCAGGAGTAACAGTGGAGGAGGGAGTGGAGAGGGATGGGGAGATAGGAGGTTTGACCATAAAAGAGGCACTGGAGGGCACTACGGAGAAAAAGTGATGCACCTGTACTTCTAGGAGTGGACGATATGGACAAAAATTAAGATCATGATATTTTGAGTGTCCTTAATGATAATAAAAGATGTGTTTTAACATTTCCTTAGGCATATTACTAGGCCTGTAACAATAACAGATTTTGCTGGACGATTAACGATAATATTGATATTTTGAGATCATTTTCAACTAATATAATGACAATGAAATAAAAATGCAAATACACCCTTTCAAAGATCAATAAACTTGACTTTCTAAAGAACATTTAACCCAGGAACTGCAAGACAACCAAAAACAATAGGCCTAAATAAAATAGACTTGTTAACATTGGAAAAGGGTAATGTAGGCTTAAACAGCAAGGTCTTGTTAACAAAAAATGCACTTAAATAAACCATTGTTGAACCAAATACAACCAAAACAATAAATAAAATTGATTATTAAGTCTGTAACAAAATTGTCCCTCTCTGTGGCTGCTGCTGTGATCCTTGGCATTTTGGTCTTGAAGTGTTTGTATTAATTGATGTTATTATAGAGGCTGGCTCCTCGCATAGTCCAGTTTTTATACAGGGATTACCATGATGTGCTCTGCTGCACATGTCTCCTGCAGAAAGAGCATCTGTCATGTCTATTATTGTGTCGGTGTTAGGGATGGGCATGATTAGTCGATTAATCAATAACTGATCATTAAGAATTTCATCAATTACATTCATTTTAATCGACAAACCGAATGTAGGTTGCTGGGCGTGGCGTGACCAAACAAGGGGCCGTACATGTGTCTGTACTCAGAAGGAGCGAGCAGCCACAGTCGGTCAGTCTGCAACGTGTCGAAGTGTAAATGCGTATTTAACTATGGCTTGTACAAGAAATTCCACACTTTCCGTTGCGTTCGGGACAAGTGTGAGGCCATGTGCACAGTGTACAAAGCAGCACATATGTTTCGGTGTCCAGTGGGAAAATGTTTTGCCAGGTGAGAGTAGCGCAATGTCGATGACGAGTCCCCACCTCTCACCCCCCGTACGGTGTCCTGGTTGTGACAAACGCAAATATGGTCACACTAACCTGTATTCCACTGATTCGTGTGGCATCAGCGCACAAGAGCTGTTTTTTTTTCTTCGCTTAATTTATGCAAATTAGCCATGTGGTTTTAAGTTTCGTTTCTGTGAGAGTTGCGCAAAACTGCACAAACACATTATAATGTCAAACGGGCTGATGTGGCTCTAGAGTGGTTACGGTTTATATGTCATAAAGTTGAATTTATTTATGCAGATTAGTAGTGCTGATAGTAATAATAATGATGATAAATTTTAATATAAAAAACGTTAATGATTAATCGATAATCGATCGTTAATTCTCCCGACGATCGATTAAGAAAATTTAATCGAATGCCCATCTGGAGACGCTGCTATGCTCAGCAGCGCAGAAAATTACCAATATTTTAATAGAAAATATAATTAAAATATTTTAGTAGAAAATCACCCAAGGGCCACATTAAAAGTCTTGGAGGGCCGGATCTGGCCCCCGGGCCTTATGTTTGACACCTGTGGTCTATACAGTCTAAGCTGACATATTCTTTCAAGCTTCATTATGCTAAAGAAAAGAGAAGAGTCAGAGAGCGATAGAAGCATTTTGACATTCTTTGGTAGAGAGAGAGAGAGACGAAGAAAACAAACAAGCATGCAAGTAGAAATGATCATGTCTGGAAAAGTTATCGAGCTTGTTAAAAGATATTCGTATCGTACGATTAATTGATTTATTGATTATCGTTACAGGCCTACATATTACTGAAAGGTAATACTCAACCTGTGTCTTCAGATCCTTAACCTGGTGCTGGGGTTTAGGTAGTGACCATTCAAATCAGAGACAGGCATTTTAGGTTTAAACCAACAGGATTTCATTGAAACTGCAAAACAAACTCATGTGAGAGTCATCCTACTTTCAGACTGGATAATTTGTAATTAAGAATACATTAAATCAGCATTAATGTGGTTATCAGTAAAAGTATCTGAGGACATGTTTATGGAATTTAAAATACAAATCTTAAATACAGTTCATTTAATTTAAATAATCAAGGACAAAACTTTGCTCTTGACGTTATTATGACTTTATGACACCCATAAAGCACAACAACAGTGTTCATGAATGGTTTATTGCAATACAGTCCTTCATATACAGATATTTAAAATGTAGATCATGTTTTTGTGAAACAAAAAAAGAGATTTAACTAAGACATTTCCAGCATTGTTTCTTAACTCTCTTTAAAATCCAGGCAAGGCATTAATGGCATAAGGTTTCATAAGTTTAAATACACCATAATTATAACAATGCATATATTTAATATCATAAAATACAGCACTGATTTTTGATCCCATGTCTGTCTCTTTGGCTAAATTAAAGTTGCACTGTGTAGCATGTGACGCCACAAAGACAAGTTACAGGTCAGATCTGTAGAGAGGCGAGCCCACACTGTAAGAATGCATGTTAGAAAAGTTACAAAGTGCACCTTAAATATTACATTTGAACATTTAAAAAAAAAAGAATTAAGACTATTAGAGTCGGTCATGGACATTTCAAGTGCTCAAAGGAATAAGGCAAAAGCAGTCAAGTCCTGGTTTAGTCCTGGTTTAGTCTTGGTTTAGACCTGGCTCAGTCCTGGTTCAGTCTTGTTTTAGACCTGACTTAGTCTTGTTTCAGTCTTGGTTTAATCCTGGCTTAGTCCTGGTTCAGTCTTGGTTTAAACTTGGTTTAGACTTGGTTTAGTCTTGTTTTAGATCTGGCTTAGCCCTGGTTCAGTCTTGGTTTAGACTTGGCTTAGTTCTGGTTTAGTCTTGTTTTAGATTTGGCTTAGCCCTGGTTCAGTCTTGGTTTAGACTTGGCTTAGTCCTGGTTTAGTCTTGTTTTAGACCTGGCTTAGACATGGTTTAGTGTTGGTTCAGTCTTGGTTTAAGTCTGGTTGGTATAGTCTTGGTTTAGATCTGGTTCAGATCTGGTTTACACAGAGTATAGGGTTAAATACAGTAGGTCCAGGTTTAGATCTCTGTATTTCTGGTTAGGTCATTGTTAGACCTGGTTTAATTCTAGGTCTAGGTGTAAGAATAGCTGTTTTAGTCATGGTTTCAGACCTGGTTTAGATCTGTAGTTTAGTCCTGGTTCACACTTGGTTTAATCCTGGTTTAGACCTGGTTTAGTCTTGGTTTGGTCACAGTCAAAGTCAGCCTCATCTAGTCTCTTTCCAGTTATTATTTCAGTCAATGTCACTAAGTTTGAATCTTAATGTGAAAAATGACTTGGACTTTGTGTAAACATTTAAAGGCAGCATTATTCCCTCATATATTTGATAAATAATATACACATCTGCTAGCATACAGGCCATTGGGAATACACTTTCTATAATAACACTTGAAGCTTTAGCAACTTGTTTTGCCTTAAAAAGTTATTCCTAAAACAGAAAAATAACAGCACCTAACTTCATTTCGGTTACAGTTTTGTTTTTTGTTTTTTTGCAATGTAAAATCTATAAATTTTTCAGTCTTAAATATGAGTAAAACTAACGTAAAATAAACTTTCCATGCGTCGTTCGTCTTGTTCATGTGTACTCTGAAATAGAAACATTTACAAAGACTGAAGCCGGAGGGATCGGAGTGCCATCTCTGGAGAGGAGGTGAACGTGACGATAACCTGAAAATCAAAACAATTATTCAATTTATTTATTTATTTGTTTATTTAAAACAAGAACAGATTACGCAGATTATATTGATCTTAAAGAGAAAAGATGCTCTGCTCTCGCCAGGCAAATCTAGACTGACATCTCTTTGTATTTTTATACAGATTCATATCAGTCTGTTCCCCATGTCCTCCGTTGTGCCTCGAGTCAGAACCAAACATTCAGTCAGATGTGTTTATTTCAGTGGTGCATGTGAAACGAAGGAGCTCACTGGTCAAACGTCATTTTGAACAAAATGGTTTTCTCTCTCGTCAGATGAACAGTGAGTTTAGTGTTTCACTCTGATTCTGCAGAAATCCTCCCTGTTTTTCAGTCCCCTGTAATATTCTTTTCCTATATTTTAATTGTACTTGTCAAAAAGTAATGATATCAACTGAAGCAAATTTTGAGACATTCAGGGATAAGATATTGTCACCAAGACAATTTGCTTCAATTGCTTCAACTAGAGTTTGACAGACTTTGCCTCTTTATTGTGAAAAAGAACCACCTGTGGTTTAGTCTCCACAGCAGTGGGCTTAACATCTGCTACAACAGTCACCAACACAAAGTCCAGGAGAAGCTACCTGGTTCGTATCAAAACATTGGCTGACACAGTTTAGTAAGTCCAGCTGTTATCAAACAATAAAAGTAATGGTAGTGGACTTTTTTGGAACAATTTGGAAATTGTTAATTTGAGTGGTTTGAAAAGTGCTCTGTACACAAATGTATTCGCTTTGGGTCTTCTTTTTTTTTTTTTGGTAAAAGTAGAACTTCAGTTTGTCAACTGGACAAAAGGTTATTTTAAATGATTGAATACATTTTGCAGCTCATCCAAGCTGCTTCTTCAGTACTGATCAGAATGCTGGTGGACACTTTCTTATATCTGCCTGAAGGAAGGAGCTAACTACAGTGAAACTACTCAGACTAACACACCTACAGTTTCTGTTTGTTAGTTTGACCTACTGAACTGCACTGAGTGTGGGGTCTTAGCAAAACCATTCAGGGCTGTTATGGTGCTTTTACATCTCTGGACCTGACCTGACTACCCCTATTGTTCTCTTGTTTGTTTTGATTTAGGTTTGAGGATGGAGTTGTAAAAAGGAGACAGACGGCGTCAGAGGCCCCCATTTCTGTTTAAAGAAGGATTCTCTTTCTTAACAAAAATAGCTTCTTTAACTCCCCTCTCAAACTAATTCTTTTCTCTGGCTAAGATCTGTACATCACTATCCTCAAAGGAGTGGCCTGTGTTAGTTTCAGAATAGTTTCATTGTAGTTAGCTCCTCCCTTCAGGCAGATATAAGGAAGTGTCCACCAGCATTTTGACCAGAAATGAAGAAGAAGCTTGGATGAGTTGCAAAATAAATTAAACCAAATAAACTTTTGTCCAGTTGACAAATTGAATTTCTCCTTTTGCCATGGATTCTACCTGAACGATTGAGGGATCTTTCACACGTCTTTTTTGTTTGTTTGTTTGTTTTATTTTTGAGGTATATATTTGTACTTCGTAGATAGTTGTAAATAGTTGTACCTGGTTGTAAGCTGGTGAAGGGAAGAGTGAACTGTCCGATGAAGTCATTTCTGGAGGCTTTGTCATAATCCTCCACCACAAACCGGACCAGGGCCAGCTCCGGGCAGTGCACCACCAAGTTCAGGGTCTCGTTCCACACGGGGTTAAAACCTGCACAAAGCACAAGCTTCAGCAGACGTCTACAGAACCATTATCAACTCTGACGCCATCTCTGAACATAAAACAACATAAAAATTAGTGTGAAATAAATCACTCCCCCTTCAGAGCACTGTCACAACTCAATCAGTGCGCATCCCACTGAACATCGAATCAGGTTTGTGAAGTTGTAGTCTATTGTTTTGCATCATGTTTTTGTATATTTATGGAGAACTGTCGCATGGGAGCATGGGTGACGTAGGCTTGTGGGTGGAGCCTTGTACAGAATCTTACAGCTAACTGAAAGGAGGGCTTAAATAGGACCAAGCAGAGATCACTAGATTACTCAGACATGCATGGATGACATCTAAAACCTCTTCAGACATGTTTTTGATTAGTGAACAATGTTATAACATGGTAAAAAAGCTCCATAACATAACCCATAAATACTGGCGCTGACCGTTGTTGTGGATGTAGCTGGTCTCCTCGCGGCTCTGGTCTTTGGGGACTCCGTAGATCTCCACTCGGACCAAAGGATCCACGATGGAGCCTTCCTTCTGGTTCACCTTCGGAAACTGCTGCCCACTGATCACCTGCAAACACACGAGCATTTCATGTCCCTGTATGTCTGGAATAGGGTTTAACAGATGTCTGATATAATTGTCCAAAACAGGCACTCAAAATTCCAAATCTTCCAAAGCTTAATTGCCGTATTTTTCAGACTAGAGGTTGCACTTTTTTCATGGTCACTTCACTCTACTGCACATGTCTCCTGCAGAAAGAGCCTCTGTCCTGTCTGTATCATGTCAGTTGATCGCACCATTACTTCTGTACCACTGAACAATTTAACATTTAAACAAATTTATAAAGACGACTGAGAAGACTGAACACAAATGCCCCCAAAAAGAAAATCTGATTTTGCAGATTACAAACTGCAATCATCAGTCATGAAATCTGCAGCTGAAAATGGTAATCGAGCAGCAGAAAGAAAGTTTGGAGTGAGTGAGAAACTTCTGACAACCAGGAGGATGCACCATGAAACTTTCCTGAAGTCACTGGATGGATGGACAAAGCCTGGACTTCAGTGACACCGAAACCATCCTGTCGAGATTCGGAAAGGCCGAAATAATTCTAACTGGAACTGATGCTGAGTCTGACGACAGCGACACAGAAGAGGAAGTGGCGCTCTGTTTACCTCCGGAGGTTGAGGCCGAGTTGCTCAGAAGTGACACCGAGGATGAAGAATTAAATGGATTTAGTGATTTGGAGTGAGATGGAGAGTTTGATAAACTTGTTCTGTTCTGTTGTTTATGTTATAGTTTATCTGAAGAACTGTTCATATGTGACGTTAACAATCTGTTGTTCTCTCTTCTGTTGTTATTACTAGAACTTGACTTTCAACAGGAAATGTCGGTTCCTGGTCTCTCATTTTATAAAATAAATTTCCCCTAAAAAGTGCGACTTATAGTCCAGTGCAACTTATACTCCAGAGCGATTTATAGCCCGGTGCAACGTATAAATTTTATTATTATCAGGATGAGGAGGATCAAGACTTATTGTTGCTCTAGGATTTAAAGAACACATATTGTGCTTGTCTCTGCTGGATAGCTGTATATCTAAAACTGCTTAATAAAAGACACAAGTTAGAAATCTGTGGTGTCCAGTGGGAGCTGGCATCGCTGTAAATGTCATCACAACAAAGCACCACATGCTGTGGATAGCTGTGCATCACACTGGAGAAGAGCTTTTTTTTTTTTTTTTTTTTTTTCATTTATTCCAAAATGACTATGAGACTCTGCAGATTCCTACATGTATCACAATTAAGAAAATAAAACTGTATAATAGGCATGGGACAATATAGAAATGTGGATACATAATTGCAATTAAGTAAGTGCTGACAGTTTTAAAAATGTTATAGATATGAATAATGATAATTGTTATGAATAAGTTCCATATTTAAACAACTGTTATACTGTTGTAGCGCACATCCTGATGATAAAATGGTGATTATCTTTGTTGCAGATTATCACAGTTCTATAAAATGTCCCACAAATGATGATTATCACATTATACCCTTCTTATCATGATATAGCATATTATTGTTTAGTATAACATAAGAAAGTACAGAGCTTACCGTACCGGGACGGTGAAAATGGGAATTAAACTGGCAATAAAGCGTCTTGAAAATAAGTGATTAAAAATAACTTAAACATGCACAAATCACTCCAGATACAACTTTGGGAGGGTAAACGGCGAGGGGAAATAACTACTACAACTGCTTTGTCAGATAATCGTCCAAAAATTCAGAATCTTCCAAAAGTTAATCAATGAAAAAGTTAGTAATTCTCACACAGGATGAGGATCCAGACGTGTTGTTGCTCTAGGAATCAAAAGTAAAAGCGTCAAATATACTCGACTTCTAATACAAGTAAATGCTACAGAGTCCAAAAAGTCACACTGTAATTGAGATTGTGGTGTGTGGGGGGCTTTTAAACCTACGGATATGGTCCATTAGCGATTCTGCGGCTTGGCTGTGGTTTGGACAAAGGTTCAGATTTTTTTAGGACAATGTCTATAAGTGTATCTTGTAATATTAAGGTTTATAAGTGTTTGTGAACCTTAATATTAATATTAAAGCCTAATTAATTCATTTTAAAGGGCCCATATTACGCTATTTCTGATCTATTTTTTTCTTCATTATAAACAAACCTGGAGTTGTGTTTTTGAGGAGGTACAATATTATAACATGGCGTAAAGCTCACAGGAGTCACGCTGTAGCACTCTTTAGGACCTTTAAATAAAAAATTGTAATGGTTCAGTACTGACCTGTATGGAGAGCCGGAGGGGCCTGTATCCCGGTCTGGATTCGGGGCGGTCTGGACTGAACTCTGAGTCCGATTTTCTCATAAACTCCGGCTTAAGCACAAAACCGCAGCTGCCGTTCTGACGAAAGAGGCCATCGTTTAGGTCCATCTCCAAACCAGCAGTCTGGAAGTTCAACGCCACTGAAGAGAGGAGGAGAATATATGAACCAGGATTAGCTTAAAGATTCATTTTCATCGGCAGTCAGGTTCCCAGACTGTACGAGACTCTCTTGGTCATGAATAGTAATATCTAACTGGTTGGGGCACTGACTTTCTGTTGTGAGCAGGCCCAGGTCCAAACCATAGATTGTATAAAGAAGTGGACTAAGGGAGTGTTCGGCTCCAGTCAAATGAAGCTCATTGAGGTTATAGTTACACAGTTATAGGGGCAAATTTGGTGCCGAGTTCCATATTTGGAATTCCGACCACAAGTATCATAGCAACCAAAGAGCCAATCCGGAGTGAGGCTGTTGAAGGTAACGTGACTTTCACCATTTGTTTAGCTGGGAGCAGGAGCTTAGCAACGCTCAAGAAGAAGGCACCTGATTTGATTTAGGGACAAAATAACAAATAAATAAAAACACCAGGATCATGTAGAGCGGATTAGTATGAACATTTTAAGTCCAAAATGACAAAAATGATAGTCCGCATGTCTTTAATTTGTGATGACAGAGAAGACTGAACCTTGCGTTAGATTTTGTTTCATATTCCTGATAGTAAAGATTGTGGCCATGGTTCCCACCAGAAAGAGGCCCGGGGAAGACCCAGGACACGCTAAAGGGACTCGGTTGGCCCTAGAAATTCCTTGGGGTCCCCCCAGAGGAGCTGGAGGAAGTGTCTGGGGAGAGGGAAGTTTGGGAGTTCCTGCTTAAGACTACTGCCCCCGTGACCCGGCCCCTGATAAGTGGAAGAAAATGGATGCATGATAGTAAAGATTTGTTTTTACCAATCTGGCAACCACAGCCCCACATGTCCTGGGGGTTGTAGTTGGAGGAGTCTGTGCGGAGTCCGCTGGGGTACACTCTGGTCAGCTGTTTCACATTGTACCGAACCATCTCTGGACCTGAACACGAACAGAAGTAATATAAGGGCAAAAGGGTTCATTTCTTTGGGAATTTCACTTAAAGGTGCACTGTGTATCTTTTCTAGTGGAGGGTCCATCAAATGCTTTTTTCCATGAGACATTATTGCTTTGTCTGGAGTGTTTCACAGTATAGCATCAAACCTTTCTATCTTTATGTCAAACCTTCTCTCACCAACTTTGGTGTCACTATTGACAGTGATTTTAAATTTGAAAAATAAGTGAACATAGCAAAGGAGAAATTCAGGTGGTCGACTGGACAATTCGACAAACTGAATTCCTCCTTAGCCATGGATTCTACCTGGAGGATTGAGGGATTTTTCACACATAAGTAAACATTGTCTTCAAATCTGGCTTTTATAATTTGCAGCTTTTGCACAGTGCAGAGTTTGCATGATAGTTGCTGTTAGCTTTACTGTGATGGCAATACTTGATTTTACGTCTATTTTAATCTATTTTACGTCTCATGCGATTAACATTTTTTATTTTTGCCCAGCCCTAGTTATATGTTTCCTCATCAAAAACATACCCAGAGTTGTGTTTTGTTTCATTCACACATTTTTAACACACAATATTATGTGTATTTAGGCTGAGTTCCACCTCATGACGTAAGGCTCCACTATTTTTAATCCCCATCTGCCTTCACTAGATCAGTTGGATAATTTCACCTCTGGCATTCCCAATTTCTACTGAACTAAAGGTAAAAAGTAGCTGTTACCCTGAAAACTACCGCTTCGTGACATCACAAGGAGGAACAGAGCATTTTGAGCTTTGGAGATGTAGACAGACTAATAATAAAGGATTACTCAAACATGTGTGAATGAAACAAAACACAACTCCAGGTCTGTTTTTCCAGGAGTTTTTTTTTTTTTTTTTCTAACATGGAGAAAAGCGTAATATATAGGACCTCACCTGATTCTTTGGCCAGTTTCTTGACCTTGGACTCGGAGAAGGAGGACATCTCGGTGCACTTGCCCTGGGCGCTGGCGTGTTCGAACCCGTGGAAGTGAACGCTGCGGCAGTACACCACCAGGTCGGACAGCTCACGGGACACTTTGGACTTCTGAACCGGAGAGGAAAACAATAACGTGGGATTAAAGGGGCGCTGTGGAACTTTTCTGAGTCCACCGAGTCTTTCTCCACCCTGCCTTCCTCTCTCACACCACCTGTTTATTTGTGTTCTCTACTGCCGCTTCTCTTCCTCCCGTTGTCTTCCCTCTGCCCCTCCCCCGTCTCTCTTTCTCTCCCTCCATTTCTGTTTTTCGCCCTCTTTTTTTCTCACTCTCTCCTCTGTCTTCCCTCTCTCCATTGCCCTGCCTCTCTCTCTCTCTCCTCAGCATTCCCCTCCCACCCTCTCTCTCGCTCTCTTCCACCTTCCATATCTCCGTCTCTATTCTCCTCTGCCCTCCCTCCCTCTTCCTCCATCTCTCTCTCTCTCTCCTCTGCCTTCCCTCTCTGCATTGCCCTCCCTCTCTCTCTTCGCTTTACTCCCTCCCTCCCTCTCCCCCATCTTTTTCTCTCTTTCTCCATTGCCCTCTCTCTCTCTTTCTCTCTCTCTCCTCTGCCTTCCCTCTCTCCATTGCCCTCCCTCTCTCTCTTCGCTTTCCTCCCTCCCTCTCCCTCAGTCTCTCTTTTTCTATCTCTTTCTCCATTGCCCTCCCTCTCTCTTTCTCCTCAGCCCTCCCCCTCTCTCCCTCCCTCTCTCTCTCTCCTCTGCTCTCTCTCTTTCTCACTTCTCCTGCCTTCCATCTCTCCATCGCCCTCCCTCTCTCTTTCTCTTCATCCCTCCCCCTCTCTCCCTTCCTCTCTCTCGCTATAGTCTGCCCTCCTCTCTCTCTCTCCTTTGCCTCCTCCTCTCTGCCCTCCCTTTCTCCTTCTCTCTCTTTCTCTTCAGCGTTCCCTCCCCCCTCTCCCTCCCTCTCTCTCTCCTTTGCCCTCCCTTCCTCACCCTCCATCTCTCTCACCCTCTCCTCTCTCTCCTCCGCCCTCCCTCTCTCTCCTTTGGCCTCTCCCTCTCTTTCATCCTCTCTCTCTCCTCTGCCCCTGTCTCCCTCTCCTTACCTGTTTATTCATATTCTCTTCTTTCGTCAGGTCTTCCACAGACTCTCTCTCCAGCTCTCCGTTCTCCTCTTCGTCGCTCACTTCATCCGTCAGGGCTTCGTCTGATCTCTGCTCCAAACCTCCCAACTTCTTCGCCTTCAGCAGAATCTTACCTTTCAGATCCTGCAACAACAACAACAACAACAAAACAATTACACACAAAACAGGCCGTGTTCACATTCCATCACAACACTGTAGAATCCCCATACTGTAATTCAAACTCCACTGTGTTTTTAAACTCCATACACCAACTCAAACATGTGTGAATGAAACTAAACACAACTGCAGGTCTGTTTTTGAGTAGGAAATAAAATTATAACATGACAAAAGGCCGCTACACACTGTAAGATTTTTCGGTCTTAAACTATTTTTAAATGTGCGACAAAACGAGCACACCACAGACACAAGGACGATCTTATGAAAGTTTAAATCTCCGCATAGTATAAAGTTGTGAGCGCAATCGTGTCTGCTATTTCCTGTCTACAGTAAAACCACTGGCATTGAGACTGAAAAGATGAAAGCACTGCACTTCCAGTTTAGATACAAGTCAAAACTGTGTTATTGTTATTTTGTGAAATGTGGTGTTGGGGATAAAGTCCACAGGAAGTAGAGTCACTATCGCTAATCTGCAGCTTCACCCCAATCTGTGTGCTGTGTGGATGTAAACAGACAAACGTGAGGAAATACTCTTGCCTTTTTACTTTAAAAAAACACTTCAAACAGGATTAACAGCGCGGTTTTGTGCCCTAGATGTTATTATATGTGGAGGCCAAATTTTATAGATAATGTGGATGAGATGCTGCAGTTTAAATTTGCAACTTTACGAGAGGTGAGTAATAGTTATTTTCTGTTATTAGGTTCTTTTTTCAGACCAAGAGTTTGTTTTCATACTTGACACCTGTGGTCTTCCTCAGAGTGGTCAAGTGACATTGCTGTGATGTGTCCGATTAGCTGATTTAAACAGGTTTTAGTGCTGTCTTCCTACTGGTGGAGGCAGGATGACAGCGCCATCTGCAGTCTGATTTCCTCAGGACAGTATACCAGGTTGCCCAGGTTTACTCTCACACACCTGGGATACTGTCCTGAGGAAGTGGGACTGCAGATGGCGCTGTCATCCTGCCTCCACCGGTAAAAAGACAGCACCAAAATCTCTTTAAATCAGCTGAGTGGACATGTCAAAGCAACATCACATGACTACTCTGAGGAAGAGCGCTAGTGAGCAGTTGAAACTGTCAAGTATGTAAACTCTTGGTCTGAAAAAAGAACCTAATAACATAAATTATTGGAAGACCAAATGAACCTCATTGGACTAAAAGTTATTTTCGCTATTTCCAGTTTATCTGTTGTTGTGTGTCTGTCATTCCGTCTGCCTCTGACGCTCTGTTTTTTTGTTGTTGTTGTTGTTGTTTTTTTTGTCTGTTACCGTAGCGTTGTTGATGTCTGGTGGTTACGATCTGAGAGAGCAGCTCAGAGGCACACACACACACACACACAAACACATGAGGAGCACAGCTGCTTCAAAATCTTTACAAAGTCGGGTCACGCCTCCCTGAATTCAGGGAGGAGCAAATCAGAGTCTGAATCGGACAAATTCTCCTGTAGTGTGTGGCGGCCTTTAAGTACACAAGTCAATTTTGTGTAATATATGACCTTTAACTGTCAGACTTCAGATTTGTTGACCTGGTTTATGGTTCATATCTCTTTAATTACTGGGCCTATCCACATTAAAAACAAAAATTGGCACAAGTTTTCTTTCTTTTCTTCTCTGCCAGAATAAATGTGGCAAATTTAATGACACAATATCTAACAAATAACAACATTTGTAATTAATTTGTAGATCAGAAGTTTGGAGATTTCTTTCAAAAACTGTGAATCTCGCTTAGAGACCACATTGCTTTGTTTGTGGCTCTGTGTTTTGACATTTTTGTGGACCAGTTTCTGCCTTAAAGTGTTTGCAAGTTTAAAATAGACGGCATGGGATTTCCTGTTGTCTGAAAATCCTCTGTGGTTTTTCAGAAACACCAGCCACGTAAGGGTAGTTACTCCTAGTTGTTACTAAGTTTTACTGTCACCATAAACTCCTCTCTGGTATCTAAAAGTTGTGAACAGCACTTATAAACTCATCATGGTGAATAATAAGGATGCTCTGAATGAAATACAAATGCGACAACACAACAAAAAGCCACAACAAATGAAAAAAAGATACAACGCATCAAAAAAAGCCACAACACACCAAAAAAAGCCAAAACGGAAATGACCGCGGGACTCTATTTTAATGCAAACGCCGCAACAAATACAAACACCACAACACAAACGCTGCAACACATTAAAAAGCCACAACACATTAAAAAGCCACAACACATCAAAAAGCCACAACATATCAAAAAGCCACAACGGAAGAGACCGCGGGACTCTATTTTCCAACGGACCGATCAAGCGGCAAGTAAAGAAGAAGAACAACAACGTGAAACCAATAATGATAAAAAAAATAACTGACTTTTACTTACATTTCCAACTTCTCCGTTCCTTTACTTTTCACGTTGTAATTCTTCTTCTTCACTTGCCGCTTGATCGGGCCGTCGGAAAATAGAGTCCCGCGGTCACTTCCGTTGTGGCTTTTTAATGTGTTGTGGCTTTTTAATGTGTTGTGGCTTTTTAATGTGTTGCCGCATTTGCGTTTGTGTTGTGGCGTTTGTATTCATTGTGGCGTTTGCATTAAAACAGAGTCCCGCAGTCATTTCCGTTGTGGCTTTTTTTGGTGTGTTGTGGCTTTTTTTGGTTTATTGTGGCTTTTTGTTGTGTTATGGCTTTTTAATGTGTTGCAGCATTTGCATTTGTGTTGTGACGTTTGCATTAAAACAGAGTCCCGCGGTCATTTCCTTTGTAGCTTTTTTTGGCGTGTTGTGGTTTTTTGTTGTGTTGTCGCATTTGTATTTGTTGCAGCGTTTGTTGTGACCCCTCTCGGCTTCCGTAATAAGGTAAGTGAAGAAGAACTTTGGTCCACTGCAAACTGTTTATAATGAATTCGTTCTGGTTTTCACATTTTTAACACAGTGAAAATCAGGTACAGTGTCTTTAAACTGTAAAAATACTAAAAGTGTTCAAATAGACATTCAAAACAGCTAAATAATGCATTATATAAGACCTTTAAGCCACTCTGATATTGATCAATAAAAGCATAAAGCAGGAAGTACACATGTATTTAAACTTGGATCAGCTTTGAGTGTAATGGACCTCAATGATCTCTGAAAGCTTGTGTTTTATCTGGTCTTTAGTCTGTATCTGTGTGTGTGTTGGAGGAGTGCAGTAAATTTTTCCATAAGAGAGCACTTAAGACAATCAATGCTAATGTGGCTAATAGCATAGACGCTACAGTCAGGTCTGTCAAACTGCAGGGGATGTATTCACTTTGAGAGAAAAGAGAACTGTGTCTGGACTGTGATAAAGAAGAATAGGTAGGTTTGCGCAGCTGATCGAAGTGAATCATGATTTATTTATTTAAAAATGTCTATGATCAACTTGGGTCTTTTAATGGAGAGGTCTGTAGCTTGGCGAGTCCGGACTACACTACCACTCCCTCCGTCGCGAGCTACAACCAAACATGGCTGTAGTAAGGATGCACCAATCAAGCTTTTTCAATACCGATTCCGATAAGTATCTTTAAGTTATATGAGCGTTATTGCCGGTGCACGATTTTGAACAATACCAGTGTAGGGACTGAAATGTGCAATAAGACAGGACTGATGTGTCTGCCATGTAGTTAGCAGACTATATTTTTCTTAGTGAACACGTCCGCAAATGCATCTGCCTGTGCGTCTGTGCGTGGCTCCTGGCATCACTGATAAGTGAGCAGAAATACATGCATCACAAATTTTGGACTTCCGGTCATTGCGCAATGCATACTGGGAAGGGTCCTCCGAAAAAGTGAGCATCAAACAGCCATGTTTGTTTTCCCAGTGGGATGTGTCTATTGACAAAGCCGACCTTTTCAAGTCTTTTGAACCATATCGCTTTTGTTTCTGTTTCTGATATTGTCATATTTTAGTTATGGGATTCGGACATCGTAATTGCGTGGTTGTTGGATGTCCTAACAGCAGAAAAAGGCTCGAGAAATGGGCTTCGGAAGTTTGCGAACTCCATAAATGCAAAAGGGAATCAGATGTGTGTGACTGCAAACCTCCATTCAAACTGTTTCCCTTTCCAATGGAATTGAAAAATAGTGAAAGGCAAAGGCGAAGCGCAGTACTGATCCACAGGAAGGACCAAAAAAGAAACCTTTGACTGCCTAAGAAATCATCCCGAGTTTGCAGTGAACATTTTGTATGTGGAGCGCCATCAAAGCAAAACCCCGATCCCTCACTCTATGCTCTGTTCCAACTTGTGATGTCATTTAGTGGTAGTTTTCAAGTTTTCAACCATTAGTTTAGTAAAGATTGGCAATTACAAGTTTAAAATCATCCAAATAGCTCTTTAACTTACATCACAATATTTCAAGCAAAAACAGGTATCCAAAATACAACCCTAGGACAAGTCACACCTTAGGGTAGGACGATTGACTTAACTAATAACAGATACTCTACTGTAAATAACTAGGGTGTGTTTGTTTCAGTGTAGTTAGCTCCACTTTTCAGACAGATATAAGGCAGTGTCCCACCAGTGTCCAGCCAGATACATTTTCAATCAACTTTTTGTAACAATTCTGTAAAATTGTAAATATTTTGAAGACCAAATAGTATTTTATGTCCTCTGACCTGTGGAGATGGCAACAGCTCTGGTTCTTCCGCAGTGATCAGGGAGCTCTGCAGACTCTCCCCCAGGATGGACTTCAGGTGCCGGGCCATGACGTTCTGCTGCTCCACCCCACAGTGGTTCTCCAGAGACAGGATCACTGGGAACTCAGACGCCTGTCCAAGAAAAAAGGACAATGTACAGGTTTAGGCATTCAGTTATTCAATCCAATGTATTTCTGTAGGGCCCAAAATCACACCAGAAGGCACCTGGCAGGGCTTCAAAAAACTGTTGATTGAGTAACAAACAAGCAGATGAATCATCATTCACAGAAAACAAGCAAATGGAGAACTGTCCAGAGCAACCCCTGGCCTTAAGTCTCTCTAATGCCAAAGATATCTCCTCAGAATACTTGTTTTATCTCAAATACATTACAGTTTAGGTTTTTGCTTGTTGATTCCACAGAAATCTGCACTATTAATCACTGCTGTTTTTGTTTCTCATAAGCTGCTGTTTGCATGTGTTTCTCTGATTAGTTTATCCACCTGTCAATCACCTGTGCAGAAAGACCTACATGTCTTTGTAAAGTATTGTCAAAGTGTGTACTCTTGACCAGTCATGGAAAAGTAATAACTGATTTATTATTGATTACACAAATATTAGACATGATATCTGATTTCTTTATGTTGAGACAATTATCCAGTCAGAAAGCAGAATGATTCTCACATGATTCTCTCATTTGGGTTTCCACTCTCAATGCTGAAATCCAGTTAGTTTAAACCTAAAATGCCTCTCTCTGATCAAGAATGATCACCACCTAAACTCCAGCACCTGCAACAGTCCTGGATCAATGCTAGTGCAGCCTCTGCAGCTCAGAGAGGGAATCCTGGAGATTCTGAGTTTTCACATGAGGCCCTAGTGTGTACTGTGTTTGTGAAATTGTCCTTGATGTTATTAACTTACTAACGCCAACCACTCTGCCACTACTATCAGAACAATGAGTTTCCATTCACTCTCATGTTCCACAGCCCCTCTCCATATCTCACTGCTCGCATGGGAAACAGATAAAGGCAGCACTGGTGTCTGGACTTCTGCAGACCAAAAGACCCACTTTTACTCATGAGCTGTTTTGTAACAGACACACTGTTGGTTTTAGGACTTTGGAGCGGATGTCATCAACATTCTCTGGGGAGAGTTTAATCTGAGCTTTATGTGAACACAATCTGACCAGAAAGAAGTCAGTAGTTGAGCTGAGTCAGTCAGTCACTCTCATCTTTTTTTTGTTCAAACATCTAAACTAGTAGCCTGATTCATCAGCCGGTTTCACTTTGTGGAAATCGTCTGACCTCACAGCATTAGGATTTGTTCGCTCAACTGTAGGCGGGTAATTTTTTCATTTAACCAATCACTACTATTATTACTACCTATAACGTAGGTGCTGCTAACGGGGCTAACTGGTATATTAAGCTTTTCCCAAATCCCATAGGAAGAAGGACAATAACGTCTTTCCCCCTGATCAAATTCACCAAACATTCTCTTTGTTCAGGCTTTAAATCCTCAATCTCAGGAATCCTTGCCATCACAGAATATACGGCTCTTCGCTGATTGGCTGGTGCCCGAACTCGTACTTCCGGGGTTTTTGTGAACCTTCTAGTGTATTCTGATTCCTGACCTAGTCACTGGAGAGAAATGAAATTGAGTGGATGCACTAGGTGGTGCCAGCCTGACTATTAAACTAGACTATGAACTCTTGTATTAATCACATGGTAACTTCTGAATATTCCTCCATAGATACACATGCAGAACACCCCGAGCGTTATGTCACTGCAAAGCATCAATACAACTCAAGATGGAACATAAAAGAAATGCCGTTGCTATGGAAATCTGCCATGTTTTTGGCAGTGTAAAACATCCATAGACATGCATTACTCAAAACTATATTAAAAGGTAAACAAAAGAGCCGTACTGTAGTTCATTCTTCTTGACTCCATGGAGATGTTATTGTTTTGCCTGGAATGTTCCACAGTATGGTATTAAACGCACTTGAAGACAAGCAGTTGACCCCACCAGGTCAAGTTACCGGCCAGATCTGCAGAGAGGCAACTTCACTCACAGGAGGAATTTAGTGTTTATGAAGGTAGAAATAAAAAAACCCTGTAATTGAATACATGAATGACAATGACATGCTGTGCAACATTTCAGGCAAAGTAAGAGCATCACCATGGACACAAGCAGGTGTCGAATCCTCCAATACAAGAAAAGTTCCACAGAATAAAAAATGAGATAAACTGAACATACTGGTCTTGTTTGTAGGTCCCACCTTGAAAGCGTACTCCTTGAGGGTAGAAATGACGTCTCTGAACAGGATTTTGGAGGTGAGGGTGTGTCCATGGTAAACTATAGGCTCTCCATCAGGCCCATCCCAACAGTCCAGCTCCACACAGCGGCAGCCACGCTTCAGAGCTCTACAACACAAAGACATACAGATGAGGAAACAGGCTGTGTTCATGTTCTAGAATTTTAGGTTGAATAATGGCCCCACTTGACACTGAACTTTGTGTCAGTTTTTGGTTTTGTTTCATGTGGACAGGCCCAGTAATTACAAGGATATGAACTAAAAAACAGGTCAACAAATCTGTAGTCTGACAGTTACACAGCAAACTCCACCACAGAGTTTTGAGCAGCTGCCAGTGTTGTGCATGAACAAGTTCAAAAGAACGTGTTCATTGAACACGTTCATTTTTCTCTGAACTTTGAACTGAACTCAACACTTCTGTAAATCAAGAACTTGAACGCGAATTTGTTCAAATTATGTGAGATGAATGATGTACGTCACTGTTGGGGTTCAATTAAACGTCAGAATTTGTTTTCACCTGACGAGTGACGAGGTCTGCTCGCTCTTAACCTTTTTTAAATATAGATAATATTGACTGAATCCAATTAACCTATATACAATTGAACGAGTTAGTGTAAATGAAGGTAAAGTTTTGCATGCTGCACCTCCACCCCCTCTTGTGTGTTGTGTCTGTTGTCTTACAATAACACACAATAACTTATTTGTATGTACCTGTTAAATATGGTTTATCTGTTTTTGTTCATTTGTAGGGATTTGTAACAATATCCAAATCTCTCAATACGATATTATCACAATATGCATCTCACGGTACGATATTTATTGCGATATTTAGGAGAGGTTAATATAACTGTAGATGGGACTCTTTTTTGCTTTTAAAATAACTTGACAAGATTTTGGTGTAAATTATTTCTGTCATAATCCCAAGAATTCACGTGAAAAACATATTTCTTCATGTTGTTTGCAGTGAAATGAATCATGGGATATGTAGTTCCCGATGTATATAAGCTGTTGCTACTATAAAACCATGCATTTAAGCAAAGGAACAGCCCACCATATTATTGTGAGACTTTTGCCGATACGATATCATGATATTTTGGTTACTGTTACATCCCTATTCATTTGTGATAAAAAAAAAAAAAAAAATAATATATATATATATATATATATATATATATATATATATATATATACAAAGGAAGAATTTTTTGCTATCATAAACCAGGAAGGAATGCTGGAGAACTGTTTGCACGCTAGTTAAAATTTTCATTACTGTGACTGCAAAACGTGCAGTTTCAAGTAGTACATGACATCACACAGGACTGCCTTGACTAAAGCCAGGTGTTTCTGATACAAACACCTGATGCAGGGGAGAAGTCTGAAGTGTGGATACCTGTTAGAACAATCATAATGTTCCTTATACCTCCAGACCCCTCCCCTCCTCCTTCCCTCTCACTTTCCCCTTTAGTCCTCCAATCCCATCCGTCCTCTCACCTCGCTCTGTCCTTTAGTCCTCCAGACCTCGCCTCCTCCCACCTCGCTCTCCTCTTTAATCCTCCAGACACCTCCTCACTCACCCCTTTAGTCCTCCAGACCCCACCCCTCCTCCCCACTCACTCTCCCCCTTAGTCTTCCAAATCCTGTCGCTCCATCCCTCTTGCTCTCCCCTTTAGTCCACCCTACCCCTCCCCTCCTCCTCACTCTCCCCTTTAGTCCTCCCTACCCCTCCCTCCTCCTCACTCTCCCCTTTAGTCCTCCAGACCCCGCCCCTCCTCCCCACTCAAGTCCTCCAAACCCCGCCCCTCCATCCCTCTAGCTCTCCCCTTTAGTCCTCCAGACCCCGCCACTCCTCCTCCCCCCTCACTCTCCCCTTTAGTCCTCGAGGTACCGAACAGTTCAGCAGCTCTGTTTGAAATCTGGTTGTAGACTGAGTTTAGGTGGTTAGTTCCACTTTAAGATTTCACGTCTTGTTTTATTTAGAATTTTAATTAAAATTTTGTATTTTGACCATGTTGAGTGAAAGAGTATACCCTTACTGTATGTACGCCTCGGTGCTGCTGTGGCCCCTGAGCTGGTCCTCCATCAGGTACGTGTTGTGGGAGGATGAGATGAAGTAGTAGCTCAGAGGGAGGCTCATGTCTTGGTGCAGCTCCACGTGATCCGGGTTAAATATAGATCCATGAGGAGAGCACAGGTAGAGCTGGAACCCGTCCAGAGACATGCACATCTGCTCACGCGCTGCACACAGGGGACGGGGAATATATGCACATCTTATTATAATAGAATCAGGAAAATTTAATCAAATATAAATAATAATAACAAAATAAATAAATACATAAAATAAAATTGTAATACCCTGTGTAATACCACTTAACGACATTGTTTGTTTGTGTGTTAAAAATGTGTGAAAGAAGCAAAACACAACTCCGGGTCTGTTTGTGATGAGCAAACATCATTATAACATAAGAAAATATATAGGCCCCTTAACCTTTTCAAAATAATACTTGCTGTGCAAAAATATTGAAATATCGATATATATCGTTTTATGTGATGATACAGTAACGATATCATGGGCTGCTGTATCAATATATCGCCAAGAGTATCTTTTGGTATAACTTACAAAATTATTTCATTATAGCTACAGTTTTGTTGCTTTTTTGTATTCACCGTGTGTGTCTGTGTGTGTGTGTCTGTCCACATAATTGTAACATAATTCTGCCATTTAAGGACCGATTGTCACCAGATTTGGTATGTGGGTCAAGCCCCCGTGCACGATGCCGCAAAAAAAAAGTTTAGTGATGATCCAAGGTAATTTGAGGTCACACGGGCCAGTAGAAAGGTCACGTCATTATAAAGGAAATAGGCAATTTCAGCAATTTCTGAACCATCTGCGGGCTAAAATATTCACCCAAACATCACACAAGTTGGCACACACATAACCGGGATACACTGGATGTTACAGGTTGAAACCGGTCAAGGTAACCAAGGCCTTTTTTGGCCTTATGCGTTTTGGTCATAACTCCACAAAGGATTGGGCTAGAGCAACGGGAGTGGTCTCAAAATCTCAGAAAAAATTGTATCTGTTTATAATTCTATGCATTTGTATAGTCAAATATTAATGTTTTTGAGATAATCACTAATTATAACAGTTCCTTTCTCTTTCAGTGTAGCCGTTAAAATTCTAATTGGAACGAAAATAATTTCCATTTCTTGTTTTTCTGGTGATACACAACACACTGATCTACAGTCACACAACTAACATAAACACAACTCATGAAAAATGACATTTTGGTTACACACTAGTAAACACAGACATTCTCATGTGTGACCAATATCACACAAATGTTCATGGGTCTGTACAGATACACACATTGCATTGTGGATATAATGATCATGTAATATGGGCTGGGCTCCTCATAAACTGCTCCTGTGGTGATGAACTGACCCACCGATGCCTCATGGGAGACCAGGTTGCTATTTCTGAAACTTGTTTATGTGGCACACATGGCATATTCAACATTTTGGTGATTAAAATGGGTGTCATTCATATTCACTTTGCACAAGAAGTGGTTTAACAAAGACTTTTAGTATCACAGCCATCATTTAGCCTTTATTTTTTATTGAACAGTATTGAATCGATTTGAAATATATCACATCGAATTGAAAGTGCACTGTATTGAGGTATATAGTTGATCGTGGCCTATGTATCGAGGTATGTATTGTATCGGCAACTTCTTAATGATACCGAGCCCTAATGGTAACCCTCCCCTCCTGTCCCACCTGTCTCCGAGGGCTCGTACAGCAGAATCATGTCTTTGGCTCGCTCCTCTGCCTCCTGCTGCTCCACCCGGAGGAAGCTCTGCAGTTCATCCAGCAGGAGGCGCTCTCCGTCAGCAGAGAAATCCTGAAAGACCTTCCAGACCTCGTCCCTCTGAGTCAGGAGCTTATAGAAGAGCACAAACTCCTCCATGTCCAGATAACCACGCTCCAGCTTATCCGACATCTGAGGAGAGCCAGGATATACAGAGTCAGACGTTGATACTTTGCGGCTGGTGTCATCAACATTCTCTGGGGCTGTGATGCTAACTGTAGACACTGCTCTGTCTTAAGATATGTTACTCAAGTTAGACTTTAATCTGACTTTATTTTAACACAACAGTTTTTCAGATATTCCTTGCTCTTATTATAGATCCATGAGTCAACCTGAAAATCAAATTCTAAACAGGACCATGAATGCTCTAATGATTGTTTATGTGTGCATTGTGTCACATTTCACCATAGAGATACATGTCAAACACCCCCAGTGTGTTGTCACTGCAAAGTATCAATAGTCAAATAATGGAAGGAGTCTTAGCAAATCACAATCAAAAACTTTTAGCAATTAACACTGTGTAGTGATATCACATGAGGGGTCTGCATGTATGTCTTTGTCAGAATGTTCAGCAGTTACCATGGTGACACAATGCACTCATTAGCAAACACAGCCTGATAAGTTTTAGAACTAGGGATGTAACAATAGCCATAATATTGTGATATCATATCGTCAAAAGTCTCACAATAATATCGTGGATTGTCACAGTATATCGAATCACAAGTTTCTTTGCTTAAATGCAGCTTATAAACATAGGGAACTACATATCCCATGATTCATTTCAGTGCAGACAACATGAAGAGATGTTTTTACTTGAATTCTTGGGATTATGACGAAAATAATTCACACCAAAATCTTGTCAAGGCATTTTAAAAGCAAAAAAGAGTCCCATCTATAATTATATCAGCCTCTTCAAAATATCGCAATAAATATCGTACTGTGAGATGTATATCGTAATAATATTGTACTGTGAGATTTGGATATTGTTACATCCCTATTTAAAACTTTAAAAAAATACAAAAAATACACATTTGGGAGCATGGGATCAATACGTACAAAGTAATAATAATATTTGGGACTTGCACAAAATTAGCTCACCTCTTCAGAAGTTTAGTTCTTTCTGGTCAGATTGTGTTAAATAAAGCTCAGATCAAACTTTAATTTGAGTAACAGAGCTTTAAATAGAGAAGTGCCTCCAGTTAGTATCACACCTTCAGACAATGTTGATGAAAAGTAAGTGAAATTAATTAATACATTTTTTTTGTTTGTTTGTTTGTTTCATGTGGATAGGTCCAGTAATGTCAGAGATACAAACCAAAAACCGGGTCAACAAATTTACAATCTGACAGTTACGCTGCAAAATCCACCTGACAGTTTAAACTATGTTGGCTGTTGACCTAATGTGGTTGCAGTGTATTGCCAAAGGACACAATGGCAGCATCAAACCACCAACCTTCGCGTTAAGGTCTAAACTCACGGTGAAGAGGTGCAGCGCGTGCTCCTCGTTCATTTCCACGTTCATCATTTTGAGCAGAGTCTTCGCTTCTTTAAACGTCATCTGTCCGTCTCTGTTTTTGTCGGCTTTAGTGAACCAGTCACGCACCCATCTGACAGAGCGGCTCAGGAAAATGTGACTCGTGAAATAGTCCTGGTTTGGTCCTGGTTTAGTCCTGGAGTAGTCCTAGTTACCTCATAGTTTAGTGCTGGTTCTGTTCTAGTTTAGTCCTGCTTTAGTCCTGGTTTGACCTTGGTATATTTCTGATTAAGTCCTAGTTTAGTCCTGGTTTAGTCTTTACTTGGTCCTGGTTAGGCCTGATTTAGTCTTTGGTTTACTCCCAGTTTGGTCTTTGGCATAATCCTGGTTTAGTCCTAGTTTAGTCCTGGATTAGTCCTGATTTTGCCCTGTTTTAGTCCTGGTTCAGTGCTAGATTAGTCCTGGTTTAGTCTTCTTTCTCTCTGTTGCAGGATACTGGTCGAGTCGCTCCTTCTCGTCCATGGTCTGGGACTTGTGGATGAGTTTCCGGACTCCTTGGATCCAGGACTTGGCCTCGTCGGGGGTCTCGGCCACGAGGTCCAGAGTACCCTGCCTCCCGTGGAACACCAGAGTGAAGCACTGCTCTGAGGGGAACTCTGCAGAGAGACTGAGGAGCAGCTCCGACTGGTGCCCATCACGAACCGCCTCCAGGTCTGAAATTGAGACTGCACAGGACAGAGGTAAGAAACAGGGCTGAACCACTGCTAAACCAGGACTTATGCAAAATTAAAAACAGATCCGCACTGCAGTTCTTTGGAGCTCCCAATTTTTTATTTTAATGACACTAGAATGTGCAAAGCCCTTCTCCAGATTTCTTCTTGTCTGAAGGGCTTGACCCTGAAATGTCAAATTGTGGTGTCATTAAAATAAAAATGTGGGAGCTCCAAATAACTGTGGATCTGTTTTTTCTTTTACATATTTTTTTGTCGTTGGACTCTGCGCAGTTGCAACTTTTATTGGATGTGCATGTCTCTACCTACCAGTATTCTAAACCAGGACTTAACCAGGGCTAAACCAGGACTAAACCAGGACTAAACCAGGACCAAAGGAGGTCTGGAACTAGAACTTAACCAGGACTAAACCAAGTCTAAATCAGGACTGAATCAGACATAAACAAGGACTAAACCAAGATTAAATTAGGACTAAACCAAGACAATACCAAGGGTACACCAGAACTAAAGCAGGTGCACCGCCCTATGGTGGAGTCATAGAACCACAATTACATTCACAGCATTTGTCCAGGACTCACATGTGGAGTGCCCTCGACCCGCCCACCTGGACTTGTACCAGATGGTCTGCCCGTCCTCCAGGAGGCGGAAGTGTCTGTGCCTCTTCCATGAGCGCGACTTCACCTTCCGCAGAGTCGACCCGGCCATCATCAGTTTAATATCAGGGTCATCATGGAGACCTGGGAATGACGAGGAGAGTGATAAGGATGGACTATATTTAAACAACAATGCAACAGGATAAAACAGGACTAAACCAGGTCTTAACCTGTGGAAAATCAAAGGTACACTGTGTAACTTTTCTTTTGGAAAGTACACTTAGTTCTGTTTCGTCCTGTTTTAGTGCTTGTTCAGTCCTGTTTTAGTCCTGTTGGTCCTGGTTTAGTTCTGTTTTAGTTCTGATTGTTTTGGTTTTGTCCTAGTTTAATCCTGGTTTAGTCCTGTTTTAGTTCTGATTGTTTTGGTTTTGTCCTAGTTAAGTCCTGGTTTAGTCCTGTTTTAGTTCTGTTTGTTTTGGTTTTGTCCTAGTTTAGTCCTGGTTTAGTCCTGTTTTAGTTCTGTTAGTCCTAGTTTAGTCCTAGTTTAATCCTGGTTTAGTCCTGTTCCAGTTCTGTTTGTCCTGGTTTAGTCCTACTTTTGTTCTGTTTTAGTTCTGTTTGTCTTAGTTTTGTCCTAGTTTAGTCCTGGTTTACTCCTGTTTTAGTTCTGTTTATCCTTGTTTAGTCTTAATTTAATCCTGGTTTAGTCTTAGTTTGGTCCTGGTTTAGTTCTGTTTGTCCTAGTTTAGTCCTAATTTAGTCCTGTTTTAGTCCTGTTTATCCTGTTTTAGTCCTTTTCTAGACCTGTGATGAAATGTATGCTTGATAAATTAGTTTTAATGCCATACTGTGAAACATTCTAGGCAAAACAGTGACGTGAGTGCTATCTATGATTCCTGGTTTGAGTGCAGTTTTGTTTTGCTTTTTGTGATTTTGTAAGTGATCTTAATAATGTCAATGAAGCTGCACTAATGTTGTTTTTATACTGGCCCACCCGTACTTACATTTTAGATGGAGCAAAACACAAGTTCAAGTTCATCTAAAATAAATTACATCAATTTTGTTGCCAGTTTACTCTCTCTTCTTCCTGTTTGTCTAAAGCCTCTTGAAAAGTGCAGGGTTTACTTTTAAAGAGGAGTGTGCATTAGTCGGAAAGATCGTATAAACACACTTACTTGTAATGGGAGGGTCCATGGTTCAGACCTCGAGTCCAGCTGTTCAGAAGAAACACACGTAAACAAATGCATTATTCATATGTTATTTTCTTTAACATTACCTTTTATTTTGATACGATGATAGATGATACATTTTGTGCCTTCGTTAACATTATTATCAGTTTGTATGACCATAAACAGCAAAAAAAATGTAATCTTTTAAAAAATGATGATAAGAACTAATAAAAAAAAAGCAATTGCATTTCTGTTAAAGGGGTTAGTGTATGGAACAATTTGAGTGATGATTTAAAAAAATAAAGTCTAACACTGTAGAAACCGTTAATTTTGGACATAGGAGCCATGGTGAGCCAGAGTGTTGGAGACATGTGGAGACACTGCCTCTAAAAACAGTCTTACCCACTCCACAAAACACCCGAAGCAAAACTATTATTACACCAGACTGTCCATGTAAATGTCTGTGCTGATAGAATAATGTTTGAAATAAAACTAACCTTGCATCACATTAATCCTCACATGTTGAGGGACTATATTCTCATATATCAGTCCGCCAAGTTTTCTATCAGAAGTACAAATCGCTGCTGCTGCACAGACATAAATCCTTCAAATGCAAGGTTGGTTTTACTTCTAAAATTATTCTATCAACACAGACATTTACATGGACAGTCTGGCGTAATAATAGATTTGTCTCGGGCACACTGTGGAGTGGGTTAGACTGTTTTTAGTGGCAGGCTAACAGTAGCCATTGACATGCGCTAGCCTAGCACCAACAACCTCTCCAAATACAAGGACTGGATGGATTATTTTAAAAAGTGTCTCCACACATCTACAGTACTCTGGGTCAAAAGGAAATGAGAGCCTATGTCCAAAATTCTGAACTGTCCCTTTAAAGGGGTTAGTGTATGGAAAAATTAGAGTGACGATTTAAAAAAAAGTCTAACACTGTAGAAGACTTTAAAGGGACAGTCAGGAATTTTGGACATAGGACCTCATTTCCCTGTGAGCCAGAGTGTTGGAGACGTGTGGAGACACTTTTTTAAATATTCCATCCAGTCCTTGTATTTGCAGAGTTCACTGGTGCTAGACTAGTGCATGTCAATGGCCATAATTATCCTGCCACTAAAAACAGTCTTACCCGCTCCACAAAACACCCGAAGCAAAACTATTATTACACCAGACTGTCCATGTAAATGTTTGTGTTGACAGAATAATGTTTGAAATAAAACTAACCTTGCATCGCATGAATCCTCGCATGTTGAGGGACTATATTCTCATATACCAGTCTGCCAAGTTTTCTATCAGGAAGTACAACTCACTACTGACCTAGATCCTACAAATGCAAGGTTGATTTTACTTCTAAAGTTATTCTATTGCAGACATGGAAGTACAGCCTTTGTTTCAATTTCATCACTGAAATTTGAGTTTGACTGGTCTTAAGATGCACTGGACTCCCTCCAATGTGGACCAGACGGATTTTCCAGAGAGATCAGTTGGCAAACATCTTGTAATTTTAACTTTTAAGTTTTACAGATTAGATTTATGGAGAGGTGAGCACAGTAAGAATAAATGATTTTCAAGGTGCTTTTAAGCTCTAGAAAGACCGTTAATAAAATAAATGCAAGATAAGTGACACTAAAGGCATTTTTTACATACAGGGTTCCCACTCTTTTTCACTGACAAAATTTCCACTTTTCCAACTTTTCCATGACTTTTTCATGACCTAAAGTGAATTTTCCTTGACTTTACAGCACTACATGTGTAGAATTGATCAGACTTTTAGGGCTAAATCTGAATTGTTAAGTCTTTCCACTCACCTTATGATTTGGTATTATAGTTTTTTAATATTCAAAATCCTGTCAGTGTATTTACTGTCGTCTCTTTTAACCAAAAGGCGCAGATGTTCTGAAATAATCATAATAGTCTAATGAGAACTTAACAAAACACTGTAGCTGCGTGAAAGAGATACTAAAATTCCATGACTTTTCCAAAACTTTAATTGAAATACAAAATTCCACAACTTTTCCAGGCCAGGAAAATGACATTTTCAATTTCAATGACTTTTCCAGGATTTCTATTATAGTATAGAAGGACTTATTGATATCCAATTGTTAGCCTGAAGTTTTCAATCCAAAAACATTAGGTGAAATTTGAATTTTTAGGACAATTTTTATTAAGATCTTGTTAAAATAAATAAATAAATAAATTTTTAAAAAGGATGAAATCTAAACCTGGCTCTATCAATTTTTCTGATTTTCTGTCCAAAATATGTTCAATTCTGACAGTCTCATAAAAAACATTACATAATGAAAAACCTGTTATCTATTTTGTTTTTACATTTGTGAAGCTTCAAAATGATATCTCTCAATGCAATGTTGTTTTTCCGATTCTCCTGCAGTGTCTCCCTTTAAATCTTTAAATTATTGTTTCTGTGTTTGCTGATTGTGTGTACTCCTGGTTTCACACAGTGCGTTTTCAGCGGTCTATCGACACATAGTCCTGGCTCTGGAATCTGGACAGGCTCAGAAATCCAATCTCTTAATGTCTGCTCCTCCCACAATGCACCAGCACCATATAGAGCTGCTGACTATTGAAATCCCCATCAATCACCACTAATCGAATGGAGTGCAGGGGCCTATAGAACTCCATGGGTTTAACTCGTTATATTCATCTCAGGGTCGAAAGGTGCACGATGCAACTTTTTGATTGGACGTCCCTCACCGGCTTGTTTCTATGGAGATGTCATTGCCACAGTATGACATTAAACAGCTCTACTTAATATTTATTCAATTACAGGTGGTTTTATAGCTCAAAATACCTAGAAAAACAGACATTCTGACTGTGAGTGGGGTTGCCTCTCCACAGATGTGACCTATAACTTGGTCTGGTTTGGTCTCCATGAAGACAGAAAAGTTGAATGTACTGTGAATACTGTGAAACATTTCAGACAATGAATAAACAAATCCATGAAGAAAAGCGTTTGACAAATCCTCTGCCAGAAAAGTTACACAATTCACCGTTAAAGTCATTTAACTGAAAACATTCACGTCTTTGGGGTTAAATAATGATGCCACTTTCTGAAGCTATTGTGAAAAAATAAATTCACTTTTGTTTATTTTTATTAACAGAGAAGACAATGAACTTTATGACAGTTTTATTTAGTTTTAGGCATAGAAACCAGGTCAACAAATCTGCAATCTGACAGTTATACTTAGACACAGCAAATTCCTCCACTGAATTCAGACTAGACCCCAGTTCAGTTTAAACTACTGATACTTTGCACTTGCTTTCCTCAACATTCTCTGGCGGTGTGATTCTAACTGTAGGCACTGCTCTGTCTGAAGCTCTGCAAGAGCTTTATTTTATTTGATTTATTTTTCACTCTGTCACCTTCACCTTTTTGTTGAAAATCAAACTCCTAAACGGGACCATAAACACTTGTATTGATCACAGTCTTCTGAAAATGTGCTGTTTAAATCCATTTTGTATTTTTTCAGAAGATTTTAAAACTTTTTTGGCTCTGTTTTGTAACGTCTGCCTTGTGGTACCATGGTAACCGCTGTACATTCTGTCCTAGACATACAGGCTGCATAGTATCAATAGGGATTCTACAAGTGAATAGGGACGTAACAATAACCGAAATATCGTGATATCGTATCGTCAAAGGTCTTATAATAATATCGTGGGCCATGACAATATATCGAATAATATCGAAAGTCTCTTTGCTTAAATGAAGAATTGTGGTGCAGCAACAGCTAAAAAAACAGAGGGAACTACATAGACCATGATCCTTTGCTCCATTTCAGTGCAGACTACATGAAGAAATAATAGTTATTAAGCACTTACTAAGTCTTGTCAAGGCATTTTAAGAGGAAAATGGAGCATAATCACAGTTTTGTTATCCTCCACAATCGCAATAATCCTCCACATATCGCAATAAATATCGTACCGTGAGATGTGTATCGTGAAAATATTGTACAGAGAGATGTGGATCTAGTGTCTAAGCATGATTTATACACACATGTCTGGGACACAACCACACAAATTTCTTAAGTGCCTATGAGTCATTTATTCTGCTAATGAATTCAGTGAAACCACAGAAATCAATTACGAGCTCCCACTTCTGTCAAATACACAGGACTGTAGCAAGGCCAAGACCACGGCTGCAGAAACACATCAGATATCATTTGGATTTATTTTATTTGACCTTTATTTAACCAGGAGAGTCCTGCTGAGATTTAGGGCCTGTTTACATGACACGCTTGCAGGTAAAAACAACAAAATATTTTACTGGAAGTGGTTTTCATTTAGACGGTGATGATGTTTTTGGGGCTTAAAAGCGCAAAATTTTGAAACCACCCTCCAGAGTGGAAAAGTTGACTACACTCTGCTGTAGCATTTCCGTCTACACTGCCCAAGACACAAAACTCTGGTCAGACCCGCTCACGTCGCACACGCTTTTATATCACATACATACAGTACACAGAAACAAACATGTCGGATCACAGCACCACCGAACCACCTGGCACGGAAACTCAATTGAATTCCACACACTTTTGCGTCACCGTATGCACGCAGATTTCCAATCCACACCACTTTTGCGTCTTCTGTTCAGACCGTCATCATATAAACGTAGCCTAAGAATCTCTTTTTCAGAGGAAGTCTGGTTCGTGTGTGTTTTAGTAGTAGTCGGTAAGGGAGGTTGCTTTTTTTTTTTTTTTTTTTTCACTTTTTTTCTTCCACTTTAACTTAGTTTTTGGTGATTCTGACCAACTAAGAAGTACAGGATTCTCTGTTCAAAGGACAAAAAGTTAAGGACTATTGGACTGTGTGACTTGAGCAGTTTTCCTGTTTCTCCATGGCAACCCTGCATGAAGTTGGCTATGCTAACCATCCCGCTCTGAAATGCTTCAAGGGAATGGCCCGTCTCATTACTGAGCACTAAAGGACTCAGAGAGAGTTTTAGAGGAGACTCTGCTGTTGTGTGTTGAGAGTTTAACTGGCTCCCACTGGAGGCTTCAAGACAGAGAGAACTTTTGTCCTGAGGTCTGTTACGCTCCTCACACTGCCCTGACACTGAATCTGATGCTCTGCTGTTGAGCTGCACTGAGACTTTTGTTTGAGCTTTTCTTTTATTATTGTATTTTACTTCTCACGGTGCTTAAGCTTAAGCATTAAGCAAGCGTTAAGATTAAGCTTATATATATATATATATATATATATATTAAGCTAAGGGCAATAACGTCTTTACCCCTGATGAAATTCACCAAACATTCTCTTTGTTCCGGTTTTAAATCCTTGATCTCGGAAATTGTTGCCAACACAGAATATATGGCTCTTCACTGATTGGCTGGTGCTCGGACTCGCACTTCCTGGGTTTTTGCGAACCATCTATTGTATTTTGATTCCTGACCTAGTCACTGGAGAGAAATTAAATTGAGTGGAGGCACTAGATGGCACCAGCCTGGCTACTTAAATTGCCCCTTGAGACAAATAAAGTCTTATTGATGGATGATCGATTTCACAATCAAGATGCAGTTAAGAGTTCACATTTTAAATCTGTCCAGGAGCATTCACATTTTAGAGAGACTGAAATGTGAATTGCCAAACTAACTAAGAAGCTTATGTATTTCAGAACATGTTTGTAGAGCTCTAAACTACAGTGACCATGAGACCCACAGGGACATATGCAGAGGGCAAATTACAATTAGAATATTATAGCAATCAATCTTATATCCAGTGTCAGTGGTGCAAATGTGTAGTGAAAGTCACACTAGAAAAACCTCAGAACCAAATCATGTGGCTGTTCAGGAATGCACTTTCTTCACATCGAACCAACACATTCCACACAACACAGCCAGCATAAAATTCCCTGTGCCAGTGTTCCATCTCCTCTCTCTCATAACCGTATCGTTCACACTTTGATGCAGAAATGAATATATTTTTAGCTCCGTGCTAACTCAAACATGTTTTGGTCAGTGTCCCAGTCTACCCCGTGAGTCACCGCACAGTCCTCCGGGATCAGACTGACCACAGCTATAAACATGACTCACTCTGTTTAAAGGAAATCTCACTCAGCTCCTGGTAACCATTTTTTATTTCATTTAATTGAAGAAGACATGTTGTGTTTGTGCCTGCTGCAGTTATAATCTATGGACCTTGTGGATCATTGTGTTATATTTTGGACATTTTAAATCTCAATATTCATCTAAAATAAGTTAAATAAAAAAAAACTCTGCTGATTTCCGTGTTGGAAATTTACGGAGCCTGATGAGAGCTGAAGTCGCCGTAAAGTAGTGCACCTAGCCAGTTTAAATAAAAATTAAATAAAATAAAACGATAGATTGATCACTGGTGCCACCATAGTTTGAACCATAAGAGAAACAATGCCTCTTTCATACATGTGCACATAAAACAACATCTGAAAACTTTGTGGAGGACTTCCTGGATGGGAAGATCACTTCAGGGTCCCGCTTTTGGTCCTCCACCAACCAATCCTCCACCTGACCATCTTTGCATCTTCTGTTCCATCTGACAATTTCCTCTGCACCATCTCTCCCTCTAATCTCCATCCTCTGCTCCTCTGACCCTCTTCTCTGCTCCTCCGGTCCTCTCCTCTGTTTCATCTGACCCTCTACTCTTCATCCTCTGCTCCATCTGATTCTCTCCTCTACGTCCTCTGCTCTATCTGACCCTCTTCTCTGCTCCTCTGACCTTCTCCTCTGCTCCATTTGACCCTCCAATCTCCATCCTCTGCCCCTCTGACCCTCTTCTTTGCTTCTCCGGTCATCTCCTGTGCTTCATCTGACCCTTTCCTCTTCATCCTTTGCTCCTCTGACCCTCTCCTGCTCTTCTGCCCCTCTCCTCTGCCCCTCTGCTCCTTTTGACCCTCGCCTCTTCATCCTCTGCTCCTCTGCTCCAGCTGATCCTCTTCTCTGCTCCTCTGACCTTCTCCTCTGCTCCATCTGACCTTCTCCTCTACATCCTTCGCCCCTCTGACCCTCTCCTCTGCTCCATCTGACACTCTAATCTCCATCCTCGGCTCCTTTGATCTTCTTCACTACTCCTCTGCTCCATCTGACCCTCTCCTCTGCTCCTCCGATCCTCTCCTGTTCTTCATCTGACCCTTTCCTCATCATCCTCTGCTCCTCTGACCCTCTTATCTTCAACCTCTGCTCCTCTGACTTATCTGCACTGGTAGGCTACTTCTGCTACTATTTATCTTCATATTATTACTAGGTGTGTCAAATTATCGTGTTAATTGCGATTAATTAATTACAGTCATATTTAGCGCGTTATGTTTTTTAATCGCGTTAATCTCATTTTTAATCTCTAACTTTAGTGTTTCTGTATGCGAGTTGCTTTATTATAAAACCTGTTTTTATGTGTTGTTGGGACAACAACAACACAAACACACACACAAAAAACACATTTATACATTTTTTTATTTCGGTAATTCCACTCATTGCCGGAAACCCGCACAAAACGTGCGCAGCAACAGCGATGTAAACGTCATGTTAACGTTGGCGGCGTCAGTCGCACAATGGACGAGGTCGAAGAGCCAGTAGAACAGAGTCAGCAGTGCACAGGTAAAAACGCATTCGTGTCTTGGAAATTATTCTCCCGACGTGAAATATAAAAGAAAATAACAAATATAAAATCGCCTACAACTTAAATGTCACTGGTGAAAACAACCTGCATAGGCTCATGATGTCTGCACTACTGTCCTATAGTGACCTGCCACATGAGGGGACACGCACACAAACACACACAAACACAAACACAACAGGCACACCTTCATCATCGTCATTAACCTGAGAACGCGCGGACCACGTTTCCTTCCGTAGACACTGCGCGGACACCGACTTGCTCCCGTGCGCCGCATGTGGACCGTGTTTTCTCGCGTACGCTGCGTAAACCGCGCTTCCTCCTGTGCGCCTCTAATCCAGAACTAACACCAAGACTAAAACCAGGACTAATCCAGTCCAGGACTAAACCAGGTCTAAACCAGGACTAAACCAGAACTAAAACCAGAACTAAAACCAGGTCTAAACCAGGTCTAAACCAGGTCTAAACCAGGACTAAACCAGGACTAAAACCAGAACTAAAACCAGGTCTAAACCAGGACTAAACCAGAACTAACACCAGGACTAAAACCAGGATTAATCCATTCCAGGACTAAACTAGGACTAAAGCAGGTCTAAACCAGGACTAAAACAAGGACTAAAACCAGTGATCTCATATATAAAGCATTTCTCTATCAATAATATTTTTAATATGGTTAAGGAAAGACTGGACTTTTTATTGTGTTTAAGTAGACAAAGGTTATTATGTTCAGATTTCCTCATCAAATTGAAGGCTTTTCTCAGCAATTTTTAGGTGAGATTAAAATGAGATTAATTAGATTAATTAATTACAGATCATAATTAATTAATCTCTCAATTTTTTTAATCGCATGACAGCACTAATTATTACGACTGCTACTACTACTACTACTACTACTACTACTACTACTACTACTACTACTACTACTACTACTATTTCTACTACTTGCATGTTTAAAAAAAAGTGTAATTATTTCTAACATAGTAATAGACTAGTCAACATCAGTCTTAATTGTCTTAAATAACATCACCACTACTACTACTACTACTTCTACTACTCCTCATACTATTACTTGACTTTCAGTAGTATTAATGATTTCTCCATGGGTCAAAATTGACTCTCATGAGCTTTAAGCCATGTAATAATATTGTTACTTCTTCACACACAGACCTGGAGTTGTGTTTTGTTTCATTCACACATGTTTGAGTAACACTTTATTATTAGTCTGTCTGCATTTCCAAAGCTCAAAACACTCTGTTCCACCTTGTGATGTCACATAACGCTAGATTTAGTTTAGTTAGTTAAATAAAGATTCCAGTGAAGGTATAAGGTCTAAATTCTCAGGATTTGTGTGTGAATGAAAAAAAACACACAACTCCAGGTCTGTTTATGATGAGGAAACATTATAACAGATAAGGAAATGGAGGAATACGACATTTTCAAACACCTGAATGTAACTTCTGTTTGCGCTCTGAAACGTTCCTGTTTATTTGCATGCTTTAGTTTACACAAGAAAGCAGCCAGTGTATGATGCCCAGAAAATCTCGCTCCCTTTAAGCCTCTGGGGGAGTTTCTAGTTTGTGGAGTCAATTGAAAACAGAAGCTGGACTGTGTCATTTTTAAACCCCCATCTCTGCCCTGCGCTGTGATGACTCAGGCAAGCTGCAAATCCTGACTTAACAAAATGAACGCGGATGGAAAACGGTCTTACCTCTGGTTAATTTCACTGTGGGTTTGGACTTCCAGGTGGGGGCAGGCTCCGCGGCGACGCTCCCCCATAAAGAAGCTTGATTTTGGGGTTGAAGATTGCTGAGATTCACCGTTAGCTGGAGGTTTAAAGACGGGGGAGTGGCAACTGGGAAAGTCTGGCCCTGCCCCCCCGTCTCCTCCTCCTTCTCCTCCTCTCTCTCAGTCTCTCGCTATCCTCCTCTGCCTCCCTTTTTTCTTTTTAACTCCTATTGATCTCTCTTTCTCTCTCCTCTCCCTCTTGTTCCCTTCCACGTTCCTCTCATCTCATCATGTCATCCTCTCTCGTCTCTTTCTTTCTCTCTGTATCCTCCCCTCTTCTCTCCTGTTCTACTCTTCCTGTCTGCTCCTCTCTCCCTTTCTCTTCTCTTTTGTGTCCTCTTTCCTTCTTCTTCTCTCTGCTTCTCATGCCTCTCACCCCTTCACTTTCTCTTTCACTCTCTTTCACCCTTCTCTCTTCTTCTCTCTATATTGTCTCCCTCTTTCCTTCTCTCTCTCTTCCCTTTTGGTTCCTCCCTCTCCTTGTCTCTTTACTCCTCTTCTCCTCCTCTCCTCCTCTCTTTTCTTCTGTCTCTTCTCTCTGTCTCTTACCCTCTTTCTTCCATTCTCTTTCATCTCTCCTTCTCTCTTTCCCTCTCTTTCCCTCAAGCTCACTCTCTCTCCCTCTGTCTCCTCTCTCTTTCTCCATCACTCTCCTCTCTCTCTCTCTTTATCTTCTCTCTCTTTCTCTCTCTCTCATCTCTCTCTGCTCTCTCTCCTCTCGCTTCCTCTTTCTCTCTCCCTTTTTCTCTCTCTCCCTCTCTGTCTTCTCTCTATCTTCTCTCTCTCCTCTTTCTCCCTCCATCTCTCTCCCCTCTCTCTAACTTTTTCTCTCTCTATCTTCTCTCTTTGTCTCTCTCCCTCTCACTCCTCTCCCTCCCTCATCTCTCTCCCCTCTCTCTCCTCTCGCTTCCTCTTTCTCTCTCCCTCTCTGTCTCTCTCCCTCTCGCTCCTCTCCCTCCATCTCTCTCCCCTCTCTCTCTATGTCTCTGTCTCCTCTCGTTTCCTCTTTCTCTCTCTCCCTCTCTGTCTTCTCTCTTTCTCTCTCCTCTTTCTTCCTCCATCTCTCTCCCCTCTTTCTGACTTTTTTCTCTCTCTCCTTCTGTATCTTCTCTCTCTTTGTCTCTCTCCCTCTCTCTCCTCTCCCTCCGTCCATCTCTCTCCCCTCTCTCTGCATGTCTCTCTCTCTCCTCTCGTTCCCTCTTTCTCTCCCTCTCTCTCCTCCCACTTCCTCTTTCTCTCTCCCTCTCTGTCTTCTCTTTATCTTATTTCTCTCTCTCTTCTCTCCCCTCTCTCTCCCTTTTTCTCTCTCTGCCTCTCTATCTTCTCTCTCTTTGTCTCTCTCCCCCTCACTCCTCTCCCTCCCTCCATCTCTCTCCCCTCTCTCTGTATGTCTCTCCTCTCGCTCCCTCTTTCTCTCTCTCTCTCCCTCTCTGTCTTCTCTCTCTTTCTCTCCCTCTCGCTCCTCTCTCCTCTTTCTCTGTATGTCTCTCTCCTCTCGCTCCCTCTCTCTTTCTCTCTCTCTCTCTCTCTATCTTCTCTCTCTGTCTTCTCTCTCCCTCCGTCTCTCTTCTGGCTCCATGTAACCTGATCTTTTACTCTACGCTCTGCTCCCTCCCTCATCTCCTCTCTCCTAGTTCCTACCCCCTTTCCTCTCTTTCCTTCCTCAAGGACACACCCTCTCTCTCCATAAAACTGCCCACACTTTCTGCATGCTTTCCCACAGGCTCAAAGCAGCTTTTATTCATTTAAAAATACATTCAATAATCATAAAATTGGGCTTAAGTTGCTCCCAAAATCTATGCAACAAGTCGGGTGAAGTGTCGTGCACATAAAGGCTGTCAAAAGCATCGAAAATCAGATAATAATCGATGATGTTGAGCTGGATCAGAACAAATATAAGACAAGTACACAGACTAGTATATGCCCATGATCCACTATGGAAGCTACTGGACCACTGAGGGATTACACACATATAAGACCACGTGGGAATAGAAAAAGTACTGCGATTTAATGTTGAAAATCATTCTGGGGTCTAAAGAAAGAGTGTCTTTTATTATCACTGTAGTATCGTAATTGGTATAGTATCAAGTCTACTAAACTAGGACTCACTGTCGGAAGGGGCTCGGAGGTGACATCCGCGGGCTTAGGGTTTTCTCTCTTAAATCCAAGATTACTCCTGGTTTAGACCTGGTTTAGACCTGGTTTAGTTCTGGTGTAGTTCTGGTGTAGTCCTGGTTTAGTCCTGGTTTAGTCCTGAAATGCCAGTTACTTCCTTCAGTATGTCGAAAAGTCCAACTTTTTATTTATGTATTTGTATTTTAAAAAAAAAAAAAAAAAAAAAAAAAAAAAAAACAATACTAACTGAAATTCCAGGGTGTGTCCAGACGTCTGTCTTACCCTGTCCTGTGGATGTGGATGGGCTTTACTTCTCTCACCAACAGCACTCAGGTGAATAGAGGCTCTGAATCAAAGGGACACGTTTTTTATGTGTATGGTGTAAATTACTTAATCTTACTTAAAAAGCAGCATGTTTTTGCCGGTGGAGTTCCATGATGATGATGTTGTTGTTGTGTCCTTGGGCGGTGTCAGTGTCTGCATACACTGGTGTGTGTGTGTGTGTGTGTGTGTGTGTGTGTGTGTGTGTGTGTGTGTGTGTGTGTGTGTGTGTGTGTGTGTGTGTGTGTGTGTGTGTGTGTGTGTGTGTGTGTGTGTGTGTGTGTCAGATGCCCTCTCGCTACATAGAGATGAAGACAGAGGAAGAGAAGAAGGATAAAGAGGAGATGGAGACAAGGAGAGCACAAAAAAAGTGACAAGTCCTGATGTGACTGAACCAGGACTAAACCAGGATTAAACCAGGACTAAAATATGGACTGAACCAAGACCAGGACTAAAGGAGGAGTAATGTAAAACAGGACACGGCAGAGGCATATGTCCCGAATCCCTGGTGTAATTATGACAAAAATAGAACATAGGCGCCTCAAAAACTTCACATTTCATTTTTATTATTATCACTGTGTTTTACTCACAGTCTGTTTGTCTTTCAATGATAAATGACTCACATCTAAATCCAAAATACAAACTGAAAATGCCGAAATCCGGAGTCCTTTTCCTCTTTAGACGTCCACAGACTGTAAAGAAATCGCTCGGCTCCAGTCAAATGAAGCTCATCGACGCCTGCGGTTACAGGGGAGAATTCAGAGCTGCATTTTAGGAATCGATTTACAGACAAAACAGCAAAATGAAAAACACGGGATCACGTAGAGCGGATTAATACGAACATTTTAAGAGCAGAACGATGAGGCTCGCGCAGCAGCAGTTACGGCCGACACACACTACAGGATTTGGAACCATTTTTAAACGTGCGACAGAAAGCGAACGCCACAGACACGAGGAGAATCTTACGAGACTTTAAATCCCCGATCGCAAAGACTGAAGTGGGATCTGTGTGCAGACCTTTGTGTCAACCTGTTTCCTGTCTACAGTAAAACCGCTCACTTTGAGACTCTTCAGTGTTCAAAGATCAGACTGTGCACTTCTAGTTCAGATACAAAACAAAACTGGGTTATTATTATTATTTGTGAATTCAATTTGTATTTCTTTGTGTCAAACACCAGGACTTTTCTGAAAATGAACAGGTCAGATTTTACCCGCCCCTAAATAGAATCTAAAATCGTTTTGGAGCCTGAGAAGCTGTCGCCGCAGCAACGTGATGTTCTAATGCCGCCCTGGATCTCCATGGTGATAGAACTCTGCTTTATGACATCATCAGAGAAGCACGACGCTGCTTTAAAGTAAACTTTGAGTGACACAGTGAAATAAACACTAAAGTGACAGAATACTTTTACTAATACTTTTACTACTGCTACTTCAAAGCAGTGCTCTGCTTTATGACATCATCAGTAAAGGACAAGCACAAAGCACAAAGCAGTTTACTGTTTTGAAGAAGATTATAAGTGTAACACGAAACAAACACTACAGACACAGAATACTGCCACTTCTGCTTTGTGTACTGTGTGTACTACGACTACTACTACTGCGTGTACTACGACTACTGCGTGTACTGCTACTAGAGCTACCACTGCACGTTTACACTAGAGCTTTTCTCTCTCTCTCTGCTGCATATTTAAACAGAAAAAATGCCCTGGTGGTTTTTTAGAAAATCCCGACCTAACGTCAAGCACCAAATCTTAGAGGCTGAGATCCAGGAACTGCACGAGAGGATCCGAAACTTAGAAAATAAGAACCAGCAACAGCATGAGACGTTCCAAAACTTAAACAATGAGGTCCAGGAACAAAACGAGAGGAACCAAAACTTAAACAATCAGAACCAGCAACAAAATGAGACAATCCAAAACTCATTAAATCATAACCAGGAACTGCTTGAGACGATCCACGACTTAATAAATCAGAACAAGCGACAAAACCAGAAAATCCAAAACTTAAACAATGAGGTCCAGGAACAAAATGAGAGGATCCAAAACTTAATAAATCAGAACCAGCAACAAAATGAGACGATCCAAAACTTAATAAATCAGAACCAGCAACAAAATGAGACGTTCCAAAACTTAAACAATGAGGACCAGGAACAAAATGAGAGGATCCAAAACTTAAACAATCGGAACAAAGATCTGCCCTGGCGTTTTATTAGAACAGTCCAACCTAAGGTCAAGTGCCAAATCTTAGAGGCTGAGAACCAGGAACTGCACACGAGGATCCGAATCTTAAACAATCAGAACCAGCAACAATACAAGATGATCCAAAACTTAAACAATCAGAACCAGCGACAAAACGAGGGGATCCAAAACTTAAACAATGAGGTCCAGGTACAAAACAAGAGGATCCAAAACTTAAACTATCAAAACCAGCGACAAAACGAGAGGATCCAAATCTTAAACAGTCGAAACCAGCAACAAAACGAGAGGATCCAAAACTTAAAAAATCTGAACCAGCAAGAAAACAAGACGATCCAAAACTTAAACAATGAGGTCCAGGAAAAAAACGACACAATCCAAAACTTAAATGATGAGGTCCAGGAAAAAAACGAGACAATCCAAAACTTAAACGATGAGGTCCAGGAAAAAAAGGAGACAATCCAAAACTTAAACATTGAGGTCCAGGAAAAAAACGAGACAATCCAAAACTTAAACAATGAGGTCCAGGAACAAAACGAGACGATCCAAAAAAACAATCGGAACAAAGATCTGCCCTGGCGTTTTCATAGAAAATCCCGACCTAAGGTCAAGCGCCAAATCTTAGAGGCTTAGAACCAGGA